TAAGCGAAACTGAAATAAGGAGAGGAGCAAGAGCAGCACTTGCTGTGTGTATGTGGCTTTCCAACTGCAACTCAGAAACCCTCAGCATTACTGGCACGTCTTCTGAATGGGCTCAGTTGATCTGAGTCAAAGCAATAGGAGGTAGGAAAGAACTGGTCATATCATGGGCAAGTGTAATTTGTGGGGAATAATTAGTTTCATTAATATTTAGATCCATTGTTTTATTTTGGCCTTGGCCCAGTACTTGATAATTTCTATTTTCTTCTGAGTTCTTAGTCACCTTTGCCAAAAGGCCAAAAATGAATAAGAAGTGCAAATCCATTATTTTGCTCCAAATTTGGGTTGTATATTTTTGGATGCCTCGTTCTTATAATGAGTGCAGGGATAGCTGAGAATGTCATTTGTCGTGCTAAAGAAAAAATAAATAAAAGAAGAGTTCCAGGAAAAGACTTTATACATGCTGCTGAGACTTATAAGGTGAAATTAAATTGCTGGGCTACAGCGCTGACCGAATTCTACATGTATTGATGTTTTGGGAGAATTTCCTAGGAGGTGGGAAACAGTTGTCTGATTGCATTTTTAAAAATGGAATAAGGCAAATCTTGTCCCATTAGTCTTCATCAGAACATTCTTTTTATTTTGTATAACAAAATTTATATAATTGATTGCAGTAGAACCTCAAAGCAGTTTACATACAGAACAAAATACTAAAATTATCATTAAATACAATTAAAAGTGGGTATCAAAGACATTCAAAAGCAGCTGCAAGCTAAAAAAAAAGGGTAAAAAAATCGATTTCTGTATGTCTGGATAAGCTTACCTAAACAAAGATGTTTTAAGGCGGCACTGAGAAGAGTCCAGTAAAGGCATTTGCTTGATGTTAACAGGCAAGGAATTCCCAAATATAGGAGCTGCCACAGTAAAAGTTTCATTTCTTATGAGTGCGGAACAAATATTATGTGGCACCTCTAGCAGTGCCAATTCTGCAGATCGAAGCGGCCGAGTGGAGTGGGCATACCGAGTGGGTAAGGCGACCCCACAAGTGCAAAGTATAAGAGGCTGAGGAGTTCTAAACTTTCTTTTTTTAATTATGTCACCAAATAGGAGAGAGAATAACGTTTGAAAAAAAGCAAGGAAATGTGCCTATGATCCTTCTCTCTCTCAATTCCACCCCATGGTTGGTAACGTTACTATCCAAATTGCCTTTGGTTTCAGGTCATCCGTGTGCATTTTTTCCTGACAGAGCAGATCTTGGATGTATTCGAAGCAATGAAAGGATTTCTCTAGAAAAGAGCTTGAGTCAGTGTTTTGCTTCTGCAACTAGGAAATGCAGTGAAGGGCAGGTAGAAGTCCTTGCAAGATCATTGGCGGCTCCTGAGCAGGTCCATCTCTTGCTCCTCTGAACCGCCCAGTGCTAAGAATTGCTGCTTTTTATATTTATTTTTTAACGATGGGTCCGTCTAGTTCAGTATCCAGCTTCTGACTATGGCCAACCAGACCGTTTCTAAAAGATTGGCTATTTTGTTTATTGAAAACCACCCCCTCTCTACTGTTCAGGGAGAAAAAAAGACTCCCCAAGTGAGGACTTGAACCCAGGTTCTCCAGCCATAGCCTAATACATTCACCACTACATTGAGTTTCAGAATCACAGCTGCCAATGCACAGGAACGAATCAGGGACCTATAGATATTGGCTGCATTCGCATCTAATAAGGTAAAGGTACCCCTGCCCGTACGGGCCAGTCTTGCCAGACTCTAGGGTTGTGCGCTCATCTCACTCTATAGGCCGGGAGCCAGCGCTGTCCGCAGACACTTCCGGGTCACGTGGCTAGCGTGACAAGCTGCATCTGGCGAGCCAGCGCAGCACACGGAATGCCGTTTACCTTCCCGCTGGTAAGCGGTCCCTATTTATCTATTTGCACCCGGAGGTGCTTTCAAACTGCTAGGTTGGCAGGCGCTGGGACCGAACGACGGGAGCGCACCCCGCCGCGGGGATTCGAACCGCCGACCATGCGATCGGCAAGTCCTAGGCGCTGAGGATTTACCCACAGCGCCACCCATGTAATAGTAAGCCATAAACCAGAGATTTATTCAGGCCTGTGAGGCAAATGTGGTCCTCCAGGCATCAACCCCACATGACAAGAAGGGCTGCAACCCAGTGGTAGAGGATCTTCTCTGCGTATTGAAGATCCCAGGTTCAGTTCTCAGCATCACCCAGTAGGGCTGGGAGAGAACCCTCTCTGTAACCCTGGAATGCCCCTGCCAGTCTGCGCCAACACTGCTGAGTTAGGTGGAACCAAGGCTCAGTTTAAGGCAGCTTCCTAAAATACCCAACTTCACACAAAAGATCAGAGCAGTGTCTTGCTAACCGGCTTGCAACCTCTTCAGCAGCTGCAGCCCTAATCCCGTTCCCCTTTTGCTCAAATCCCAGCGCACTAGTCGAAACAGAAGCTTGCCCAAGTATTTTGCACAAAGAGGGGGACGTTTGAAATGCCCACCTGCTCCTGGCATCGTTAAACCAGATGAGCTGTTGTCGCAGGGGGGGAAATGAATCCTGTTCATGCCAAACGACTTGATAGTTTAATGCGTAACTGTGCACTGGAAAGAAGGTGATCTTCTCAGCCAAGCAAAGAATCCTCCTTCGTTCCCCTTCTCTTCAATGTCACGGGGGGCGAAGCATGCCAGCTGTTCATTCTTCCTACTAGGAAATCTGCTGAATGTCCACCACAGCGGCAGGCCTGTTGGCTTTCTTCGCTCGTGTTTTACCCCAGGGTTGAATTTGACCCACTGACTTTTCTGTTGTTGCTGCAGCTTAAATGTGCGGAGCCATGAATGATGATCTGTCACCGCTCCCAGCTGCAGAGCAATTGTGGGCCATCACTTCAGCTAAGTGTTATAATTTAGCTCTTAAGACAGCGAAATGGGGACTCCCGACACCGGCCGTTCTTGGAAAGGCGCCCAAGAGTGGCGTTAAGCAGGCGCCGAGAACAAAGGCCAGAACGTCCCCTGCTGATGTGATTCCTCCGCAGGAAGGTAGAACAGTTGCTTTGTATCCAGAAGGTCCCAGGTTCAACCCCCAACATCTCCATATGGGGCTGGACGAAAAACCAAAGGTTCTCCCGATCTGGCCTGCACTTGGTGAGAACAGTGCTAAGATAGATGAGCCAATGGGTCTGATTCAGTATAAGCCAGCCTCCTGTGTTCCTGTGCACACATGGATGAGTGGTATTGAGAGGCAGACAGCGGGAGACCTCCTACCCCCAGAGGGATCTTAGAAATGGGTTTCCTTTCTGAAGCTTTCTGAGCTCAAATTAGGAAGCTGCTGTGCCTTTAGTGTACAGTTGTGGGGAACTGTCAGCCTTCCAGATTTTCCTGAACTCCAAATACCATCAGCCATCAAGCATGACTCAAGGCCAGGGATCATGGGAGTTATAGTTCAGCAAGATCTGGAGGGCCGAAGGTCTGCACACCTGAGCCAATTGCTGAGCATTTTTGTGCAGCAGGGATGGGGGCCCTGTGGCTCTCCAAATGAAGGAGCTGGCTATGTTGAGCCTGGAATGAGGAGTCAGAGAGGAGATCTGATAGCCATCTTCAGATATCTCAAGGGTTGTCCCATGGAAGATGAAGCAAGCTTGTTTCCTCCTGCTCTGGAAGGTAGGATTCAAACCAGTGGATTCAAGTTACAAGAAAGGAGATTCCGACTAAACATAAGGAAGAACTTTCTGAGAGTAAGAGCTGCTCAGCAGTGGAACGGTCTCCCTTGGAAGGTTGTGGACTCTCCTTCCTTGGAGGTTGGCTGGCCATATGCCATGGATGCTTTAGCTGAGATTCCTGCATTGCAGTAGGTTGGACGAGATGGCGCTTGGGGTCTCTTCCAACTCTACAATTCTATGCTTATATGATTCAAATGTTGTTGGACTCCAACTGCCATCAGCCCCAACGATTTTGGCCAATGGACAGGGAGGACGGGAGTGGTAACTCAACATCATGTGGAGCGCCACAGGTTCCCCAGATGTTGCTACAACTTGCATCATCCCTGGCCATTGGCCATGCTTACTGGGGCTGATGGGAGTTGCAGTTCAGCAATATCTGGAGGGCCAAAGGTTACCCATCCTTGTTCCAGAGTGCTGAACAGTGGCCAAGTGCCCAGTCCAGCTCCAAAACAGAAAACGTCATATTCACGGTGATGCTGTGGTCCCTTCATTGGAGGAGAGGTTTAAATCTGGTTTGCCCAGTAACTGCACCAGCCAAATCCAGTCCCCTAATCCCCTGTTGTGGGACAGGCAATCTGGCTTGGCCGGTTTCTGAGCCGTTCTGAAAGACCACCATTTTCCTTCAGCCTCCCAAAGCCTAGTTAAACATTTGCCATCTGTTCCTTGAGAAATGACAATAGGTCGCCTTTGCCGAGAACAGTTAAGAAAGGGAGTATTGTGCCCATCTTGTTGAGAATCGCTGTCTGGATTCACAGACAACGAAAACTTAGTCTTGAGTTCACAGAAACCTCCGGCATTAAAAGACCAGAAACCCCGAACAACAGACAAGCTTCTGTTCTGAGACCTAGGTTGGATCTGCATTCATCGTCCTTGAGTCAAATGTGTTCGTGTTATAAATGGATCACTGGCTTGGATCCAGCATGCCCTTTGACATACCCTCAAACATTTCTCCGACAAAAATATGGACGTCCTAATTTTACTATTTACACCCCGCCCATCTGACTGGGTTGTCCCAGCCACTCTGGGCAGCTTCCAACATATATAAAAGCATAACAAAACATTAAACATTAAAAAAACTTCCCTATACAGGGCTGCCTTCAGATGGCTCAGGGATCTGATAAAGCCATAGCTTCCCAACATTTCTTTACTGAAAATAGAGACGTCCTAAGGAAAAACAGGACATTCCGGTGTCAAATCAGAAACCGTGGCGGCGTCTGTAAATCCGGGACTGTTGCTGGAAAATAGGGACACTTGGAGGGTCTGGGATTCCCACCTCCTTCCCCCAAGTTGGTACACGGAAAGTAAATGTTCTCTGTCATTGGCAGATGATAGTAGTTTTCTGTCTTTTCTGGTTCTTTGTGTTCAGCTAAGAGCCATTAAAATATTTGAAAACTAATTAAGGAGTATGTGAAAATGTCCCATCTGTTTGGAGGCCTCCTCCCACCCCCACAAGCATAAATGTTGGTGGGTCTGTTCCCTGTTTCTCTAGATGACGCCCGTCACCCGTCAAGAAGTTCTTGGCCTTTATCGCAAGATATTTCGCATCGCCAGAAAATGGCAATCGGCATCCGGCCAGATGGAAGAGACCATCAAAGAAAAACAGTACATTATAAATGAAGCAAAAACGTTATTCCTAAAGAATAAAAATGTGAGTGTTTGTCTTGCTGAATATTTATGGGTTTTGAGTTGGCATCGAAGATGGCAGGAGGACTGGCTTCTTCCTGCTCTGTCCCAGCTGACAGGGCAAATGTTCTTTGTATGCAGACAGTTGCTTCTTTTTAGACCAGACTGTGATCATCATCGGGTTTCCCCATGGAAGAAACAAATCCAGGATCTATTATGAAACTAATGAAGCTTAAGCTTCAGGGTCCCTAATCTTGGAGGGGATGCAAAAGCAACTGTAGTAAAAAATTTGGGGTCTATTAGACCCAATTTGAGTTGCAATCCCAAAGTCAGCAGCACAGATGTTGTAAAGGTGTGGTGATCTGTGATCTGTTAAGATAGCAGTGGTTACCCAGACCTTGTTATCAGTCGCGAAGGGGCTCCCATGACAGTTCAAGCTTCAGGGTGCCCCAAATGTACGTCTGCCAATGAGCAAATCATAGGTCGGGGTAGGGTAACTTTTTCAGCCCAAGGGCCACATTTCCTTCTTGGCAGCCTCCCAGGGGCCACATGCTGCTTGTGGGTGGGGCCATATGCAGAAGGGGGCAGAGTACATAGCTGTCAACTTTTCCCTTTTCTTGCAAGGAATCCTATTCGGAATAAGGGAATTTCCCTTAAAAAAAGGGAAACATTGACAGCTATGGCAGAGTAACAAATGTGAATCTCACCTTTGTTAGAATAAGCTAGTTTCTGCACCGGCTCAGACATCCCTCTCTTCCTTCCATCCAGATGTAAATCCTACTGAGGTGGCGTACAAAAAAACTCTGACCTGTTGTTGTTTTTAAACAACAGCAACAAAAACCACATACCCACCCACAACAATACCAGCATTTGAAAAGCAATCAGGATCCTTCCCACAGAGCAGTTCCTGGTTAAATGGCCTTAGCACAGGGCACAACCCAGTTGTAGGTCCTGAAGGACCAGCTGAAGATCAGTGTGGTGAAATACCACCGTAATGGGCTGTAATCTGATGCAACTGTGTCGAATCGTAGAGTTGTAAGGGACCCCAAGGGACATCTAGTCCAACCCCCCGGAATGCAGGAAATCTCATCACTGTCCTCCATCCAATTTGAAACCCTGTCAATTTGAAATCTCATCCAGTTTGAAACCAGACCAGACCCTGCTTTTCTTTGCAAACCTGCTAGCAGTTTTATTGCTGCACAAAGACAAAAGCCTGTGGTTTTTAGCCCCCTAAGAGTTCAGTAGCCTGTGTTTTCATGTTGGCTGTAGAGGTGGGAGAGGCTAGTCCAGGCAGGGAGCCTCTTAGCAGGCTAGTTACAAAAAATGCCTTCTGCCAGGCAGGCTGGCTAAACAGGGGGTTCCATCCCTGCTCCAATCTGTGGAGGAAGAGGCTTTCCTTTCTTCAGATGCTGCTGCAACTCTGATCAGCCCCAGCAAGCACGGCTGATTCAGCCATGTTCAGCAATGTCTGGAAGGCCAAAGTTACCCCACACCAGCTCTGTGCATAGCATAGCAAGAGGTGGACTGTAGTGACCCATTCTTCCTTTGCCAGCCTGCTCATTCACTTGCATGGAATTCCTGTTCGCCTATGACTACCAGGCGAAGGCTCAAATATAAAGCATGCGAGTTCTGTTTTAAAAATTCCTCCTTTGGAATGTTTGGGAGACAAAAAACCCCATGGCTTTGCTTTCCTGAACTGTGAGCGATATATATTTTTATCAAAAGTAGACCTACAATTTAATTAAAAGACAGCGCAGTCCAAACGGGTAGGCGCAAAAAGAGCTCAAATTAGACACTCCGTGGGAGAACAAAGAACTGCTCTGAGTTAAATTTGGAATCAATCAAAGGGCTGCTCAGAACCCAATCCAGAGAAGAGATATGGATACCTCACATTTAACAACGCTCTTTGATCCCATTGATTTCAATGGCACTTAGGCACACAAATTTCCTTCCGAGTGTGCTGTGTGGCCTTGGTCAGCAGCGGACGTTGAACGATGCTAACATTTGGCACCCCAACCTCTCCTGATCCGTTCTGCAGCATTGTTTCGGCACCCCCTGCAGGCCGACGCCCAGTGCTACTGCAGCGGTCCTGCTAGTCTAAAACCGCCTCTGCCTTGATACTTGGCCCAGTGGAGGCTGGTCTGTTAAGGTGAATGGGGCATTGCTCCATCAACCTCAGCCTCAACCTCAGATTCTATTTTTTAATAAATAGAATCAATAGAATGTCCTTGCCTGGGCTAGTGGGAGAGGGAGGGGGGAACCCTGCAAGGTGATTTTTGAGATGGCTAATTTCTACATGGATTCACAGCTTTCTATTTTGATTTCTGTTTTGTCTTATGTTGTTTGAGAAGTTAACAGATCCGAAGCTGATTAAACAATGTATAGACGAATGCACAGCGAGGATAGAGATAGGACTTCACTATCACATCCCCTATCCAAGGCCTGTAAGTAGAAATCCACCTGATGTGAATATCTTGGCCCCATAACTCCATAGAATTCCACATGTTCTAGGCAGAAGCTACTGAATCATCCCATTTGCTTCTCCAGGAACAATCCTACAATTACTGCTAAGCACATGAGTCAGATTGAATCAGGAGTATATCTTCAGAGATGTCTCCCACATCTGCAAGAGTCATTAAAATGATGTCTTTTAGTAACACAAGTTGCTTGGAGAATCAGGATGTTTGCTTGATATTTAATTACCATGTAGCACCGATTCTCAAATTTTTAGACTTCAAATGATATTAATTATCAGCCCACAGACAGTCACAAAGACAGTTCCTTCTGTCAGCATTCAGTTCTTTTTGCAAGTGGGGGTCCAATATGGCAGTAATCCATTTGTCCATCCAGCCCATCCAGTGTTTACCATGATTTTACTCCCCAGATCTCAGAACCTAGGGTGAATTGATAAACCACATTTTTGAGATCGGCTGGGAAATCAGAGACTACAGCCAGAAATTGGATTGCAAACCCTCATTTGGCAGAATGTTTGAATTGACAAACCATGATTACGTCCATTGTTGTGCTTCCAGAGGCCATTGGCTCAGAGACATGAGCACGGAGCAAACAGAAAACAAAAGCAGACCCACAGCTCTAAATTATGGTTTGCCTATACCTTTGGAAGCTCACTTCATGGTTTGGGTTCTGAACGGTGGTCAGTGGAAACCATGGTTCAGCACAATATCTGAATTGAACCTCTGGTCTTATTTCAGTGTAACAGTAAATGGTGAAAATACTAATCTTGGTCAGTTGGTTCCTTCTCACCCTTTCTGGAGCAAGGGGTGGGAAAGGAACCCTGGCTTAGCATTAAATCTGAAGGAGATATACTGGTTTGTTTGCTCCCAAAGCCAAAGTTAGCTTACTTACTGATCATGATTTCTTAGAGCAAAATCACTAATGATCTCTGGTTTGGAAACCAAACTGTTTCCTCCACACACTAGGAAGGAGGAGATAAATGGTCCAGAAATGCATGTCCATGGTAAACATTAGCTATGGTTCAACCTAAGGTGTGAAAAGATGGACCATGGCATGCCTTTATGGGGACGGAAACTGGGATGTGACTCCACTTCTTCCAGGCCCACATGCAACACCCCCTTCATTGGGCTATGGCAGGGGGGTGGAACTGGTTGCATGTGTGTCTGTTTTCTGATTTTTTGCAGTTTCCAAACGTTTGGGTTTTTAAAAATTATTTTCTCCTTGCCTCTCATAGACTCATCTGCCTCCCATGGGTCTCGCCCAGCAGCACGGCCGTACTTTTCGACATCAAGAGAAGCTGAGGAAGCTTTCCAAGCCAATCTACTTGAAATCCCACGATGAAATTTCATAATCAAGACTGTTGCCTGTGTCATCCCGGACTGCTTGGCAGATTCCTTTCATGCATAAATGAAACTGGTGTGGTTTGCACTTGCTGACATCGCCCTCAAGGCCAGGGGCCCACTTGATCCTGAGAAGGCGATGAGTAAGGATACAATCAAACGGTCTTGTATTTATTAAGAGTCAGCAGATGACTCACCAATAAAGTCAGATGATTTATGATAGGAAAGGCAAAGTGTGATGCGTCTTGCATTGTAGGAGGATATAGCACCATGCAGAAAGGGTCAATAATCTTCTGAAACCTAAAATATTGTTTTTCAAAGACTACAGCAGCATGGTGTGGCAAGTAGAAAACACCTCTAGTAGACAACAGAATGGTCTAGTTTGGGCAATATTTTCCCCGGCCTTTTTGCACATGGCTGAGGAGTGAGATTGTGCCTTCCATTCCTACCCACTGGCGGCCCTAGTCTCTCTCTACATCCTCATGCAGAGCCATAACTTGTGCATAAAATCCAACGCATGGAGGTCTAGCCAGTGGGAGATCCTGGCATGTTTCATGTGCGCCTATTGGGAAGTAGATGTCAGCCCACAAGCACTCATTCAGCATGTTACCCACCCAACTCATTTTAAGGCTCTTGTGCCTTTGATGAAGCACTCATCATCGGCTACTGTGCCCTATGTTTGAAAAAGGACAGGGTTGAAAAACATCAGCAAAGACAGAAAATAACCCTCTGGCAAGATGCCTCAAATAGCCCTCCAATTTGGACCAGGGTGGGAAACCTTTGACCCTACAATATTTGAGGGAACCACAACTCCCATCACTCCTGATCATTGACCTTGCTGGCTGGAGCTGATGGGAGTTGGGAGTCCAACAACATCTTGAGGACCACATGTTCCCCATCCCCGGTTTAGGCCTCCCTTTCAATGGATTATAATTTTAAAGCAGGGATACAGATCCTGTGGCCCTCCAAATGTTGTTGGACTCCAACTCCCAATAGGCCCAGCCAGCATAGCTGATGGTCAGGGATTATGGGAGTTGTAATCTAACAACATCTGGAAGACCACAGATTCCCTTGTTTTATAGCTGAAGGTCTAACCTAGATTTGCGTGTGGGTCAAAATCTGGCCTGCTATTAAGAACATACTGTTCCATGTCGGGAGATGGTACCAGCCAATTGTTAACATAAACAGAACTCCAGACAAAGCATGGAATAATCCACCTAAGGTTAGCAGGATAGTGGTGTCTCTGGCCACCATAGGAATAATGCAGGTCAGCCTGAGCTGTTTCATTTGAATGGGGTGATGCGGTGAACAGCAGCTTATGAACACTTCTTCAAGTGTTTTGTGTTCTTGGTAGCAACTTGTGTCAACAGGGTATGACTCAAGTAAGAAACCTTTTTCTTGTAAATGACTTGAAAGCACAACTTTTATCCCATCAGAGAATTCTACAAGGTAGAAATGCAAAGTCCTCTTCTTTTATCTCTGTTAAGGCTGAATTGTTTCTTGTGTTGTATTTGTGGAAACGTCATTGTAAGAGGCCTGAGTTACTCTTCCCCAGAATGTGTAGCTTCAGTCATTGCACATGTCCTCTAAAATGTGTCCAGCCCATTCACTGCTTGAGATATATGTTGTCCATTAACCACAGACAGCTGTGCAGAGGGTTCCCCCCCCCTTTGAATATCCATCTTTTGAATTCTGGGCTTAAAGGAACTAAAAGCTTGAATATCCAAAGTATATAAATAAGGCAAGTGAGCTGGTGCAATGAGGTATTGCGTGGCCTAATTAGCTGAGTCAATATTACTATCTGGTTATGGCAAAAGCTCAGGGGTAGAACACCCAGTTCTGCAAGCAGCTCACTAGATGGCCCCAGGCAATCAGAAAAGGGTCTCTCCAACATTCATGAATTAAACAGCATCCAAACCAGCTGACTCCTGGGAAAATGCAACTTGGTTTTAAAAAAGAGCAACAACAAAACCGAGCCCCAACAATATACACCTTTTCAGCTTTTGAAATTTGATCAGGGCGTCTTGAAATTGCTGCTCTTTGAAAACCTGAAGTTATTACACCTACGATCCCCTTTCAAAGCATTTTGCGCTTCTTTGAGAAAAGACTCTGCATAAGCAGAAAACAGTTTCACGGAGTTAATTAAAGCTTCCACAGGAGAAGGCTGGAAGGTAGAGCCCAGCAGAAAGTGCATACCTAAAAAGAGGAGCTGCTGCTGCAGGCTCCCCCCGCCCCCACTCCTCGGAGGGGCAAGGCTGGTTTCCCCACACTGTCTGTCTTGTGCCTCACACCCCCCACACTTCAAGTGGACACTTCAAGTCCCTTCTTTATGTTTTTCCCCATGAGTAAGGGTTACAGCATTTGGGGCATTTTAGCTCATCAAAAAATCAAGGACATAATAGAAGTGGATACAATTGTGCATCATGAGGAGAAAATGGACACGGACAAACCTTTCTTCCCCCTCATAATACTAGAGCCAAGGAATCAGCCAGTGAAACCGAATGCTTGACAATGCAGTGTCTTCCATAGTTCATCTGTGCACAATAGGCTATTGGCACAACAGCGCCCTCCCCACTTGTGATTCCCAGCAGCTGGCACTGAGTGGCAGACTGCCTCTGGCAGTGTGGAGCAGAACACAGCCATCACGGCTAGCAGTCATTGATTGCCTTATCCATCAAATCCATCAGCCTTTGTTTTTAGGCAAGTCCATATGTCCTCCGATATTTGGGGAACACCATCGCTCACCATAGCTTTGCATGCAGAAGGTTCCCAGGGTCAATCTCCAGCAGAAGGTGATAAGAGAGAGCTCCCATTTGAGGAGCTGCTGCCTTTCAGAGTAGTAGAAACAAAATTAAAAAATTCCTTCCAGTAGCACCTTAGAGACCAACTAAGTTTATTATTGGCATGAGTTTTCGTGTGCATGCACACTTCTTCAGAGTAGGTAACTGCGTTAGGCAGAGATATACTCTAACCTGGTCAAAGGCAGCCTTCCTATACAATTGGCAAACCAAGCAGGCCACATTCCAAGTTTTTCAACCTTGGCACAAGACAATTTCCCTGGAAGCAGATGCTCTGCCATGTGTCTTTCCATCCTTCTGCATGTCTTCCTTGCTGCTCGAGATACAATTATTCAGACATGCAGCCTATGTGTCATATTTGACTCATCCTCTTCTTCCTTCTACATCCAATCCAGTCATTTCTTCCTGTCCAACTGACTACAATAATAGTGTTTCCCCTTTGAAGTTGTTCCTTATCTATCCTACTGCTTTCTATGCTGCTGTGGGTGTCTGTCCCATACTAAATAAATGAAAAGGTGTGTGTGGGTGGGTGGGTGCACGCTGACTAATCAAACAGCAACATAAAGGGGGAGGGGAGCAATAAATAAATAAAAACCAAAGGTGGCAGACTTAAATAAACTTTGTGATGCCCAAAAATCTGTGTTCCCCTCACAGAGCTGCCAGCTCCAGAGTTCTCTATGAAGAGGAACTAACCACTCTTAGCACCCTTAATAACTCCAGTGCCCAGGATTTTAGAGGGGGAAGTCATGACTGTGTAAATAGGTATGATACTGCTTTAAATGTATGGTGCAGATGGGGCCTAAAACCACAAGATTAACATCTGAGGCAGAGAGGGGAAGGCAGAGGGCAAGGAAGACGTTACATAGGAATGGATGGATTATGAAATCACAGAATCAAAGAATCATAGAGCTAGAAGGGAATAAAGGGTCATCTAGTTCAACGTCCTGCAATGCAGGGGCTCAAACCCATGACCCTGACCTGAAAATGAAAGCCATGGTAGGAACTGGGGAAAGCCAGAAGCGAAGTTGAATGAAATGCCAAGGCAAAGAGTTCAGTGAGAGATCTGGCAGTGGTGCCTTTCGCTTCCTCTTTCTGGGAGCACCCTCCTGAGTCACCCTGAGAGCAAACGGGTTGCTGTGAGTGTGGCTGTTAGAACAGGGGAAAGGAAGGGCCCACTTCTCAATCCTCAATACAAAATGGCTCGACCCAAGAGAGAAAGCAAACTGAGAGCAAAGCAGAGAGGACCTCCAGACCATCACTAGTTTGGGGTGAGATTCAGCCACATCCCAGCAAATCCTGGTTGTGCAGTCGAAGGCGATTGGGAGGCCTTGCACAACAAACCCACTCCCCCCCCAAAAAAAGAATGGTCTTTTTACAATAAGAGATGAGAAAGTGCCCTGGAAAGTGTGGGATAATGCTGGCTTGAAGCAACATCGCTCACATGCACAGCATACATTTAAAGCACATGGCCTCCTCCAAAGGACCTAGGGAACTGTAGTTTACCTCTCACAGCACTACAATTCCCAGGACCCTTAACAAACTACATATTTGTTTGTGAGATTCTTACCCCATACAAGCCCTCTCGGACTGCTTTGATCTGTGGAACTGGCACTGTTACAGATGTTCTGCATCTGTAGGAAACTGATCTTTTAATGTGGTGGCCCCTATACTTTGGAACTCCCTGCCTATTGATATCATGCTGGCAGCTTCAGTGCACTCTTTTTGGTACCTACTTAAAACATTCTTGTTTAGACAAGCCTACTTCTCTATCTGACATACTGGTGTGTTTTTAGTTCACTGCTGGTTTCAATTTTCTGAATGTTTTAAATTGTTTTTACTAATACTTTTATTGTTGTATTCTTTTTTAAAACCCCTTTGAGGGTTGGTGTTGTTTTTAGAATCAAGCAGCATATAAACTTTATGACATGCATGCATGCAAACATAAATGTATGGTGTAGATGGCAGCTGCTGTCTAACCTCCCTGGAAACAAATCAGGATGAATGTGCAATAAAACAAGTTGCTCAAACCTTAAGTTTTCTTTATTTTCAATGGGGCGATGGTTGTAGCCAGAGACTTCTTTCTTTTCAAAGGGGCGATGGTTGTAGCCGTGCTTTTTCATCAGAAAGCACAGGCATATGACGCCAACCATTTAGTCGTCGAGCTGGCAAAGCGCAGCTACGCCCCTATTGATCCAGTGCTTCTGGGGCAAATCGGAAGGGAGCTCAATGGAGAGCACGTAATTGGTGGAGTGGCCAGTGGTGGACAGGGTGCCTCTCCTGGCACTGGTTTTGTAGACGGGGCACAGGTAAATCCCTTCGTGCAAAAATTTGGAGCTCTCTCCAGGTTTCAGCCAAATGATGGGCAGGAAGTCGTAGAGGATTTTGGGAAAAGACTCTCCAATCCGCATGGTCTCCCTGTCCCAGCGGGCCCCTTCCAGATAAAGCCCTTTCACATAGGCTCCATCTTCAGGCAACTGAGTCATACTGTGCTCCTGTGTCATCACCTAAATTGGGTGGGGGAAGGAAGGAAGAGATGGTGTATTAGAACATGGCCTAGGTCTTGCAGAAGGAAGGTTCTATCCAGGGCTAGTTGCTAGCCGTGGCAAGGAATGTCTCCTGCAGATCTGAAGCAGGACGTGCTGAAACATCACACCCAATCCTTTGTGACTCAATCTACCCAGAAACTCCCCAAGTATCTACAAGGACTGCCCATCATGCTTTCTTCCCCATCCGACTAGCTCACTACGGGCTTCTTAAACATAAAGAATGGAAGAGAAATATCTACAAATGCTTGCAAAAGCTAGATCCCAACACTTGTCCTCATATTTCTAAATGCTTGTTACGCTTTAGTTCATAATGCTCTCCAGACTTATTACTTTTGAATCTGTACTCTCTGCACAGCTCCCCAAAGACATTTTCTGAGACAGGGTAAGGGTAAATCCCATAGCTCCTCCCCCCCCTTTCTCTAACAACATGCCATCAATTATTTAATATTTTACTATTATCTTCTAACACTAAGGGATCAATTAAGTAGGAAAACGGCCTCTGTTGTTTCTGGCCTTTGAATGCTCTGAATGGACTCTGGAGGATGCAGCTTCATAAATCCATGTTTTGTGGAAGGAAGGAAGGAAGACTTTTTTTTACCAGCCTCAGTGTTTTACAATGGAGATCAGTGGTACTATCAGAGCAAAGGTGTGTGCCCAGGGCTCCATGTAACTGAATGAGCAATGCAGTAGGATGGCCTTTTTGAAGTAAATGATATAATATGCACTGGTATTTAAGGAGAGATGGGTGGATGCAAGTCCATGAACTCTAAAATTACCTAACTATACCACTGGCAGATATGCTTTATTGTTCCCTAGATTCCAGTTCATGCAAATGTCCCAATCTTCAGTAGCCTAACTCTGATCTCTACAGATGGATTGGCTGAGGGCGATGGAAGAAAGACTTTCTCAGTGCCCACCCTCTGAAATTAATGGGCATGACTAACGTAGGTTCATTAATTCCAATGGGTTTACTCTCAGTAGGGTTTCGTAGGATACAATCCTAGGTTACCAAGTTTCATTTTGCATAGTATACAGGAACTCTTAAACATGGAATGAAATTGTTTTACTTACCTCAAATTCAAATCCAATGTGATCTATTGGGATGGTGTATTTCCTGGCATAGTTCTGTGAAACTCCTGTCAAGAAGGACTGAGTAAAGTAGAAACCGGAAATCCAAAACACAATTGGAGGTCCGTGATTGATCCACTCCTGGGTTTAACATGAATCACCAAAGCAAATAGTTATTATGTGGCATTAAAAGAAACAACAACTGCATATGGTCAGCTGTAAAGTCTTGAAGGCCAAGAGCTTGGGGTAATGGAATCTCAAACCGTCAGTCTCCACCATTAAACAAATGCAAATCTGTAAAGGTTTACGTCCGAATTTATAAATATTAGGATAAGAAAGTGACACCGCACTTAGCTGAAAACACCAGCATGATCGTTAAGCATATATAAATATAATTTAAAATATTTAACTTTAACACACTTTTCTGGTGTACGCATCTACTTCTGGGGCTTTTATTAATTAATTTATTGTTGGCAACTGCTGTCTCTCTTTGAAGCTTATCTAATAATTAAGGGTTGTCACCAACTAGTCCTACTCAAGAGCAGACCCATTGAAGTTAATGGACTTCATATTTACATTCACACTTCACATTCAATAGGTCTACTCTGGAGCAGGACTAGCATTCGATGCAACCCAAGATGTCTTAACAGCGAGAGCTTTTTTAAACCTCTATTCCTGCAACAGTTCTTCTAATCTGTGGCTCTTTCTTAACCACCTAGCTAGCTTTCTACTTCCTGCCTCCATTTACACTGCTTAGATACTACCGAGTTAAGCCATATATAAACTTTTGAAGTACAGTGGTGCCTCGCAAGACGAAATTAATTCGTTCCGCGAGTTTTGTCGTCTTGCGATTTTTTTCGTCTTGCGAAGCACGGTGTCGGAAAAGTTTTGGAAAAGCTTCAAAAATCACCAAAGTCTTCAAAAACCTCAAAAAAGGCTACCACACCGCGTGCTATGAGTTGCTCCTCGAAGTCAAGTCGCAACTGTATTAACGGTGTTAAGAAAAAGGAAACAAACTTGCAAGACATTTCCATCTTGCGAAGCAAGCCCATAGGGAAAATCGTCTTGTGAAGCAGCTCAAAAAACAAAAAACCCTTTCCGTCTTGCGAGGCATTCGTCTTGCGAGGTACCACTGTAAAACAAGTAAAATTGCATCCTGAGTGAATACTGAGTTCCCCAAACCAGTTCCATATACTTGAGCCATCCCAAGAAATGTCAACAAACCACTAAAAAAACAGAAAAACAATGATTAAATACAAGCAAGCATTGACAGAAGTAAAATACACATGAACACACACAAAAATCTTTTAAACCCATACAAATGATTACAGTAAAAACAGCATGGCACCGGCCCTCTCATTAAAAGCAGTCAGTTACCAAAAGCACATTGGAACAAAAAGCTGTTCACCTGCCTGTGGAAGGACAGCAAGAAGGGAGCCAATTTAACTTTTCTAGGGAGGGAGTCCCAAAGTCTGGGAGCAACCACTGAGGAGGCCCTGCATAGGATTGTTATGACTCTGGCCCATTTTGATCTCTCTCAGTTTCTCAAGTCAAATCAAGTCGTTTTATTACAGTCAATGACCAGTATCAAGACAAAAACACCAAATTCCAAAATTTAAAAGCTCAGAACAAAATAAACAATGTAAAATCACTTATACATAAAAAAAGCAGTTTTGGCTAGACATTTATTTGTCCAAAAGGAAACCGTGTCAGAAAAGCAACCTCAACAGATAGACGGTTACTCTCAGTATCTCATTTTTCTAGTCTTAAGTCCAACCCCCCACATTTCCACATCACTTTGCAGAGCTTTTTTTTAAAGTGCTCATGAAAATTCATTAGCATTATAGTGCCAATTTCTCCTAATATACACATACTTGCAAGCAATTTTCCCTAATAGAATGAATGCATTTTGGTTTGTTATATTCACTAATATATGCACTTCTATGCACTCTTTACCATAATGCATGCACTTTTGTACACATGATGGGAGATCCTCATTGCAACCTTCCGAAAAGTGCAAAATTTGAAGGCTAGCTGTGTTTTGGTTCACATATTGCTTTGGAAAGCACAAATTAGGGAAGTCTGTGTTTAAATTCAAACCAAATTGAATTGTTCATCTCTACTCGTGTGTAAATGCTCTTGACAACAACACTGAACCATGAGAGCTGAAGCATACCTGAAAGAAGACCAGCCTCATGAGAAGGTCAGACACGTAACTCCCCATAGGCTTCAAGGATGGGTAGGATTTGGCTGCCCACATAGGAGGCACTTTGCCTACAAGCATGCTGTTGAAGACATCCTCGAGTTCTGAAGACATCAGCACCTGGCCTTTGATGGCTTTAAGTAGGTTGACAAGGCTGCTGCGTACAACCTCTGTAAGCCTAGAGGGAGAAGAAATGCTTCTGAATCTGTCCTGAATCTGTTAACCATAGGCTCCCTGGTCAGATGAAATGGAAACCTAGGGTTAACTGGAGGCTTCCACATGACCTTAAGCGTGCTGTTAAATGAGGAAAGAGGGCCAGTCCTTTTATTAAGGCAGAGTGGATTGGCAAGTGATAGGGGTGAGAGCGATGTTTTGGAGGATGGAACTCTTTTGTGCAGTAGAGGCCTGCATGCCCTCAGGTGCAGTAGGAGACACTGTCCTGCCACAGTCAACTGCAAGTCCCATCACCTTCTGTATATGGAATAGCAGGTGGGCAAATATCTGTGATTTTGCTTGATGTCCATTATGCTAACATAAAATATATGTGGAGCTTTCAGGCCTGTGGCTGCTCCATCACTATTTCTATTAATATTGCAGGGTGGTGGAGAAGAAGAAGAAGAAGAAGAAGAAGAAGAAGAAGAAGAAGAAGAAGAAGAAGAAGAAGAAGAGGAAGAAGAAGAAGAAGAAGAAGAAGAAGAAGAAGAAGAAGAAGAAGAAGAAGAAGAAGAAGAAGAAACCCAGAACCCTACCTGTTGAACCTGATAAGTTCTTGCCTAAGAACTGTGTTCATGGACTCCCTGTAAAGTACTGGGTACATTTCCATCACATATTCTAGGTCAAAGTCTTGTGGTAACTTGGACAGGACGTCCTGTGCCAGTTCCTCTACCGTTTCCTAAAATCAGGAAATTGGACATTTTTGAAATGGAATACACTTGAAAATAGCATTTGTTGTAGCTCTTTAATAACCTGCCATCTTTTTGTATGTTATTCTTCAAATACGTAATTTTTCAAACTCATTGGCCCTTTTGAGCTTATTATGCTTTTAGTTGTGCTTAAAAGGTAAAGGTAAAGGGACCCCTGACCATTAGGTCCAGTCGTGGACAACTCTGGGGTTCCGGTGCTCATGTCACTTTATTGGCCGAGGGAGTCGGCGTACAGCTTCCACGTCACATGGCCAGCATGACTAAGCCGCTTCTGGCGAACCAGAGCAGCGCACGGAAACGCCGTTTACCTTCCCGCCGGAGCGGTACCTATCTATCTACTTGCACTTTGACGTGCTTTTGAACTGCTAGGTTGGCAGGAGCAGGGACCGAGCAACGGGAGCTCACCCCGTCGCGGGGATTCGAACTGCCGACCTTCTGATCAGCAAGTCCTAGGCTCTGTGGTTTAACCCACAGCACCACCCTGCTTAGCACGTCACTAAATACATACATCGTAGTAAGAGCGATGGATGGATGGATGTCAGGTGTCAATGGTCAGGGTAAATAGGTGCATCTTCAGCATATGATAGAAATTACATAATGAAGCTGCTGAACACACCTCCAAAGGGGTGGAATTTCACAGCTTAGGGGATGCCACAAAGAATGCCCTCTCCCAGGCTACCAACACCCCTGAGGGTAGCCAAATAACCAGATGGGCCTCTTCTGCCAACCTTAACATCCAAAAGGGACTGTCAGGATGGAGGTGGTTGTTTAGATATTTGGGGCCTAAGTCAATTAGGGCTTGAAGCACTAGATGAAGCCACGGTGTCATTTTGTTACCTGTGGAGATTTGCCGCCGCCACCTGCTTGTCGGGGCAAAGTCAGCAAGACACTATTGAAAAGCAGGTTGGTCTCTTGGTTATCCTTTGTGATATCTGCATTCTCGTGTAGCCCAAATACTCCGGGGTGGGTTATAATTGGCAGACTTCTCAAGTAGTCTATGTAGGACTGTAAAGAAATATATAACAATATGTGTATTTTAAGAATCATCACCGGCAAGCAGGTTTGCTAGATAAGGAGGTGGTATTGTTCACACTGTCCCCAATTGGGACAGACTGTGATGCCCACATTTTAGAAAAGTGTAAGAAAATCCCTGCACAACCAGGCTAAAGACCTATCTAGACCAGCATCCTGTTCTTGCAGCGGCCAAACAGATCCCTCTGGGAAGCCCGCAAACAGGACCTGAGCACAACTTGTGATTCCCAGCAACTGGTATTCAGAGGCATTTACTGTCCCTGATAGTGGAGGGAGAAAATGGCCATTGTGGCCAGTAGCCATTGATAGCCTTCTTTTCCACGAATCTGCCTAATCCACTTTTAAAGCCATCCAGGTTGATGGCCATCATTATTTCGGGGGGTGGGGTGGGGAGAGAATTCCATCGTTTTACCAGGCACTGTGTGAAAAAGTACTTCATCCACACCTTTTGCTCTCTTACCTGGTATGTCCCAAAGGATGGTACGAAATATTCCCCCCCTGGGGAAAGCTGATAGTTTTCCAGGACTTCTACGTCTTTGCAATACACAATTGAAAGAAGAGAGAGGAGGAGACGCCTGTCCTTGTCGTCCGTTACCCTCCCACCATAGTTGCATTCGCCTAGGAATAGAAACAACACATTAGAATGAAAATGGTAAGATATTTATGCAGCATGTAGAGATACCTTCTGTTTAAAATAGGAGACCAATAAGACTCTGCTCACAAGGTGACTGGAGCTCACATACAGTGGGCTCAGGGGGAAATTGGAACCTACAGGTGGGACATCTTTTATAAACAGCCATATGTTAGCTAGCCTTGCATTACTAGGGACGATAAAGTTCTGTCAGAATTGGGTTCCCATCATGGGTCCCCATATACTTTGGGTGGTAAGGTGGAGGGTGGTGGCTATTAGACTGTGGCCCAGATGTAACAGGAAACCATGGTTTTGGGGAGGATTCCAGATCCAAACGCCGTCATATCCTGGTAAGGCTGGGAGAAATCCTTGCCTGTGGCAAAGGAAGGTATCAGCCAGTCAGAGCAGATGATACTGAGCTAGATGGACCAATGAACTGACTTTGTACAAAGCAGCATCACATGAGCTGCAGTATGACTTGCATGCTCCTCTCTCTCCTCTCCTCTTTTCCAGCTGTTTTGCTATGGCCACACTGAGGAATGGGGAAGGGATGTATGCAAGCCTTGGGGGCTCATTTTCATAAATGATAAGCCATGCTTTTAGCTCACTTTTGTAATACACTCACGTTCGTAATGATAAACCATAGTTTAGCTAAATCACGCTAAGCTCATTTTCATGATGCTAAACCAGCATTATGTCTGAATGTAGCCATAATGTCCGTACCTGTAAGATATGTGAGAGCTTCAAATGGGGTTTCTTCATATTCATTCAGAAACATCTGAATCTGCCGCATGCTGATTCTCAGATCAGATTCATTGAATTCATAAGGAATGTTCCAACCTGTCCAGGTGAGAGTTGGGGGAAAGTGAGTCTGCAATACAGCAAGCTTTGTTCTGCTGATGGCAAACAATAAAATGTCATTCAATGCTAATAGACTAAGCTGAAACAATACCATAGTGAAGCCCAGGCATTTGTCTCAATATTGTATCCAAGAGGGAGATATTTATCTTTAATTAACTTCCCTTATAGTGCAACGATGTGTTCCAGGTCTTACATTAATTTGAGACGCTAATGTTAAATATTATTTATGTGCCCCTCAGCTGTCATTTGAAAATTGCTGAGCTCAAAACTGAACAGCTGCATTCTGATGGACACAGAAAAGGCACAAGTGCCCCTGGCTAATTTGAACAGAAGCTCCCTATATGGCCACCTAGGAAATCTGAGCAATAGATCCAAGTTTGTAACCACATAAAAATGTTTACCTTTGTTATTTGGGGTGCCTTTGGCAGCAAAAATGGCCCAGTAGGCAGTGAGTGACATACATGAGGAAATCTTCAATAAAACTTAACCGCAGAACTTACCGTAATCGTAGAAAGAGCTATGTACTGATGCAAAACTGAACAGTGGGATCTGGATCACAGACTGACACAATGATTGGTGCAATGGTTGTACCATTAGTGGCATGGGGTCATAAGCGGTTGCCAGTGTCTGTTTAATCCATGTTGTGCTGTTCCTTCGTTTAGAGTTGCAGCACATATAAGATGATAGCATCAGTGTGGTGTTGTGGACAGAGCAGTAGGTCAGGGAGATCCACTTTAAATTCCTCACTTGGGAATAGGGATGGGTGAATCTGTCAGTTTAGGTTTCTAATATTTCCAATCTTAAATGCAGTTCTTCACATTTCTATACAAGTTTGAGGTTGTTGTTGTTAAGTTCTCACAAAAACTCGCTGGCATTTTAGTGCAAATTTCTAATATACACATTTTTGTGTGCAATTTTGCCTAATACATACGTACATTTTCCCCAAAGCCGCTTCCCTGAACGTAATGCATATTCATATGTAATTTTCATGTACATATGCAATTCTGCACACTGTTTACCTCGGTATGTGCACTTTTGTAAATACAACTTGGCTGGGAAAACCGCAAAATTGGGAGAAATGTGAATTCTGAAGGATGGCTGTGAATAAGGTAGATTTGCCTTTAAAGGCGAACTGAGTTGGATTTCTCCCTCCATCCCTAATGAGGAACAACACTCAGTGAATGACTGGATCACACTCTTTCAGACTTATCTACTCACAATGTTGTTGTGAGGATACAGTGGGGAGGGGGGCAGATAGGAACCATTTATACTGCTTTCATCCTGGACAAAGAATTGGACAGACACCATCTCAGAGCCTGCTCCAGCCTCTGCTGGCCACAGAACCACCTACCATCTACCTTGTCTTGGGTGGCAAGGAGAAAGACGGATGAGGGGAAGACCATATGCAAACCTCCTCTGGCTTGACTTTCTATTTCCACCTCCCCAGAGCCATCTACCACACACACAAAAAATTGCTTTTGGAAACAATGCAGCACACAACATCTTACCTAATGGACCAAAGTTTCTTCTTTCTTGCACAAGAGCATGGAAGAAGCAGAGGCCAAACAGCAGCTTCTGCCAAATTTCTTTCTTTTCGCAACTGTTAAAGAACATGGGGTCAGAAACGGGGTCGTTGAGGTAGGATCGAAGGAGATTTGCTCTCACCCCTTTAGGTGGCTCGTTGGTCATTTTTATTCCGTTCTGGAGAATGCTGACAGGAAACTTTTCGGATGGATAACTAGTCAGCCACAATCTAATGAAGTTGGGAGCAGAAATAAATTTGGTTACATGGTGTAGATGCTGTCTATGTGTAGGTCAGGGGTTGCCACTGTGTGCACCCTCCAGATGTTTTTAGACAACTAGCAACCCTGACTACTGGCCATGCGCCAGCCCTGTATCAGGAAATTTTAATGTTTTATATTTTATTATGTTTTTATATGTGCTGAAAGCCACCCAGAGTGGCTGGGAAAACTCAGATGGCAGGGGTATAAATAATAAAACTATTATTATGCTGGTTGGGGCTGGTGGGAATTGTGGTCTACAACATCTGGATGGTACCACCTTGGCTACCCCTCGTGAAGATACACAAGCTTATTTTCACACATTTGAATAACGGTTAAGTATCTTGTGTGTGCCTTTGTAACAAATGTGTTAGAGGCCTAGCTCTCACTGAGATGGTCAACCTGTGTCTGGACCATACCACATCAGACTCAAGACAGGAGCTCAGATGAATGCACCTTTGTGTTTCTTTAGTTTTTTTTAAAAGGGAGATCCTGCTACATAGAAAGCTCTTATGTGCAAGAGAAAGGGAGACTAGCACTGTCACAAAGCACCATCACAAGCCCCACCTCAACCCCCTCTTTGCAACCAGGAGTACAATGGTCACCACCAAGACATCTGGTAAAAGGTAAAGGGACCCCTGACCATTAGGTACAGTCGTGGCCGACTCTGGGGTTGCGGTGCTCATCTCGCTTTACTGGCCGAGGGAGCTTACGGGTCATGTGGCCAGCATGACTAAGCTGCTTCTGGCGAACCAGAGCAGCACACGCCGGAGCGGTACCTATTTATCTACTTGCACTTCGTGCTTTCGAACTGCTAGGTTGGCAGGAGCAGGGACCGAGCAACGGGAGCTCACCCCGTCGTGGGAATTCAAACCGCCGACCTTCTGATCAATAAGACATAGGCTCTGTGGTTTAGACCACAGTGCCACCCGCGTCCCAAGACATGTGGTAGTGACAGTGAAAAAGTGAAAACTGCAGAGGGGCAGTTACAGGAAAACCTTTGTGTTGACCCTGCACAAACCACTGCTTCCGATAGAAAAAGTTTTAAAAAAATCAATGATCCCCAAATCTGGGCCCCCACCCTGCCCTGAGGAAGACTCTGATGAAGAGGAGAAGCAGGCAGCCCTGTGCAAGGAGGGGACCTTTCAGACCTCCTTCCATGCCTTTCCAGCCAGAAGATGTAGCTCTCCTGCCACCCACAAACCCTTAGGATGAGTCCCCAGTAGCATTTCATCTCTTCAGTCTTGTAGAAGTCAGCAGTTATGGAACTGGACAACGGCCCTTTAAAGAACACACCCAGTTCCTCTGCAAAGGCAGGGCTAATTGCGGGGCAGGGTTTGCCAACCTTAAACTCTTTGCTGAGACAACATCCACCCATTAAGCACAACAAAGGGAAGACTGCAGCCACTGGAGGTCACAGGACCTTTCCACGGTCCTGATAGGGATTGCCTAAATCTGGGCGTATATTTATTTTTATATATTTCACAAGATCTATATACCACTCGATTGCGAGAAAACCTCAAAGCAGTTTACAGAAAGAGTAAAATCATAAAATCATCAAAATAAAATCATCAAAAAAAAAAAGAAGAAGAAACAACTATTGAAAACGTTCAAAAATAAATAAAATCAATGATGGGGGCAGGGAGGGCAAGCAGATTAAAATGTAAGTCAAGATTCTATATTTATGGATGAGTTTTTAGCAGGCACCAAAAAGAGTACATTGAAGATACCTGCTTGGGAGTTCCAACTGAAAATATCAATTTCTTACAAATATGGAACAAGTATTATGAGGCACTTGTAACAGTGCCAGTTCCACAGATCAAAGCAGTTGCATAGGCATATATGGGATAAGGCGATCTCACAAGTAAACTAGTGACAAGCTGTTAAGGGCTTTATATACAGTGGTACCTCTGGTTACGAACTTAATTCGTTCCGGAGGTCCATTCTTAAACTGAAACCATTCTTAACTTGAGGTACCACTTTAGCTAATGGGGCCTCCCACTGCCACCACATGATTTCTGTTCTTATCCTGAGGTTAAAGTACTTAACCCGAGGTACTACTTCTGGGTTAGCGGAGTCTGTAACCTGAAGTGTTTGTAACCCGAGGTGTTTGTAACCCAAGGTACCACTGTACTAACATATAGATGTGACCTTGGCCCTGAACTTGATAGTGCTAAATTGAGGCACATGCTACTGAGCCTGATCTTACCTGCATGACCCTGCTCACTGTGATATTATCTGACATGGCCTCAGTGGGAAGAGATATTTACCTAATATTACCTTCTTTTAAAAAGCCTGCTGCCATGTTCTCTGTGACCCTGGAACCCCAGGGGATCACAACTTTCATTGCAACACTTTCCTGACCAGCAAAAGAGGCTGTCTGGAGCACAGGAAATGAGATTTCCACAGCATCCCATGTAGACTGAATAATAGATATTGAATTCTTGCCTGAACTTGGTATGAGTATTCTCAGGTACTATAACCTCTTCACAGATTTTTTCCAAAGCAGGCATCCAGCTGGTTGCGAGATGGCAGTTCTGCAGCACAACCCAAGTCCCGTCCACGATAGCCTGATTAATCATCTTTGCTGCGATTGGGCCTTGGCCCTGGCCAAGTGAAATAGTCTGGATGCTTTCCATGCCAAGATCATCAGCAAACTTCAACAAGCCTAGCGTCAAATATTTAAATACAAATTGTTTTAATAAATGCGCAGGGTTTTAGTGTCAGGAACGCTATTCAAGAAACCCAAATGGAATCTTCTCAGTTAAAGTAACTGTAACCTTTAGAAGACATCTGACGGCAGCCCTGTATATGCTATTACGTTTTTTATACATGTTGGACGCTGCCCATAGTGCCACCCAGTCAGATGGGAGGGATAAAATTAATAATAATAATAATAATAATAATAATAATAATAATAATAATAATATGGTGATGGGGAATTACAAGTGCTTTTTGGAGGACTTTCTGGCAAGCTGCTGTTGCAAAGACCTCTGCACCCAACATATAGAAAAATTAAGGAATGTCAGTAGGAAGCTACTTTATACAGAGTCAGAACATGGGTTCATCTAGCCCAGTAGTGCCCACACGGACTGGCAGCAGTTCTCTCCTAGCCTTACCTGGAGATGCCAGCAACTGAACCTGGGACCCTCTCCATGAAAAGGGTACCATGAGCTGTGGTCTTTCCCCACTGAGTTCCCTCTGGGTGCATTTTGTGTGCTGGAAAACAGGCCCTGGGGCAGAGGGGAAGGCTGGACCTACAGATGAATCTGGCCCAGGAGATGCTGCCTCTGAGGATCCTAGTTTGAGGGTCTCATAAGAGCATAATAAGAGCCTGCTGGATCAGCCAATGGCCCATCTAGTCCAGCATCCTCTTCTCATAATGGTCAACCAAGATGCCTATGGGCAACTCGCAAGTAGGACTTGAACACAACAGCACTCTTGCCTCCTGTGGTTTCTGGCAACTGGCATTGAGAAGCATTACTGCCTCTGACCATGGAATCTCTGGCTCAAGTTCAGAATTGGGGACCCAGGTCTGGGTCCAGCACCTCATCTGCTTGCACTGCCATTTTTTTAAAAAAATCTGGCTGTGCACTCCTCCACTGGGTCAGAGTTTGAGCCGCTGCTCAGGGTGTGGGTAGTGAAAGGTGCAAATTATAGCCTTGTTCAACCAAAAGGCAGTATCATGAAAGGAAGATTTCATATTTAAGAAACCTCACCTGCCATGGGATCAGCACCTGGCGACAGAACAAAAATCAGAGGTGCGCAGCAGTTGGAGTCATGGTAACTTCCAACAAGATCAAATGTTGGGGGTTCGATATATATCTTCCCCATGTTGTCTGAGATGAACAGTTGGGTGGCTGGGATGATTTTATCTGGTCTCAGGCATCGGAGGATGACCATGCGGTCAAGACCCGTGACCAGATTCCATTCACCGGGAAACTCTTCTTCGTGAGGTTTGGCAGAATCATAAATCAGTTTCCATTCTGTGACATTGGACTCCACATGATCCAACAGCCCACGCAAGTTTTTCAGCCCCGAGGCACGCACAATTTCGGCCCACGATTTGTCAGACAACCACTCTGGGGCAGGATTCGCATACGGGTTCTCAAGCGCAACGCCACCCGTCAGTAGGAAACGCCAGACCTCATCATCAATCTCATCTCTCCCTTTCATGATCCCTATAGTCAGAAGTAGGGAGAAAAGAAGCTTGTCCTTCTCAAACAGGGATCTGCAGACGTTGTTGTAGATGCTGATTGTGAAATGGTCAATTATGAATTCAATCCTTTCTTCCAAAACATCGCTTTTCCTGCTATTGGCAAGAGACTGGACATAGAGGTTAATAAACCATATCAGGGAATATTGATACATTGGTTCAATGTTAGCCAGATCAGAAATGCAAAAGAAGACTGTTGCTGAATGAACAGCCACTGGCTTGTACCCCATTCGGGTGGCATCTATTTCCATTTCTGTAATAGTGGCAATTTCCTGCTTTTCAGATATTTCTTCAGACAACTCTTTGGAAGAAGAGAGGATTTTAATGGCTGTTTCATCTTCTAAGATATTTCCTTCCGACTTGGAAAGAACTTCCAGGATTTTGTCTTCAATCTCCTTCAGCTGTTTCTTGTTTGCTGCACTTTCTACAATCAGCTTGTTCTTCTTCTCTTCCAGCTCAGGCTTTTCCTTCGCAGCCACAATCCCAAGAAGCTGGTCCTGAAGCCCTAGAGGGGTGATCATAAAATTGAGCAGACAAACTTTCACAGCAATTTCAGGAAGATAATGAGGATTCCTTAAGCGTGTCGTTATGTAAAACTTGAAATCCCTTGAGTACTCAATAATGTTCTCCCCCAGTCTCATGTACTCCACACCTTGCTGTTTGAAAGTTGCCTTTAGCAGCACCGGCTCCAAGAACGCATCCAATTCCTCGCCAATATTTTCAAGCAAGACTGGGGTTCCAAACTGGATAGCGTTCTCCAAAGTCCTTACATAGTTGGTGTCAGACAACTTGATAACGGAAAGCTTATTGCCCTTTTCCATATTTTTGACCCATTTGTTGGCTTGCCCTTGAGGATCAATCATTAAAGCCCACCGTCTTGAGTTGGAAACAATGATGCCGTTGTCAATTGAAAAGGAATCAATTGGCAATCCGGCAATCTGCCAGGCACGGATTTTGACTGGGTCCCCTAAAGTGTTACTCAGGCTGAAATCAGTAGAGCATGGGACTTTCTCCTCCTTGCACAAAGCCAGCCACTTCTTCTGACATTCTGTACGGTAATCAACGGTAAAGGCTCCCAGATAAGCCACCGTCCCTGAAGATAACAAGACATCCCCAGTGAGGTCAGTGTATTTAATTCCTAGCAGGCGTGCTGCTTCCGTCCACCTATCCTTCTCGCCTCCCAAGCCACTGATCAGCTTTTCAGCCCTGTCCAGCTTCTGAGAGCATATTTCAATGTTGTTCTCGAGTTCTTTCTTCCGGTTGTTCATTTCTTCAAATTCGTCATTCAGGTCCTGGAGGCGGTCAATCACCTTCTTGAGTTCTGCTCGCTTCGTATTGAGCTTCTGCATCTGTACAGCGAGCAAACCTTCAGCCTCCCTGAGTCGTTCACGTTTTGGAGCTACCACCTTTGCAACACGGTCGTACACTTCCATGGCTCTCACCCATTTACACAAGCCTTCGCAGGCGGATGATACATTTTTTATGACAGCTGGCTGAAAGTCCGGATGGTTGATGAACTTCTCTCTAATTCTCTTCATTACAGCTGATGGGATATTGTCTTTGTCATAAGTCTTCAGGCCTTCGAGGAATTTCAGATCCCCTAGAACCTTTTTGGAACTTCCCCAGTAGTCTTCTATCATTTTACCTGAAATTTCACATAAATACATATATATTAAAATGTTTTCAAAATACGAATATCTCATTTAACAAATCTGGAAGATTTTCAACCTCCCTGTTCCTTCCCCTGAAATAGTTTTTTGAGCATCCAGGTAATTCTTAAGCCAAAGCAAATGGATAAGGTGGTATAATGACTCACTTCCCATAACACTTGTATCTATGGTCCATTTTATTGCATTAAATACAGTGGAGGCTAAGGCCTATTAGACTTTTAAGGCAGAATGCAGGAGTTAGAGCCAATGATAGGCAGAGTCAACTAATTCTGGCTTTGTCTTCACCCTCCTTCCTGCTGAGTTCTATAACAGCAACACTGGGACTAAGGAGGAGCAGGAGTAATAATAATAATAATAATAATAATAATAATTTATTATTTATACCCTGCCCATCTGGCTGGGTTTCCCCAGCCACTCTGGGCAGCTTCCAACAAAATATTTAAAATACAATGAAACACAGACATTAAAAACTTCCCTGTACAGGGCTGCCTTCAGATGCTTCTAAATGTCAAGTACTTGTTTATTTCCTTGACATCTGATGGGAAGGCGTTCTACAGGATGCTGGCCACTATCGAGAAGGCCCTCTGCCTGGTTCCCTGTAACCTCACTTCTCGCAGTGAGGGAACCACCAGAAGGCCCTCGGAGCTGGACCTCAGTGTCTGGGCTGAACGATGGGGGTGGAGACGCTCCTTCAAGTATACTGGGCTGAGGCCGTTTAGGGTTTTAAAGGTCAGCACCAACACTTTGAATTGTGCTCGGAAACGTACTGGGAGCCAATGTAGGTCTTTCAAGACTGGTCTTATGTGGTCTCGACGGCCGCTCCCAGTCACCAGTCTAGCTGCTGCATTCTGGATTAGTTGTAGTTTCTGGGTCACTTTCAAAGGTAGGGCTGGCTAAGGACAGGCTTAGCTTGGTAGGGCAGGGGAGCACTTGCCCTAATAGACTAAACTCTACTGGGTGAATGTCTTAATATATAATATAAAGTGATACGATGGCAATGTTTAATTTCAGCAAAGAAGCACATGACAACCCCTCCCAATAAATGTTTGTGGTGTGTGTGTGTGTGTGTGTGTGTTTTACCGCTTCCACTTGGATCAGGCTTTCTTTCTGGCTTTATTCCTTTCATAACACAAATGCTCTCCATGACCAGCTTGACAGGTCCTGGTGGATTCTGCATGGACTTGACAAGGGAGATATCTGCAGGGTTCAGGGTATCAAGAGCCGAAAGGGCAGCTTCCAGGGCTGGCATTGCCTCCGCCAGGTCCCCCTCGCACTCTTCCTGTAATCACATCAAACTTAGTTGGTCTCTAAGGTGCTACTGGACATTTTTTTTTATGTCATCACATCAAATATATTCCCACCACATTGTCAGGATGCCACTGCACAGTCCAGTGAAACAACAACTTTGCAAGAACAGCCCTTTTCTTTCTTATTGCAGGTGCTGCCACTGGATGTGCCTTGATTGAAACTGATCAAGGGCACTCTCGGTGGCAGTTCCCCACCTGTCAAATGCACTCCCTGGTGCAACAGGCACATGGCCACCCAGTGAGTTTTATAACTCCGTGGGGATTTGAACCCTGCCCTCCCCTGGCCTAGCACTCTAACTGCATCACACTCACTCTCTTGTGACCCCACAAAAGGGGGGCATTTTTAGTCCAACATTACTTTTACCATATATGTATTTGGGAGAAATAGTTTCTGCCTGCTCTGGGGTAGGTAGCAGCCCTGGGGAGGCAGATCAGAACTGTGTTGGGGACAAGGGATTGAATCCCCTCTCAGCGGCATCATGTTCCCAGTGTGGCCATCCCCGCTTAAGTGGCTGCTCTTTAGTTAAAAACCAAAATAGGGAAGGGCACATCATGTGCTGACAGTGCAGCCCTGTGCATATTTATTCAGCAGCAAGTGTTATTGAGTTCAATGGGGCTTATTCTCAGGCAAGTTGGCATAGCAGAGTGTTACGCCTGCCGGCGTGGTTGCTCGAGAGCAAACAGGCAAGACCCCCACTGGTCTTTTCAAAGGCTTTATTATCAGTGAAAAAACATTTACAGTGCAGAACGTCTCAATTCCATGTCTTGCTCAGTCACTAGCAGAATCTGAGAGTGGGCGGTCATTAAACTTTCCCCAGCAGAGTAGTCTCTTGACCCCCATCCTACGCCTCCCCTCTCTGCGCGTAAACTGACTGCGCAGAGAGGGCGTGGGCAAAGGGGGACCTGCCTCCCCCCCCCCCCCCCGCTTTGCTCATGCAAGGTGCTCTGGCTCTCCCTTGCATCCTCTGAGCCCTGCATCTCTTCCCCACTAGAGGCGTGGTTTCCCTCCTCCGCAGAGGAAGTGCTGCTTCTCACAATCTTTGGAGGCTCCCTGTAACACAACTGCCCTTCCACATCTCGCCTCTGAGCTGATGGCAGTTCCCTGACACAGAGGATGGAGAAACATCTATTCCTCTCTGTCTAGCCCTCAGAGCTCTCCTCTGGCAACACCCTCCTCACTTTGTCCCCCAACTGTTTTTGTCTGACTGGTCTGTGTCCATGAACTTGCCACTTGCTTGTCTGGATGGTGTGTGGCTATGAAGAAACTAGTCAACTGTACAAAAGGTAAAAATTGCATTTGTCGCCCCATCCACTTCTGCCTCTGGCTCTGCCCACCGCAGGCATGTAGACCTCAGAAGGTTGCCCAGAAGGGAATGTGGCCCTTTGGCTGATAAACATTCCCACACTTGAGGTACAGGATTGAAACCTTAGGACTAGAGTCAATGCTAGTCCTACTCAGAGCAGGTTCACTGAAATTAAAGGACAGAACTAACTTGGGTTCATTAATTTCAATGAGCCTACTCTGAGGACTAGCATTGCACACATTCCTCCAGGGAAACAATAAATAGGGCAGAAACAACGTGTCACTGCTAGCTCTTTACACCTTTCTTAGTTTTGATTTCTCAATTATTACACTGCACTGTTAGAAAGATGAGCTCTGATGGGGAGGGAGCACCATGCTGCACAGCACAATTACCTTAATACCCTGGGCAATAGCTGCAGCTTCATTGGCTTCCTTTTCATCTGCAGCCACAAGCTCCTTCTTGGCATCCACCTCAACGGTTTCTTTTTCTATGTGGATCATCATTTTCTCCGTTTCTGTGGAGGTCTGAATTAATTCCGGTTGAAGAGCAGTCAGCTCCTTTTGCATCACTGCAACCTAAAGAGGACGACCAAGGGAGAGGGCATAATCAAGATATTAATTCCTTACTATTCCAATCTTCAGTTCACCACATTTCATAATCAATTTCAGATACAGAAAAAAATTTCATGACAAAAATGCACCAGCATTTTAATGTGCAATTAGGTACCAGAATCTGCCAGTGATTTTGCTTTCTAACTAATCAGGAACTGTAGTTTGCTAAGGGTGCTGGGAATTATAGCTCTGTAAGGTACAGTTCCCAGGATTCTTTGGAGGAAGTCATGTGCTTTAAATATATGGTGTGTATACAGCCATTGTCTTTGAACAGCCCTGTTAATAATACTGAGCTTGCAATGGATACTGCAGATAATGAAAACAGTTACAAGTTTCCATATAATCTACCTGTTCCAGTCCACACTTACTTGTGAAGCTGCAAAATCAAGCTTCTGAAGGCCCACAAGATAGCGATTTCTCATCATATCCACTTCGTGCCTTTTACTATTTAATAACGCCTTAAAGGTCAGAATCAATTCCAGATAGGATGTTGGTGTTACGTAATTGTGTCTTCGAAGAGTGCTGTAATAGCTGACGGAGAGTTCTCTCACATTTTCTTGGAAATACTTACACATGGACACAACCCTACAGGGAAAACAAATGTTAATAGGCAGCTAATGCAAAAAATGAGTTAAATTTTGTGTGGTCCGTGAACACTGTATAAGAGCCATATAATTCCATATAATTTTTCTGGTAAAACTTTGGCTCAAGATATAAGAGTTATTTGAGGACATTCCAAGAGCTGATTTTGTGACATGCTAATTAACCATATCAGAAAACTTTGTGGTGATGGACAATAGTCAACATCATTCTGCAATAATTTCAAAAACTGTTCTCCATATCTATGGCCTACAATGCTATTTAATACCTTTCTTAGAAATTGGTCCTGCTAAATATTAACCATAGACCATGTCAGGCCAAACTAAGTTCAGTTAGATCATTATGAAGGCATCAAAAGTGGCAATACAAGCACCAAAGCTTGTCCCAGCCATCAAAGTCAGGAAACAGGGATGATGAGGGTAGTACTTCAACAATATCTGTAGAGCCATCTCTGAAGTAGACTTAAGACTAGGGATGATTTAATGTATCAATCTCAGTTTCGCTCAAGTTTCTCATTTTTTGTTAATCTTCAGTTCTTCACATTTCCACTTCAGTTTCCATTTTATAAAAAATCCCCCTGGAAATTCATCACCATTTCAGTGTGAATTTCTAATATACAGATTTTTGTATGCAATTTTTCCTAATATTTCCATTTTTAGAAAGCAATCTCACCCAATTGATTGCATCTTTGCATTTTATTTTGATTAATATATGCATTTGTATGCATATTTTCCCCCAGGAAACGCATCTTTGTACACATTACTTGGCCCACGAAGTAGAAGTTTCAGAGAAATGTGAATTTTGAAAGATGTTCTTTCCATTCATGTATTATTTCAGAAAGTGTGACTTTTGGTAGATTTGCCTTTAAATGTGATCTGAATCAAATTTCTCCCTCATTCCTAATCAAGTCCACAAAAGACTGGGCTGGGATATATTTGTTAGCATCTAAGGTGCCTCAAGACCCCTTGTTGATTTTGGCTGCAACAGAGTTACATGCCCATGCCTTCTAGAAATTGTGACAATTTAGATTTGTTATATTAGAGAGGGCGCGGGATGGGGGCAGCTTTGCAAAGCATCCCATGACATACGATTTTCTGATTTCATCTTCCAGCTTCACATCCTCTAAGAATTTGTTGGCCACCATTTCCAAAGCATCAGTGGGCCATCTTTGGAACCAGTCGATAGTGCAGCAGTTGATCAGCGAAGGGAACATTCGCAAGCGGTTCCGGAAAGCATCTCCAATTGGACTCATTGCTGCAATGGACACAATCATTATTTCTCAGATAAGCCCAGTCAAATGTTAGAAGGAATCAGAATGAAAAAGTAACTTATTTTTTTAATCTGTACCTAAAACTATGTGCAAGTTTTTCTTCAAGCGTTCAGTAAAAAAGTTGTACATGGCCAGAGGGGTGGCTTCAATTCTCTTGCCTTCGGTCCTTGCCGCACCCTGCATTTTTTCAACGATGTCAGCCTTCTCATCGGCTGCAAAGATGTTAGGCACATCCCCCGTGTTCAACAACATGTTAATGTCCTCCACAAAGGACTCGTCTTTTATTTGGTTATCACAGAATAAGAACACAGTGTTTTTGTTGGCCACCCCTGACTGCAACATGACCTTCTTGATATCCTCTCTCCAGTCATTTGTGGTGTAGAACTTTGTGATTTCGATCATGAAGAGTTCATACGAATTCATAAAGGTGCCCAGCTTGGTGGCGCTCTGTCGGCCACTCCCACCGATGCCCACCAGCAGCAAGTGGCCGTTATCCTGCTTCAGTACTCTGCATATCCTTGAGATATGCTCAATGGCAAATTTAAACATAACCAGAGACATGGGCGCCTTGCTGATCTGGTTGAACTCCTCCAAGTAGTATTCCATAACAGATGTCAGCTTGTTTAAGTCTGTTATTTCATCGTAGATCTTTGCATCACTTTGTGGCTTAAAGTAGTCTCCAAAGAAGAGGCTCCGGATGTTATCGTCATGGATCTTTCCGGTTGGAGACAAGTGGCTTAATACCTATGGAAGACAGTGAGGAATACATAAGCAGTTTGGACTCCATCTGCCCACCACTACTCTGAAATAACGGATGTGGGAAGACACACTAAGAACATAAGTAGTACCCTGCTGGGTTGAATCAAAAGCCCATCTAGTCCAGTAACCCACTCCCAATGTGGCCATACAGATACGTCTTGGAAAGCTCTCAAAGAGGGTATGAACGCAACAGCAGTCTCCCACTCATGATCTCCAGCAACAGGCATGTAGAACCATATTGTCTCTGGAACTACACGTGATATAGCTACCATGACAAGTAGTCACTAATAACCTTATCCTCTGTGAATTTGTCTAATTCCCTTTTAAAGCCATCCAAGTTGGCATCCATCATTTCATCTTGTCATAGCCAACACCATAGTTTAACTATGCACTTTATCTGTCCTGAATCTCCCACTTTTCAGCTTAGATGGTACCAAGTTCTGATATTACAAGAGGGGAAGAAATGTTTCTTTAACTTTCTTCACACCGAGCACAATTTACATGCTTCCCCTTGCTTGCCTTTCCCCCTCTCTAAACTAAAACCTATAGGGTGGTATCCAACCAAGTTCTACATAGCATAGACCCACATTAATGGACCAGTTAGTTATGTTGCTTAACTTTTATGGTTCTACTCTGAGTAGGACTAACATAGCATACCACCCATAATTTATCAGTTGTAGTGTTTGTTTGTTTGTTTGTTTGTTTGTGTATCCATCAATAGATTGATCAATCAATCAATTGTGATGTAGCAACAATCCAAGAAAAAATCTGGGCAAAGATAAATGGCAGCTGCTATGACTGACCACTCAAATAGAAGCCAGAGAATAAGAAGTGAATGTTACTTGAGTTCCATCCTTGAAATTTCCCAATTCCAGAAAATTGCTGAAATCCCTCTGCAACTTTTGCACCGTGTGAAACTGAGGTGGGGGTGGGGGAACTCTTCAGCCCAGTGCAACCAAAATAACAGTTGCCATAAATATATCCTATTGTTCTCTCTTTATTCAAACAGCTCTCACTGCTTGAAGATGAACATACCTTATCAACACTCTGCTTGAAGCAATCAGAGGTTGTTTCTTTCACCATGTTAAAAAACACCTTCCTGTCGTCATCATCTATTAAGCGGTCATAGAAGACCCGATAAACTTCATGAATCCAAAGCCTGATCAGTTTCTCCCCATCCTATCAAAAGAAAGGAGGAACCTCAATCCATGCCTGGTTTTGAAGCAGATATGAACATAATCACACACATACATGGATCTTGATACTTCTTGACCACTGGGAGGTGGCAGCCAACCAACAGGCATTTAATCAGTAAATATTGTTATGGGTTTGGGGGTGGGATCCCCCTAAACCCTAGAAATTAATAAACAGTAGGATTTTTTTATTATTTGGAGTACCGAAGGGAAGATTGCAGGCCAGTGGAAAAGCACAGGCTAAGCTTCCTTTCCAAGCCAGTGCCTGTCCTGGGATAGAGGTGTTAACATGACAAATGGTGTTGATGGCCATCTAAAAGGAATTTTGGGCCTGGGCAGACAGAGGTTCCCAAGGTGATGGGATGTGTATGTGTGTGAGAGAGTAACTTTAGCAAGCTGTACTGAAAAGTAGGAAGAGAGCAAAGACAGAGATCTATCTTTTGGCAGGCTTGCTGAAGGGAGGTTGGGAGAGATGCCTTGGGCTCCAGTAATGCACTGCTGTGGAGAACAAGCTCCTCTTGAGATGATCAAGCTGTAAGATCTGTACTCCCTCCACCTAAATTCAGGTATAAATATGTGAATTTCTTAAAGCTAAAACAGCCTCTACCACGTCTTCAATTCTCCAAAGAGCACAGGCACAGGTTGAGGGCTAAGACCCCTGGAATCCCGTGTTACAGCTGGTAACAGTATAAAGAACTTTAGACTGAACCAGCTCGAGCCTTTGCAGGAGAAAAGCTCTGATCCTTCTCCATGCAGATAAATCACCTTTGAGATGGGAATTACAGAGAGAGGTTATTTCTGGAGATTCAGCAGCAGTGTGGTCCATTGTGAGGTGCAACTATGTGCACAGGGTTGCATCCAACTAAGTTTTACTCAAAGTAGACTCAATGAAATTCATGGGCCTAAGTTAGTCATGCTCATTCATTTCAACGAGTCTGCTCTGAGTAGGACTAATACTAGATGCAGCTCATACTGGTTAAGATATAGATCAGGAAATCTCTAGGTCAAAAGTTGCCTCTGCCACAAACCCTCCTGGTGGCTTCTAGTGGGCCACAATTGCTCAGCCTCAGCTCTGCACTCCTCCATCTTCAATATTCAATATTTACCTAATCTACAGAGTTGTGTTGTTGTAATCATTGCAATGTGGCAATGGATACAAAGTACTTGGAAACCTAAAGTGCAATTATAAATGCTAAGTTTTATGGTGACGATGGTGCCCCCATTGATGAAATAAAAGCAAGTGTAGCTTTCACACCTGCAAATGGGTATGTGGGCAGAGCAACACTCCTCTGATGACCCGGGAGAAATCGCGCAGGTTGAAGACATAGTGAGATTTTGAAGGAGTTGGAAGGAAGTTTTCCACAGCCATCTTGTAAATGTTCATAGTAGCATGAACCATCATTTTGCCAAGCCTTTGAAAAGGAGCAAAAAAGTTAAATGTAACCCCGAGCTTTCTTTCCACCATGCCCCCTGCCCCTAGGTTCTCTTCTTCCACTTTGCCATGGTGAAGAGTTGCAGACATCAGTAGGGATGAGCAAATCCGTTAATTTTAGATTCTCATTTCCCCAATTTTATGTTCAGTTCTGCAAATTTCCACACTGGATTGCAATCCCCCCACCCCAAAATAATCATTAGCATTTTAGTGCTAATTTCTCCTAACATACACACTTTTGGATGTATTTGCCTAAGATATCCATTTTTGCAAGCAATTTCCCCCAATATAATTCATTTCATGTTACTGTCAGAAATATATGCATTTTTGTGCATATACCTTAGTATAGCCTGGCCAGAGAACTGCACTGTTAAGACTGGGAAAGTGCAAAGGATTTCCTTTTGCACAACAAAAGTCCTCCCCCCACGCATCTATCCCAAACCCTCCCCAAATCTGCTCCAAAGGGTTGGCGGAAAATGTTTAGGGGGAGTTTCATTGCTCAAGCAGAAATCCTTGTTCTGAGACAATGGTTTAATTGGATACTCCTCATTATTTCTCCCCCATCCCTATTCATAATTCAGTGGCAAAGCATGTGGCTTTACACATTAGTCCCTGGCATCTCCAGCACCTGAAACCCTGGAGAGCTGCTGCCAGTCAGTGCAGACAGCACTAAGTTAGATGGACCAACGACAGCTTCTTATTTTGCTAACCATGGAGCAACCTCCTGATCTTAAATCAAGTGTCACTTCAGATAACAAACACACAACAGTACAGGATTATATAGCAAGAGCAGTGGCAGTAGTAGATAGTAGCTGGGTGTTGTTAGGAGAAATGAGTGGGAGTGGTGCATCCAAAATGTTATGGAAAGAGTTAATGTGCTATGGAATCCTAGGATGTCAGCACAGCAGGCAGTTTGTTTCAGGTGTGTTATCAAGTGCAGAGAGTGAGAGAGTGAGTTTTACTGTGAGAGTGGCAGGAATTTGTTTTATACTGCTATGTGCCTCAGAATAAGCCTTTAAAATCTCATAAATCTTTCAGTGCTTTTTCTGGGGGAACGCAGGGGTATGTGTAGCCCTAAATATTTTTTGAATCTAACAGGAGAAGAAACTAAATTTTATTTAAAAATTTAGTTTCTTCTCTAGCATGGTGAATTGTCAGTTCCGTTGCTACCCCCGATGGTGGCCTCATTTCCTGTCATGGTGTGTTTCTTGAGTCTCAGATGGAAGTGAGTGTTTAATGTGTGGAGTAGGAGTTGGAATTTAGTATGGTGATTGGTCAGTTTTGTTGTATTTGCTGTATTTATTTTTCCCAATCTGAACTATAAAATGGTGATTTTCTTGAGTCAAAATGAGAGTACCCCTAAACAATTTTTAAGGAAAAAAATCACTGTATGTTTTAGTATACCAAGTAAAGTAATGTGTTATGTTTAAACTCTAAACAGAGAGTCTTGTGCAGTCTTTTCTACAAGAGAAAAAGAGAACTGTACTTTTTTTAAAGGGTACAACGACCTGGGGCAGCTTCTGTGCATATAAATACCACAAAATGTGCTCTCTTGAAGAGAAGCACATTCCTTACGGTCCATTTACCTCAGAAAAGTGGCCTCAAACCCTTTGCTGAAGTGCCAGTCAACGATGGAAGCAAAGATCTTTGTTAAAATTTCATCATCGAAGGCACTGATAGAAATAATGTTCAAGTGCCTTGTGAAACGTCCTGTAAGACACAAGGGAAGACACAGTAAGTCTCAATGCAGCTTTGCCATTCCTTCTGATGACCCCAGGCAGATACAGTGGTACCTTGGTTCTCAAACACCTTGGTACTCAAACGCCTTGGTTCCCAAATGCCGAAAACCCAGAAGTAAGTGTTCTGGTTTTCAAACGCTTTTCAGAACCCGAACGTCCGATGTGGTTGTTGGCTATTGTTTCCGGGGCGCCTGAACCAATCAGAAGCTGCGCCTTGGTTTTTGAACATTTCAGAAGTCAAATTGACTTCCAGAACAGATTAAGTTTGGCGCTTTTGTTTTTGCTATTTATTTTGCGTTTTTGAGGCTTTTTTGGTTAATTTGTTTTTGTGACTGTGTGGAACCCAGTTCAGCTACTGATTGATTGACTGTGTGACTGCAGAAAAGAATAAAAGGCTGTCCTATTGCATTTAATCTGACATGATACCTGTAATATCATTCCTTCCACCTCCAGGAGGCCCCATTGCTGAAAGGAACAGAACATCCACAATATCAAGCCTTGAGGTATCCTTCTTGTCGTACCAGTGGCCGTGATCAATCCATTGCCTAAGGAGTTCTATAGGAGGCTGGGCTCCATACACTTCCTTGGCAGGCATATTTAAGTCATCTAAGAAGAATATTGATTGAATATTATTTTCTGAAGACAAAAAAGAACTCCCTCTACCCCTCTCCCTCTACCCATCAACACAAGCAAGCAAAGAAAGGGCGTGGATAAGGATGAGGCTATTAGCCTCAATGGCCAGGGGCAACAATGCTTCTGAACACTAACACCAGGAGCAGAGGAGTGCTCTTGTGCTCAGATTCTACTTGCAGGGTAGTCGGGATGCTGGACAAGAAGGGCCGTTGGCCTGGTCCAGGAGGGCTCTTCTTATGTTCTCTAGAGAAAGGAACAGAGCCTTTTCTAGATTAAACTTTTATTTGTATGCTACAACCGCAGCAAGAATGTTAATTGCTAGGAATTGGAAAGGGGATACGATACCAACAAAGGGAAGAATGGCAAAACAAATTGTGTGAGTATTTGGAATTGGTAAAAACGACAGTGGCAATTAGGCATCAGCCAAACCAAAAAAAATTTAAAGAGTGGGAATGTGTAAAAGACTATTTGGGAAAACATTGTTCTCAAATTAAACCCCTGATACATTTCGAATAAACTTCACAAAGTTAAAAACAGATAGGTAAGTTATATATTCTGTAATAGAAAGGTAATAAAGATAAACAACACAGTTGAAAAGAGAAAGAGCACGATGGCATCTTCACCCGGCAGTATGTTGCGCTCAGGAGCGGCAGTGGTTATACCTGTGATATACCACCGGGTGAAGGTGCCATTGCACTCTGGCCCTCAAACCAAGGGAGAAATGAGTTGTGAGGCACCAGAGCCGATGGAGCTTCTTTTTCACTTGATGCGCTGGGCACTGGCGGTGGAGGGACTCCCTTTGTCGCCAGCGCCCAGCACCCCAAGGGAAAAACAAGTTGCATCAGCCCCAGCCATATGAGGTGCCAGGGTGAAACCGCTGCCTCTCCAAACGAGGGAGCTGAGGCTGTTTCACCTCAGCACCTTGCGGGGCCAGGCTTAATGCACCTTGTTCTTCCCTCTGCTTTTCAACATTGTTTTGTTAGGGTGGTGATACATCACAATGTTGAAAAGTTGACAACACCTAGCTCTTCCCCCACCCCCTGGTCTTTCTCCCTCCCACCCTACCTGGATTGAGGTCCCTGACAGCTTATTTCTGCGAAAGGAAGTACAGCTGCTGTTGTAACAGCATGCTTCAAAACTGCAATGTGTAGCAACAAAAATGTTTAAGATGTGATCTTACCTACAAATACAATAGCCTTTTTTCCAGCTGGTGGACCAAAAAGTCCTTTTCTTCTCCTGTCCAGTTTTGACATAATAATGTCCTGGGTCTGGTTGGCTGTAGTTCTGGCAGAGAAATTGATGAAGTTGGGAGTGTACTTTGTCTTTGGGAGATTAATCAGAAAGCTGTTGGTGATCGCTGATTTCCCTGTACCAGTGGTTCCCACGAAGAGCAATGGGATTTCATGCTCCACATAGGTTTTCAGGAAAAAACTCTGCCTGGCTGTTTCCATGGTTGGAATTATAAGCTCGGAGACCTGTCGTGAAGAGATGGTTAGGTGTAAAAAACACATCTTGCATATTTGAAAGTAGAAAAATCTGCATCACTGCAAGAAGGGAGTGTGTGCATGAGAAAGAGAGATAATGTATTTATGACCTGTACATTGCAAGGATCCTGGTGGGGTGGCATATACATTGCACACCAGGCATGCAATGGAAGCTGGTCCATTAGGGTAAATGGGGCACTGCCCCACCAACCTTACTCTGTCCTCAACTAGCCACCATTTGCCCGCCTTCTAACTTACAATACTGTCAGCTTCCTGCTCGTACCTTAGTCTAAGTGTTGCCCCTGTATAACTCAGCAGGAAAAAGGATGGGGACAAAACTAGAATTAGTTGGCTCTGCCTTTCATTGGCTCTGGCTCCACCTACTGTTTAGCCTTCCTGCTATGCATTCATGTGTACCTGCATATGCATGCACAGACTGTAGGATCTCTATCAATGCAGTGTTTCCACCCACCGTTGGGGTGGGCTGCAAGTTTTGCAAACCTGTCTTCTTAGGGCAGAGCTTGTGCTTTGCTCCATAGGAGTGAGCGGTTACTATTCATTTACTGGGAAGACAACAGGTATAATAATGCAGTACTGAGAGTTGTTTATATTTGCTATTGTTGTGAATTGCTTTGAGCTCAACTTGAGGGTTGGGAACACAGCAGACAAAAATTTAATCAAATCAAAGTGGAGATGCTGCTGAGGGAGGGGGTGGACCAAGCCTACGCCCTGTCCATTATTAGGCTTTGGGGAACTGACTGCTTTTAATGAAAGGGCTATTGTAATTATGCATATGTTTTTAATGTTAAGTATAACTGGCTTAATTCACACATAAACAGAAAATGTATGTGTATTAATGAAGGTTTTAAATGGAAAATGGCTAAATATGTGGTGCTGCATTGGGTTTTTTTCACAGTAGTTTTCTAAAAGACTCTGAGCTCTTGCTGAGTTGATAATTAGCTAGTTGTTGTTTTCTGCTAGCTAACATGTCAGTGTTGTAACCTTAGATCAGGTGAAAAAGGTATTTGGTTGCAAATCTCCATTTTGAAGTTGCCTTTAGTCTTTTGTCTCAAACTGTGTGGAAGTAAGGATGTGTAAATGACCCTTTGAGTTAGAGAGAAAACAGCTCCAGGGAAAATGGATGCTGTGGGAGGAGAAAGGCCTTTGTTTGGATAATTTCGTATTATCTAAGATGCTGAGCCTGTGATGTACATCACAATACGTTGTATGGATAGTTGGGGTGTACCTTTGAGGCTTATGTTCTGTTTTTAAAGAATTCTACAAGTAAAAGTTTACATGATATTTTATTCAATGATTTATTCCAAAAGGAGTCAGTTAATATGCATCCAGTTGCTTCAAACTGCACGATGTTAATATATGTAGTATTTCAAATATAATTTATATTTATATATAGTCCTAGTTCTGTACATGTTTAATTGCTTTTCAGTGATATTTTCCCTATATATTCACTGTTCCTATTTTATCTGTAAGTTGCCTTGAGTCCGTGTGAAAAAGGCAGGATATAAATAAATATAATCATCACAATAATAATTAGCTCATCAAGGCTTTCACCTGATGTCACAATGATGTGAGGTCAACCCATTCTGCCCTCGCAGGCCTTGTGGTGCACAATAATAATTAGCCCATTAAGGCTTTCCCCATCATCATAGTCCCAGACCGACACCTGCTAAAACTTCACTGTTTTTCATGGTCATTCCAGAAAGTGTGATGGAATGTTGAGAACAAGCTCTTACATTCATTGATTTGGGACTGGGGGAAATCTTGTTCTTTAACCAGTGTTTCTAAAGTGGGACACAAAAATCCAAAATCGAAACTGTCCCATTCAACTTTATTAAAAATAATAAACAAAGCCACAGGCAATTATTAACAAAGCCATCAAGAATCACCTCTCCCTCTTCTTTTTTAATTAAAGAATGGAGGTTTCATTATTTCAACTATTCACACACCTCTTAACACTGTAGTTTCTACGCAGTGTGCAATGATGTTAGAAATGAGATACAAAGGAGATAAGTGATTAAAAAGCAACCTCAGCTGAGGATTGAACATGGGACTTTCTGAATACAACCCATAATAATAAATGGTTCTATACAACTTAGTTTTACTCAGAGTAGACCCCTTGAAAGTAATGGTCAGGACTTGTTAATTTGGCCAATCAGATAAGGTCAGCCTGAGCAATTATGAGGCAATAAATGCGAATGGTTTACCTTTACTCCAGCAGGGATGGTTTGCTCTTCTTTTGTAATGTACTCTGTCCAATTATTCCACTGTCCACTGGCTATCTTGTGGAAGTAAAAGTCGTACACGGTCCCTGGTTGAGGGGAAAAGGCCATCAGGAAAGCTCAGTTCAAGGCAGCAAGGCTGACTTTGGGTATTATTTCAGACTGCAAAATTTGGATATGTTTCTACATATGCCTTCTAACCAAACAGAAACAACCCAAATGCTGCCAAATCATGCTTTTGGTACAGAAGGGCAGCTACAGCAGTAGCCCACCAATAATTTCTGTCCTCCAGTTGTGTAAAAATAGCAGCAACTCCCCATTCAACACACCACTTTCAAATTACACTGCAAAAGTAAAGAAAAAGTAAAGAAAACCTTAGGGAAGACCAGGAATGGATTTTCTGTGAACTGGGTTCTGATACTGAAAACAAATTCCTAGGTGGAAAAAATGCACTCAGAGGCAGGGATGGGAGGCTCTGTCAATTTCAGTTCTCTTTCAGTTACTCTAAGGCACTGGTTGGCAACGTGCGGCCCATGGGCCGGATCCGGCCCACAAAGACCATTTTACTGGCCGACGAGCCGCCCCCAAACCAAGCCGCCCACTCGGCAGGTCTTCCAGCGCAGCACGGGGACTTGCCAACGGCGCAGGAAATCGCGTCTGGGCATGCGCAGAAGCGATTTCTGGCGCCGCGCTGCGCCAGTCCAGCCAATGGATGATCTTTGCGGGAGAGATCCAGCCAATGGCTGGTAAGCCTTGCCAACCCCTGCTCTAAGGCTACCAGAGAGTTCCTATGACATTACAGATATTGTTGAATATGAACTCTCATCAACATCATCATCTTATCATCATCATCATCATCATCATTATCATTATATTTTTATTTATAGTGTTGGATTTATGACCTTTGTATCAACATACACAATTTTATGAATTGTTGCATACAACTCTGGGATTGTTCAGGTTGAAGGGTGGGGTATAAATTAAATAACAGCATAAATAATCCCAGGTCATTCTACTTGGGGCTTATGGGAGCTGGGGATTCCCCATCCATCGTGTTCAGGATGACCAGCTCCTTTCTTAATCTCTGGGACCTATTACAAAACAATTCAATGCCCATACTGGAGATATGATGCTTCATGATGTATAAACAAAGCCAATTATTTAAATTTGCCAAGTGTATTTTAAACAGACCTCTATCTGGAAAAATGTTGTTCTTCGTCAGCTTTACGCTTTTGGGACGTGGGTGGTTGTCGTCCATTCCCATCAAAACTTCCCGGTAATAATGGTCGAATTTTTTCCTTCCCTCAGCGTTGATGGTGCCCCCGATGGTCCACACCAAGGCGAACAGGAAAAGTCCTTGCAGCCACAGGGTGATCTGCTGGCTGGACATGGTCTCGGAATCCTCTTCGCCGGAACTCCTTATTTCATCTATTTTTAAAAAAGAGCAGATGAAGATTGTTCTTAGAAGGCATAGTCAACAACTTCAAATGGTGTGTGTGTACCACGCCATGTGTTCTATTATGCAGGGCAGGCCTTACCTGCCCCCCCATATTTATTCAAGTTGGCACCCCTGCTGCCAACACTTTCAGCTCCCACTCCTCTGCTGTTTGTTTGCTCAGATACTGATTCAAGCAGGGGTGTCAGCTTACATTACAATCCTATATTAAGTTTATATTGAGTATATCTGGTGCACAGAGGGCCTTTCAGCTGATGTGAGTCAACATGGAGAAAGGAGAAGTTGTTAGGTGAACAAACTGGACAGGACAATGTTCTGGGATTTAAAATTAGGCCACAACTTTATTGATTCCAGGTGTAGGTTGGATTTGGCTAAGGCACTGGAGGGCTGGTGGACGGCTGGCACATGATAGAGTCGATCCTAGGGTTAATGTGTCCTCCCCAAGACACAGGTCTACACAGACGACCCTCCCAAGCCACTGAAGAAAGCTCTGTGGCCCATCTGCCATACACCTTGGCTTTTGGACAGAGACTTCCAACTAGACCCCTCGAAGGGGTACCCTCTTATTGCACTGTTCTGTGGTGGGGTTGATGGACCACTGCACCCCCCGTCTGATGTTAGACTTAAAGGAGGGCAAGGCCTTCTCTGCTAAAGTTGTGACTATTGCTATGGGGAAGGCAAAACCTGCAAATAAGACTAATCTGTTTGCAGACAAATTGTCATTGCTGACCAAAATTTCAGTAATTAAATTAATGTTTTACCTAGAATGATGTTTTTATTTCAAACAATACCTATTGCAACTGATTTACTGTTTAAAGAATGGCAAAAAAGATTTATTGAAGTTTTATGGAAATATAAAAAACCACGAGTTAAAATGAAAGTACTGCAGAGATTGGGACTGCCTGATTTGAAATTGTACTTTGCAGCCTGTTGCTTAGTGTGGATGAAGGAGTGGGTGATCCTAAGAAGTAGGAGGATTTTGGAACTAGAAGGTCATGATTTAAGGTTTGGATGACATGGATATCTGTGGTATGACAAGGTCAAAGTGAATGTGGACTTTAAAAATCATTTTGTTAGATGCACTATATTAAGAATCTGGAATTGAAATAAACCTAGGTTGTACTGTATACGAAGATACCCTTATGGATTTCAATGCAAGACGCATTTCATATGAAAAGAGGTGACAGGTCAAGAGAAATGCTTAGCCTAGGGAGACCAGATGACTTCACCTAATACAGCTTTTCATTGTATAGGTTTGTTAGATTTGTGCATTGCTTCCCACTAAGAAAGTGCCAAAGCTATGTACAGCTGTTATTCTGGTTTGTGCCAGAGCATTCCTACATCTCACTCTTCCTGAACTAGAATAATTTCGAAACAAAAAATTCCAGAACTGCAGCACATGTGCTTTACTACAGTTTTAAGTTTCTTCAGTTCATTCCTTTGCGCACACATACCAGTGTGTTCTGCAGTTTAACCTGGATGCAGCTCAACATGGGCTTCCTCAATGACATTCCCATATATTTTTGGGGCACAAATTAGTTGGGAGAACTAAGGCAGTTGTTCCCACAATCTTATGGCGCAGCAAGGTGGGGGTGGGAGAGTGGGAAGATGAAGCTCACAGGATCCTTACCGAGCAAAGCAGTATACAGTGTCATCATGGAATGAGTGAGATGGATGGGTGATGTCTGAACCATGACCCTGCAATGATGGCGAATAAATTCCAAGCAAGGCTGAACTAGCCACATGAACAAGTCGTCAACCTGGAAGTTGGAAAAGGGTAAATGGCTTTCAAATGCAGCAGAAGTTACATTATTACCAATAGGAACAGTTTGCTAACAGTCAATATGCAGAGCCGGACCAATACACTTTGCTGCTTCAAGAAAAAAGCAAAAACGAACGGTGCCTCTTCAATCCCATTATATGTACAGCAGCCAATTGAACTGGCAGCTGAGGCTTACAATGGGGCAGCATTCTCCACAGCATCTGAGGGTAGCAGGCTCACTTAGGAGGTGCATGACAGGCAAAATGGCACAGCAAGGTGGGGGGGGGCAAGTGGGAAAATGAAGCTCACAGGATCCTTACCAAGCTCAAGCTTTGCTGCTGCTGCTTCTCACTCTCCAGGACTTTCTGCCTGAGGCAGTTCCCTCATGCTGCCTAGTACATCGCCAGCTCTTCCAGTACAGGTGGTAAGACTACCATCACAAAGCTAGGGTGACCATGGGACCCTCAATTACTGCTGTTCCTAAGGGTCTAGAAGTGGTTGTCCTGGAGGAGCACAGCTGTAACACTAGCTCCTCTGCAGTGGTATTACTGCCATTTACCAGGAGGGAGATGGTGGGGAGACTGGTGCAGTGCAAGAGGAATGTTAGGAGTGCTGGAGGGACTGCGCTGCTGCACCTGCACCACCCGGATCTCCACGCTGCCTTGTGCCCCCCGCCCCGTCCTGGGAACTAGTGTTATAGCTCCACTCCACCGGGTTGGTTACTGATGGTATATATTTGCATAAACATTGGATAGAGTGGAGGTTGGTCATGTATCCTATTATACAAAGGACAGTCTCCTATCTGAAGAGCTGTCCAGTACAAGTTCGATTACAGTTTAATTAACCCTTAAAAGGAGAACAGGTTTGTCCATTGACAGGTAGCACCGGAATGAGCATGCACAAAGGGCACTTGGACACAGTCTCCCTCACCATAGTGGGGTGTATTGTATTCTTTAAAAAAAGTATAGTACTTATGTCTAAATTTGCACCTATGCATATTAATTAGCATATGGGAATTTTGTGCAAATCTATGCCTTGGGGGGGTGCATTTCCCCTTCTTTTGGTGCCATGATAATAGAGTGACAATTACCAGGGAGACCCATCTTGGCTATGAGACATAAATGACAGCTATTACATGACCATACATGTCTTAGGGCAAGCTTACAAGAGATAGGCCCTTCTTGGTGGTAGTGCCAAGATGGCAGGACCATTGGTTCCAAAATGGTTACATTATTAAATGGCTCTATCATCAACATGTCTCTCCCAAGGTGAAAACAAACTCTGCTCAGTTGTCACGTAAGAGGCAAAACGAGAGCACTTACCACTCCACCTACACTGCAAACAGCACAGAGCAGTTTTCTAGCTATGCGGCCACAGCAACAACTCATCCCCCCCCTTATTGCCTTTCTGCCCACTGCAGTTGTTCTCTTGTATGAGACACTTGTCAGTTTCTAACTTCCAGATTAGATTATTCCAATGTGCTCTACATCTTCAAGGGGCTCTTCAAGGGCTTGTCCTTGAAGATGATTCAGAATCTTCAAACGGTCCAAAATCCAGCAGCCAAACCAATATTTAGATCCTGTTTAGATTTCAAATAATTCCAGCTGCACTAGTTGCTAGTTCATTTCTAAGCCCAATTCAAGGTGCTCACATTAGTGTTTAAGATCCTAAGTGGCCCAGGCCCCAAACTTCTGATGAAAGCCCCATGTCATCATCATCATCATCATCATCATCATCATCATTGTTATTATTAAATTATAGGCCCACAAACCAGTTCTCTGTGTTCGGTGTTCAAGTTTGGAGGCAATGTGTTCATATAAGAATCCTTCAGAGGCTTCCAGCCTAACTGGTGAGGTTCCATGTAGATCATACCACACCTGGAAGAATTAACAGTTTTGTTGCACAAATTTGCTTGCAATGAGGGGGTAAGACTTATGAAAGTTGACTCAGCCTTCAGATGACACTGGGCAATTGCTAGGATTCTTGTGGCACCTTACAAACGTAACAGATTTACTGTAGCTGGATCAATTCCCTCTCCCCACCACCGTCCCTAGGCAGAAATAGACACCTATTTTTCCCCTCTTTGACACTGGAAGGGGACCAACTCTGGACCTTTTTGCAACGTCATGAAGGAAGCCTGTAAGGTCAGGTCTCTCTCTCCCTGAACATGGATCTCTTTCTCCAGTATCATGGTATTTGACCCCTCTCCCTATGTGGTTTTCCCTGATCAAAACTTCTCTCCTGCTCTCCCTCCCCTCCTGCCTCTCTCTCTCTCACACTGTTCTATACAGCTCAATCTCTCTGAATGGTGTAAGAGATTTCAGGAATGCCAAGAAAGTCTCCAAGTTTGGTTTCTTTGGAATGAAGGTCACTGGATCTTTGTGATATAAGGCTTTATTTTCACATACAAACAGGCTGGGCATTACGATGAAAGGCCTCACAGCATTAGCGCTCCAACAGATATTGCTTCTTCCCCTTTAGGCTTCCTTTCAAAGCCATAGCTTTGGACTCAGCATGGAGAGAAAGCCAACTGTTTTGTGTCTTCCTAGCTCGTCCAGAAGAGAGCAGACAAGACTGGCCTCTGGGCCTGATGCTCTCCTACATCTTGGATGCCCTGGCCTCCAGCCACATGGGGCTTCCTTCTAGAAACATTACCAGCTAGTTATTTCTATGGCAAACTCTTGAATCTGACAAACAGGTCATGTAAAAATGGGGAAGGACTGCATCCCAGTCGCAGAGCATCTACCTTAAATACAGAAAATGAACGGAGAATTGCTGACAACATCGACAATATTGAGCAAGGTGGACTAATGGTCTGACTCATGACAAGGCAGTGTCCTATGTTACTAAGATGTCCAAGAGAATTGCCTAGGGCCATTAACTCCACAAAGAGCATACAGATAAAATTATGTATGTATGTACGTACGTACGTACCTATGCACCAATCCTGTAACAATATAGAGAGGTACACAAAGCTGTTTTTGGCTCTGCTTGCAAAAGTTACCTGCTGACAGTAGCTGGAGATGCTTGTTCCAGATCTTCTGGCTCAAACATTAGGCTCATCTTTGCACTCATCTGAATTATTTCACCACTCATTAGGCACAGCTAGAATGAAAACATCATGTAACCATGGTTCAGTCATGTGTACGGTAGGGATTGTGACAGGACAACTTGCACAATTGTAGCATGTGTCACGCAGAGTTTCAGTCATTTTACAGACACGCACATAAACAACAGTGACATTCTGTAAGAGGATGAACATCATTCGTTTGCTTCTTCTCATACTTCCATGCTTGAGAGCAAAAGATAATGAAAGGTTTGTGTGTAATGTTTAACCATGATTTAGCATAAGAAGGGCAATTCCCTCTCTCCTCTTCCAGCATGGCTGCACTGGAAACTTCTTTTTCCATTTTATATGAATCATAGTTTAATGTCTGCATGCATGTGCATGTGTGTGTGCACGCACACACACAAACACACAGAGATATTAAAAAGACAGTGGGTAGTAGCCAATGCTAGTCCTACTAAGAGTAGACCTGTAGAAATTAATGCACACAACTTAGATATTTAATTGGAAACCCAGAAGGCCATGATTCAAAGAGCTATTTGTGTATTAGAAGCCTATAGCAAACTATCTAGTATTAGATAAATATTTCCCTGACTGTAATCTAAAATAATTAAGACAGGCGTTGTGATGTAAACACCTTCCCTTGAAATTTGCTTTGAGACTCTTGTAAAAAGCAATGAATGAATTTAAATCATTGCCATCTTGCATTAGAACAGTGTTATTCTATACTAGGGATTGTTGCCTCTGATTGCTTCAGTTGCCAAAGCTGCCTACACCTACCAGACCCCACATGCTTGCCAATCTCCTGCCTGCTTCCTTTACACCAGGCCAACCCCACTCCCTTTACCCCTCACCAAACCCCTTTCCTATCCCTTAACCTTGCCAAACCCACTGAGCGTCAGAGTGAGGTGGGCAGCAGCAGGGCTTGCCTGGAATGCTCACACATTGTGCTGCAATTCCCACAGCTGAATATTTGTGGTCATGCAAATTACAGTATGATGACATGCTTACATATTTATGTATATAGGCAGAAAGAGCTACAGAGACTCTGCTTCCCCACTTCTACAGATATGCTTTGCTTTTGATAACAGCACAATCTTGATGTCTACTCAGTTCAATGGGGCTTAATTCCAGCTATAGGGAGTTAGTGGTTATCTTAAAGCAAATAATGCAGGTTATTTAAAAATAACTACAATAATAAATGAACCAGTTGCAATCAACCACTGGGTGTGGTTCCCACAGCTTCTTATTACCATATGTATCTAGTGGTACATCTAGAAAATTGCTTCCAGTTGATTCAGTGCAGTCCTCATTCTACACTTCTTACAGTGTAATGATTCTGAATCCACAAACGAGAGGAAGGAAGAATAGCTTGCAAGAACTTTATTCTTCAAACATGTGCAGCAGTCTCTAGGCCAGTGGTGGCCAAACTTGGCCCTCCAGCTGTTTTGAGACTACAATTCCCATCATCCATGACCACTGGTCCTGTTAGCTAGGGATGATGGAAGTTGTAGTCCAAAAGCAGCTGGAGGGCCAAGTTTGACCACCACTGCTCTAGGCCTTTGGAACTGCTTGAATCATGCAACCTTAGAGTAAGTCCTCAAATTACCATCTTAATACTAAGGTAATAAAACTCTAAATTACAAACTCTACCATTACAGCCATGGCACTTACCTTCTTGTTATCATCTAACACAGTGTTCATGTTCTCTATCCAAACAGCATCAACAGGACCATCAAAGACAATCCACTTCCTGTCCTCTGTTGTAGAGCTGGCTTGTTCTCTGAAGGTGGTTGCAAGAACGCCATCTGTCCATTCGTGGCTCACAGGGTCAAAACACCCATACAACTGTCCCATGGTAATAGCTTTTGGATTAATAATTCTATATTCAACTGCAGATTCTTCTGTTGAAGGGTCTGAGACAAAAAAAGTATCTTAGGTTAGCGACATGAGAGGAATTCAATTCTCATTTAAAGGTGAATCTGCCTAATTTGTACTTTCTGAAAAACACTTGAAATTCTCTGAATTTTGCAATGCAGCTCTGCAGCCAAGTAGTGTGTACAAAAATGCATATGCTGGATCAGGGGGAAGTGCTCTGCAAAAATGTGTATCAGGCAAAATGTGTCAATTAAGAGACATTCACTAAATGGTGATAGATTTCCATGTGGACTTTTAACAATAAATATTTGCAAACTGAGGTGAAATGTGGAGAACTAAACAAAAGATTAGAAAAGTGAGAAATTGGGAGAATCTAAAATGGACAGATTTGCCAATTCTGATCTCTGACTAGTTAGAAGGCAAACTCACTGGCAGAAATTGGTGCCTAAAAAGCCTTGCTATCCCAAAGCTATTTTTCAGGCCAAAAGTAGATGTTACACTCTTGGTGTATATTATTCCCCCCCCCTTTTTTTTAATTCAAAGACTTGGTGTCCCTCTTCAGTTACCCAGCTTTAATTGACCCTGAGATCCAAGACATTTTGCAGGCTGAGGCAGAGCAGCAACCCCATCAACCAAGGCCAACCAAGTTATTTGGCACCAGGACCAGAAAATCCCCAAAATACCTCTCCTCGTTCCCTGGCTTTAAAAATACAGTAATAACGAGTTAAATAATGAACAATTTGCGGCCCTTTCATTACATCCTCTCATAATCCTTCACTTCGACTGATGGCAGAGCTAGCCCTACTCCTACTCAGAGTATACTCACTGAAATTAATGCATCTCAGTTAGTTATGCTCATTAACTTCAGTGGAACTACTCTAGGCAGGCACAACCAGGTTTGTACCACTTAATAGGTGAACATCAATTTCAATGCCTCCTTGAAGTACAGAGAGGAGAAAAAACAACACTCAGTCTAAGCATATACTGTGCCACAGAAGAAGTGACAAAGACAAGGAAGAAACAGGAAAAAAAAAAAGTAGATGGGGAAAGTTCAGGCTGGCTGAGAAAACAATTTTTGAGAGTTTCAAGGGGAAATAGTCCAACATTTTCAGAACACTGGGAACAAAAGATGGCTTTGGCTTAATAAAATGTGTAAGTGGTTTTACTGCTTATTCTGCTCAAGGTTTGGATCAAAGTAAGACATGTTTCTGCCAATGCAACCTTCAAACTATCTTCCAGACAATTGAAATTCTCTGTTGTGTAGAGTGGAAACAACAGCATTAGCAATTTTCCATTCTTGTACCCATAACCTTCCTCTGTTCTCCAGCAACAGGCAATTGAGAAAAGAAGTGCTCAAGATGTAAGCTTTCTCTTTCAAGATCAGCCTTGCTATAGAGGATGCAGCAGATAGGTGCTTATTTATTTCCTTTCATTTGTGGATTGCTCCCTGTGAAATGTCTCAAAGCAATTTAACAATTAAAACATCAGAAATAAAAACCTATATGAAAAGATTTCATATTTTTAAAAATTAAAAATAGATTTGTGCACAGAAAAATAACTTCTCATCCAGCACAGATACAGACTGGGATGAGTATCATAATTTAAAAAGGCTTCTTGAAATGGGAAGGTGTCAAAAGATAATAGATAGGTGTCTTCTGTACGTGGTGGGGCAGTTCCAAACTTTAGCCACTACAACACTGAAGACCCAGATTCTATATCTTATAGAATGGACCTCCTAATGAGATGTTGTCTGCTGGAGGCCATCTTCTATAGAGCACAGTGATTGGTTGGATACTGTCAGGGAACTGCCATCGGAGGAACAGGTGGTGGAGGGGCTCAGGGAGGCTGGGAGAGACTCAACAGCTGAAGCAGGAACCAGCCGGGGGAGGAGTGGATCTCTGAGGGAATGCGAGCAGGAGGGAGGGCTCAGAGACGCTTCCAGCGAGAACAGTGGGGAGGTATCTGAAGCTCCCATAGGGAGACCCACGCCTCGCCGGAAACTGTCACGCCGTGAGTCCAGAAGACGTGTTTCCGTTAAGGAGCTTTTATGCTGGAAACGATTCCGAAAGCAACCACTGTCGGAATCTGCAAGTGACTAGAGCAGCCATGTCTGAGGGGCTCCGTCACAGACAGAGGTTTGTGAACGTGCACAGACTCTGAGGGACTACGCTTTTACGCACAAGCAGCTCATCATCCCATCACAGATACATAATGGGTGATGTTATCTTTTAAGTAGTTTGGTCCCAAGCTGTAGGGGGGCTTTGTACCAGCACCATGAATTTAGCCTGAAAGTTAAATGGCAGGTAATAACTAGCTGCAGTCCAAAACATCTGAAGGGCACCAGATTGGGGAAAGAGAAGATGAAGTTAAAGTTCTTTTTTAAATTAAGAAGGCATTGGGCAGAATTAAATTTGATATGTACCTTGGCTCAGATCCCCAAGGGCCATAGCAAGCACTTTGTAGGCGTAGGTTTTTCCTCCCATCGGCTCCCCGACAATCATATAGCCATGACGAACCATCATCATTTCATAAATCTGTGCCAATGAAATAGTGTTGTCAAAAATACGTTGCGTAGAAGTTTTCTGCCTTATAAGGGCATCAGAAATCCAGAGAAGTGTGAAGACATGAATATATTCAATAATAAATAAATCCTCAAAGCACTTTGAGACACACTCAGCATTGTTTCATAGGAACTGTGCAAATATGAAAGGTGTAGCCTTAAGTCAAGAAACTAAAAAAGGGAAATCAATAAAGCCTAAGTTGGCTCAGTAACAAAGACAGATTAGTGGCTCCATCCACCAAAGTTGGCCGGCAATTGAGGGAGGGGTAAAGGATCTGGCCTACATATACATTTCCAGTGTGCAAATATTCAAACTAAAGAAACCTGAATAATTTTCCCAATAAACCATGGAACTGGTTGAAGATTAATTTTTGCGATATTGTTATTCAGTGCCTGGATGAAGAGATCATAATCTGGTCGAGGCAGAATCACTCCAGGAAATAAATCAGATATGATTCCCTGTGAAATGAAAGAAGAAGAAAAAATAATATGCAGTTTAAGAGCAGAAACTTCTGGTTGTACACAAACATGATTCAAGCTGTTCTAAGCAAATGAAAATAATCTTTCTTCTTAGTTAATCATAACACTGTAATCAACATTTGCTTGCCTACATTCATGCAGCAACAGTTCATGTTATCGGTATCTAAATGACTTCATCTATTATCTTACCTGAAACAGAGGTACATCTTGTGCCAAGAATTTAGCTAAGTTAACATCCAGTAGAGCCCTGAGCAGCAAGACACTTTCATTTTCATCTGGGTACTTCAGTTTTAAGTTTCCTGCTGCTGTCAGGACCGATTTTACAGCACGCATCCCATAGTCGTAATGATGCTGCGATGATAACTGTTCAGAGCAAAGACGATAGGTAGCAACAATCTTCTGGGCAAGACTGTGAAAGATTATACAACATGTTACAATTTATGGACAGCAAACACAATGGAGAAAAGAGGATAAAATGTCTACATCATGTATAAATAGATGAATAATTAAAACAGATATCACCAAGTAAGTTTATAAAAGATTAAGTGACAAATCAAATGACAGGTTTTTCCTCTTATTTAGGGGATGCTATTGGTGGGTAGTGTTCTTTTTCTAGAAAACTAGGTGCCAGTACTCATCATGAAGTTGTTACAGTATGTGCCACACTTTTTAACAAGAAAAAAAGAGATGCTGGTACCCTTGAGAGCTGCGTACCCTTGAGTACCCCCTGGGGGAAAAACAGAGCACTGGGTGGGTAGGACAATCTAAACTCCCAGCCTGGCAGCAGTGGGGCATGTTGAGAGTGGTGAAGCCACCTCTTTTTATACTGTAATTTTATGCTGTGAACTGCCCTGAGATCTACTGGTATAGGGCAGTATACAAATGTAATAAATAATAATAATAATAATCAGAGAAATAAAATATAGGAAAGTGTTTATGAGAAAAGACTTATATATGGCAAGACTCCAAGAGGACTTCTGTTGCTCATATACCTTCCACACATACCCAAGTGAAAGTTTCCTGTATAATACCTGAAAACCGACTAACTTACCTTCGGGAGTCAAGGAATCCCATTGAATAAAGTGAAATTTCACCAATCAAAGCATAATCTGGAACCATCATGGCTACAGTACGGAATAAAGCCTGAAGAACAGAGAGCGGGGGGAAATAAATAATCAATATACAATGTATTCTCAAAACAAAAAGCAATAGGTAAGGTTGTTGTCCAAGGATGTTGTGCTTCAGTGATAGTTACTTGTGAGCCTATGTCTTCAGAAGCAATTAGCTAAGGAATAAGAACTAGGATTGCCAGGAACTGTCTAGCAGCAGAGGAGGAATATGGTTTAAATGGATTTATGCACAGAATGTGGCAGTTCTGAACAGAGACAGGCATGCAGATCTCTACATGTGGAGGCTTCCCTTCTGGAACTTTGACTGCATAGAGTTACAGAACTTGGGAAAGCCTCTGCAAATGGACATTTGGGGTGGGCCAGGTAGAGTCATGTGTCAAAAGGTGCAGCCCTTTTCTATACCCTTCACATGCTTTTGTCAGAGCAACACCTATGATCCCTGGGAGCTATCCCAGGTTCTGAAACCTAACTCTTACACTTTCCTTTGAATTGTGCTTTTATGTCAGTTACCATCTCCCTCATACTGTTTCCTCATCCAGACTACCTATTTTTTGTTCACTGCCTGTTCCAGGTTATATTCTTCTGGTCTTGCCCAGCAACCCACGGGTGTTTCGCTTTCCCAGTGTATAACAATTTACCTTCAAGTTATCAGGAAGTTCTGCCCGTCCAGCATATCCAGGATTCATAGTGATGAATACTGCACAGGTTGGATTAAGTGAAATCTCTGTGCCTTCAAAGAGAAATGTTCGCAGCTTTCGAATAATAGCCTGCTGAATACTGAGGATCTGCTGTGCCACTACAGAGAGAACTTCAACCTAACAACAAAATAAAGAAAATAATACTTCAGATTTAAAACATGCATTTCAAACCAATGTAAAGGGACCACTAAATGTGACCTGAACAATGTGTTGGGGCAGTGTTTATCAAACTTGCGTCCCCAACTCTTTGTTGGACCACAACTCCCATCATCCCTAGCTAGCAGGACCAGTGGTCAGGGATGGTGGCAGTTATAGTCCAACTACAGCTGGAGACTCAAGTTTGAGAAACACTGTGTTAGGCTGGGCTGAAATAGTGTGATAAATCAATGAGAACCGGCTATAGCCAGAAATTTTACAGAGAAATGCCTCATACTGACAATTGGTGGCTCAGTGTTGACTAGCAATAGATCTCCAGGCTTTCATTGTTTCAATCAGCTATCCATGTCCTCTTCAGTACTTCTTTCCATTCCATCTCCCATAATAGTCAGGCAGCATTCTGTGGCTACTGAACAGGCCTGGGCTATTTCAGATATTTCCCTTCCCTCTTAGGCTTTCTCTCTCTCTTTAAAGTATTTCAGTAAACCTTGGGATTCTCCAAGCCTGTTTATATCTCCCCCATATGAGGGTGGTACTATTTTGGTTACAGAAGTGACATCACTCATAGTCTAAGCACCAGAAATAGAGGAAGTCATTACCTCAATTCTGTTGAACTCATCAAAGCAGGCCCAAGCTCCAGCCTGTGCCAGTCCTTTAAAGAATTTCCCCATGGCTTTGTAATCGAGACCATCAGAGCAATTGAAGACAACACACTAAAACAAATGACATAATATATTGTTCAAAGTTGCTGCAAATTTTTGCTTAACAATAATAACATTGCCAACCATTTAATTTTCTTCCAAGAGCGGCTCCTGCATCTGTAACAATTGTGCAATGCACAGGAATTCAGCAGGTGAAGGTTTTGCCATCACTGCATGAAATTTTGCATGATTAATTTCAGTGTGTCATGTGGCTGTTAAAGGCACAGGATCCCCGCTACAGAAGTTGGCAAGCTGAGCTACAACTCTAGCAATTTACAAAGAGAAATGGAAAGCACACTACAAACAAACCATGATTATGCAATAGTAAACTGCGGGTTCTCTACATTAGGGGTGAGGAACCTGTGGCACATTTCTGGGTGCCGGGCAAGATCGCAGCTCTAAGAAAGCATTTTTTCTGTAGCGAGAGAATGGCGCAAGAGCATGACACACAAAATGGCCGCCACAATCTCATGTGAAAAAATAGGATGGCCCATTCTTTCCAGGACACGTGTGTGTGGGGGTGTTATACAGAGACTTGTGGGATGTGCATATGAATTAATAGGAATAAATACAAGACCTGTCCTATTTCTTCTTCAGGTATTCATGAACTTTTGATTCACAGCTTCAGCAAACAAAGATGATTCCTCAAACTTACTTTTAGAGAGAAAGAGAGGGAGGGATGGAGGGGGGAAAACATAGATATCAGCAAAAAGATTATTTTGTTACCTGCTTAGCCAGTGCTTTTGCTAAATCTTTGGTGGTTTCAGTTTTGCCAGTTCCCGCAGGTCCTTCTGGAGCACCTCCCAGGTTTAGTTTCAAAGCTCCCATTAATGTTCTAAGAAACAGAAAAGAGGGGAATTAGCACAGTATATATCTTTTAAAAAATAGGATACCAGGGGGGTAAAATCTGTGGCCCTCCTAATACGGCTAGAGTAGAACTCCCATCCTCCCTGATGATTACCCCTGCTGGAAGCTTGAGCTGCCGGGAGTTAGAATCTGGATCTATGCACACACATGAACGAGGTACAAATTAGGACATCCTCATTCTCCATGGCCTTTGGTGATTGTCTGCCGAGTCACACAATGCTAAGACACTGGCCCTTCAACGTGTGGGTGGGTTTATTTATTTTTGCTTTATTTCCTTAAGCAAGTCATAAGAATTTTAATATTCTCACCCTCTCAGTATGGTCAAATGGCCAATGTTAAACAGACCAAGTTCAAACATTGTTCATTTCTCAATGAAATATTATACTTTTTGGAACACCCAGCATTTTCAGAAAAGGGAAGTATGCAAATCTGTGAGCTTGCATGCAGTTGCTGAGAGGGGCAAGAATCTCCCCATGACATTGGCCCTGCCCCAACCCAAATACCATGCGTGTTTTAGGGTATGACAATGGCCGGATGGATTAATGGAACATTCAGCCAAGAACTGGGCGCAGCTCTCTAGTTTCTTATATAGGTAGCATTGCTTTTTAAAAACCTCTAGCACTGGATCCTACGGTCCTGAGGTTCAAGTGGCCTTTATTTGGGATCAAACTTTTAGAGTGGAAGGTCCTGCCCTGTGAAACTCCCTGCCAGTAGACGTTTGACCATAATTATTTCTGCCCTATTTAGACGCCTTCTAAAAATAGTGTTATTCAGACAGGCCTTTGCAATGTGACTCTTTTTTAAAAAAACAAGCCACTGTTTACTGATGTTTTTACTGGTGATATAGTAATTTTATATGCTGTGTTCCATCTTGCTGTATTTTTAGGAAAGTGTGGTCTGTCTGCCTGTCTGTCTGTCTGTCTCTCTCTCTCTATCATTTAATCAATCACCTGGGTCTTCATATGTGTAAGCCTTCATACCTGACCACAAGCCATGCTGGATGGCAATAAGGGGAACTGGAGTCCCATAACATCTGGAGGGCCACAGGTTCACCACTCCTAACCTATATCCTGCTGACATTCCAGTTCTGAGCATGACTTCTGAACAAAAAACACAAACATTAAAAAAGCGGGGAGGGATGTTACCTATAGCATCGGTCGGTCAGCGGCGTTATCACCAAACGAAGGGAGTTGCCCAGGTACTCATAGCCATATCTGGCTTCAGTTGTAATCATTCGGACCATCACCTCTCCCTGTTCCCAGTAATATCTCAGCTGAGAAATCCACTGGAAATCATTCAGATCTGAAATTTTGTCTTCAGACAGTTTTACGACAACATCCCGTGCTGCAGGAACAAAGATATTTTGTCAAATGGACCAGTACACTTAAGTCAAACATTGAGCTTCAACTCCTGCCTGAAAACCTGAAAAAGCCACTGCCAGTCATCATAGATAGTGCTAAGCTAGGGGTATCAATGGGCTGATTATTCAGTTGAAGGCAACTTCATCTGAGAAGTGGGGGCAGGGAGGTGCTTGCATTTTTGAGACCCCCTTCCATTTTTCAAATACTCATTCCATTTCTAACCCTAGCTCCCTTTCCATCTCGTGACTTTCACTGGAAGGGGCATTTCAGTTTCTTAAGTATCCTGCTGTTCTCCCACTTCCCAGCCTTGCCATTTACCATGCACATCAATGACCGTGAGGGCTCCCAGGGTGAGCCGGGCCCCGCCTGACAGCTTCCCTCTGACCAGTTCAACAATTTCTCCAATCTGTTTGTTGCTTTTCTCCAAAAATGCCTGCAGGGGGAAAAAGGAGGTTATTATTACCAACAGGTAGGACTTGAAGCACCATGTTGCAGTGTTTGCCCAACAGCTAAGGGGATTGTCCCTGATTATTTAAATTTTAACCTACTCTTCAGCTGATAAAGGCTTCCAGAGCTGCTTCCAGATCAATGCAATACAAGTCAATCTCTATCTGCCCAATAAAGTATTTGAACAATATATAGAGGGTTGTCTCCAACTATGTCCTCCTCCGAGCAGACCCACTGAACTTAATGGACCAGTGTTACAGCAATCCCCTCCCCCAAATCTTACAGGTAGAGTTTTTCCTTGTATGGCTTCTGATACTTCTTTTGTCCAGAAGATGGATGATACACAGATAACTACTTGTCCTGGCCACTGCAGCACCCACTTATTCCGGGGAACCTTTAAAAACAAAGTGAATAACATTAGACTGCCATGGCCAACTAGGGCTCTGAGATTTTAATATAAAGGGAAAACCATGGTTCTAAATGGGAGGATGAAATGTTTTCCAAAACTTCCCTGATCTACAATGTGATATTTGTTTCATTTTATTTGCTGCTTGAATAATACCAGCAACCTCTAGGTGACTTTCAACAAATTTAAACATGCACATGTAAAAAGACACCAACATACACAAGTAACATTATAATATGAATAAAGAAGAAGTCCTGACTCCATAGAGCAGTGTTTCCCAATGAGCTAATTACTGAGGACCCCCTACTTTTGAATTTTTTTATAACTCCACGGTAGTTACCTGTGCAAAGCATTTTTTTGAAGAAAATGTGGGGAGGACCCTCATAAGCAAAGGATTGTATGTATACTAAAAAGACCATAAAATTTGTGATATTACCACAAATTGCCTATCCCCAGACAGTTGGAAAAACTTGTCTCCATTGCTCCACTACAACTGAAAGCAATTGTGTCCCTAACTTGCAAGTGTTCTATATGCAGAAGGGTTTTTTTTTATTTATTTGAGAGAATATTCAAACATGCTATTCCTTACTTGTAATCAGTGATGGTACATCTAAACAAAACTTGCAGCATAATTGGGGGAACTTGCATCTTCAAGACATAGATGAAGGCTTGGTCAGGGCTTGATAAAGTATTGGGGAAGGGATCCCTTACATTTTTTAATGATAAGCATGTGAACCTGCCCCATGCAGCAAGTCATTTGTGCTCTCGCTCTCTCTGCTCCCTCCAATCGCAAGAGCCCAAAGAAACTATGTCAGAGGTTTTTTTGCTCAATCCCAGCTCACTTGCCATCCAGCAACTCTTTCACAAGTTTTCCCCCTGCCAGCAAGCAAGCAGAGGCTGGGTGATCAGTGGATCATCATTGCGGCTTTCACCGTACAATTAAAGAGATAGGTGAGTTCCTGGCAGAAGATGGTGCCGTGGACCCCCTGGGTGTGTTCCACAGACCCCCAGGGGTCCCTGGACCCCTGATTGGGAACCACTGCCATAGAGGGTAGCCATGTGCTCTACTTTATGGAAAACAGGGTATCCAGTCTGATGTCTAGATTAAGGATAAAGAGCTATAAGAAGGGAGAACCTTGAAGCTGCCCATGCACAATTAGTACCCAGACAGCAGGTTGAATACACCACACTGTACTGAGATGTATTTCTATGCAGCTTATAGTAAATATTTCCAAATTTGAATCTATACATATGCAATATGCAAATCGCTTCTTATGATGCACTCTCTTTTTGCCTCCACTAACTATACTTTAAATTAGGATGGAAAGAAGCTAGTTTCCTTATAGATCTTTAAGTGATTTGCACTAGATCAGGGAGTTTCTGGCTCTCAGTCTCTGAAGATTGAATGAAAAGACAGACACCCACACTCCCAAATTAGGCAGCTGAAATGACGAAAGCTTCCAGGAATACATTTTAATGGGAAAAGGCCATGAGTTCAACTCTGATATGGGGTGGGACTTACCTGCCCCCCCCACCCCATGGCACTGCTGCTTCTTATCAATGGACCACTTAAACTACTACTTGTAAACCTGAATTTCAGTTCAATCAAGTTCATGGGACTTAAGATACCTTAAGTACAACTGTGTCATTGAAAATCATTGCTTATTACCTGATCATATCCTTCGATGCCCCTTTCTATGACTTTTCTGATACTGGACAGCATCATGTTTTCTACTTGTGACAGCCACTTCTCAACCATGCCCTTAGGAAAAAAGTTAAATGTGAAAATGAAGGCTCTATGAACCCAAAACCATACCATGATTGAATGAGAACTTTCACAATGAGAAAGTCCAAACCCTGGAGAGGAATCATATATGTGGTTCGTTTCAAAGGGCTGGCACAGAACAGGTTCTGTGCAGTAACTCATACATTCATTGTTAATAAGATTTTAATTGGAAATGCCCTCAATGAAAAGGAATCTATGCTTCTAGGCAATATATATGTGACATATTATATGTTGTACAGGTCAGAGCCCAGCCTGGAGGGACCTCATCTGAGGAAGAGGAGTGGGACTATGCAGAGACCTCCAGAGCCTGCTATCACAATCTATCAGCCTGAGACACTGAGCACCAAATACATCTTACTCGTCTCCACCAAAGGTCCCACACACCAAGCTTGGACACCTTGGTCCCAGGCTCTCCCCTTTCACCTCCAGTTTTCACCCCCCTGGAGCAGAGATGGCATTAGTCCCAGCAAGAAGTCCAGCACCAGCGGAACAGCCCTTGCCTGCTTTGCCACTAGGGATACTTGGGAGGAGGGAATAGCCACAGAAGGACCAGGTGTGCACTGGGACACAGCAGATGACCAGGAAGGGTGAGGAGTCTCCCCTGAGCCTCTCCTGGAATACAGCTTCCTACTGCACTCGCATGGGCAGCTTCAACTCTGCCTAGGAATGGGTGAATTGATTTTGGTTTCTCTCTGTTTCCCATTTTCCTTGTCTTCAGTTCTCCACATTTCATGTCAGTTGGCAAATTTGTTTTTGTTTAAGTTGTCATTAAAATTTGTTAAGCATTTTAATGAGAATTTCTACTAACGAGAACATTCTTCAATGGAATTTTGCCCAACAAACACATTTCCACAAACAAGTCACCCTAATAAAATGTATTTCCACCCACTAATATATGCATTTCTTTGCATTTTACCTAACATATGCATATTTGTACACATTACTTGGTTGAAGAACTGCACAGCAAAATTCAGATAAATGCTAGTTTAGAAGGGTGGCTATGATTCAGTTTGCTTATTGTTTCAGAAAGTATGAATTATGTAGGTTCACTTTAAAATGCAAACTGAATAGAGTTTCTTTCCCATTCCTAGTCCTGGTTTGCCCTGCTCCAAGATAAAGAGAATTGATGGTGGACAAAAGGATTACTTTTCAATGCTCTTCACTTTTTCATCTAAAAACTGGCATCTTCCATTGAGCTTATTCCCCAATAAGCACATTGCTATGGCCAAGCTATCAAACAGAAAAACAAGAAAATTCTATGCAAAGGTTACTTTGGCTTGTGCTGGGTAGATTGTCTTGATAAAAGGTACAATTTCCTTCTCTGAGCTGATCATGCCTATAATCTCCATGTTCTCCGTAAAGTCTAGTTTTGCGATTCCCTCAAAGCACTTTTTCAAGTGTGGCTGCACTCGGAGAGGATCTTTGGTTTCGGACAAAATCTCCAGCAACTCGTCATTAGAAAGGAAGAAGAATCTGTTCAAAATAGGGTTGTTGTTTTTAACATCCACACATTAATTTTCATGACACAGAAGTCACACAGTTTGGTGGTCATCACTTCATTGACCCCTGACCTAAATGGGGAGGGGCCACCGCTCAGCAGTATAGCATCTAGGCCAAATACAGGGAGTCCCAGCTCCCATGTCTGCTCCTTCAGTTAAAAGAATCTCAGCTGGTAGGTCAGAGCTGTGGAGCTTTTTTTCAACCAAAGGGCTGCATTCTTTTCTAGGCAACCTTGGGGGATGGGGATGTGCCAGTGGTGGGTGAGGCAAAACAACTCATGCAAATGTTACCTTAGTGCAAAAGGATAGTTTCTACACACTCTCATAGACCCATCTCTGTCTTCCATCTAGGCAAGAGGCATTCTCAGAGTTCAATAATACTTTGCAGCCAGACAAAAACACTCAAGGAGAGTGGGAAGATGGCTAATTAGAGCTGGAGCTGGGAAGAGGGTGTGTGGCCTGGGGTAAGTCTTAAGAACAGAGAAGCTTATCTCTTGTGTGACGATAAGCTTAGCAAATGTGTAGGTAGCATCTTACTACAACTCAAAAGCCAGAGGATATTTCTGCATCTCCTCTTGATTTTTATGAGCGCTGTTTGCCCCCTAAGGTCTTTATCTGGCCAAATTTATCACAGCACCACTACTCAGAAGGACATGTAACCATGTTTGAGAGGGTTTTGTACAAGTGGGAGGAAAAGGAAAGTAAGGCAGGAATGACCAAGGCTTTAAAAATTATGTATGTCATATAGAAAGTGTGTAGAGAGGAGTTTTCTTCCCTCCCTAATACTAGAACCCAGGGTTATTCAGTGTAGCTCACTGATCAGAGATATGTGACAGAGGAAAGGAAGTACCCCATCATGCAGCACACAACTAAACTATGGAGTTTGCTGCAACAAGATGTGGCAATGGCCACAACTTGGTTTTAAAGGGGGAATTATTCAAATTCATGGAGGATAATAAGGCAATCAGTTGCTACTGGCCATGGTGGGTGTATGTTATGTCCATGATCAGAGGGACCAGGCCTCTGAAAACCAGTTGCTGGGGAACAACAGCTGAAGACAGCTATTATTCCTGTGGCTTCCTTTTAGGCTTCCCAAGAGGCATCAGGTTGGCTGCTGTGGAAATTAGGATGCTGGACTAGTTAGGCCTTTGGACGGATCCAGTAGGGCTCTGGTTGTTTAAATCTGGTTAATTTGACTGCTCAGTGTAATGTCTATGGCAGATCCATTCCTTCATCCAGACCACCATTCCAGAATACTCTGGCCTAAGCATAGACTAGTCTACTTCAGGACTCAAGAAATAATTCTGGAAGGAGAACACCAGCCTGTTTGCAGCAGTGAGCAAGGAAAGCTCCCTGAAATAAACCTCTTCATTTAATAGCCATAGCCTCAGTCTAGCTTCTTGTTTCTAAGAGTCCCAGGCCTCTGAACTCAATGCTTCCTGTGTAGTCAATGTGCCATGTGTATCCACAAATCTAAATTCTCAATGAGAATCGATTTGCTTTAAATTGAAACTTGTTAATGAGCCCACCTTGGGAAAAATAACCTTTTCTTTTCCAAGTAAGTATTCAGACCCTTCTGGATGTCTTCTAAAAGCATATTTGCTTCTTGAAGCCTGTCCAACATCTTTGGCTGCTCAGTGGCGATCAGGACTCTGGTGTCTTTCACCTATTTTTTTTAAAAAAGCATACAATAGTAAAGAAGCTGAGCCCCCACAGGCTCCTCATCCTTGATACAAAGCATCATTTGCAGCTAGGACTCCATCAGAACAAGTTTAGCACACCTAGTGATTTGCCCATAGTTCTACAAGATTTGTAGTTGACCATCTCGATTCTCTTGCATTTTGGGCCCATACTGACTTCCTGTGTTTGCCTGCAGGTATCTTACTGGACGGTTCTCTTTGAACCTGGTTCCTGCTACCACTGGCTGGATTACTTATCTTTCAGGATGTTTGTGGGCTCTGTCAGTTCAAAACAGGACACTCACCTTGGAAGGGAGAAGACTGCCTGCCATGTTGATAGCCTTGCCAAGGCTCACTTAAACTACTCTATGAGACAGATTAGACTGAGCAGAAGTGACTCGAGAGTAAACTTTGGAGCTGAGCAAGGGATGTGAATCCAGTCTCTATGCAACACTAGAATGGTGCTATATCACACAGCTGCTACTGTACTAAACAGGTATGGTATGCTGTGTAAGAACCCCCAACCATTTTGTCTGCTAAAGCCCAACCACTGTTGGTGAGCAACAACCTGGCTCAAAACTATTGCAATCTTTCTTTTACAGGGAAAGTGAAATGCCATATCACCCCATGTTATATGTTCATACTGTAGGGGGTTGGACTAGATGACACTGTGGGTCCCTTCCGCCTATACAATTTTTGTGTGTGCAGAATCCCAAGTGCAACTGTCTACTTACTGCTTGCACCATGATGTCCTTCCAGTACATGTCCACTATTCCAAACTTCCTCCCCTCCTCTGGCATTTGAGCAATAATGTCCTCAGAGCTGAATATGGGTTCCAGATAAAGCCACGTTGCCTGGCATTTTAACCAATTGTCTAAAATTTCCTGCATCAGAACAAGCTTCTCCTCCCACCTCTGTAAAGAGATCAATGTAAAGGTCTTCAAGGCACTATTTTTAATTCTCACTCAGCAGACTTGAGGCAACATTAAATAACAGGCTTCATTCCCCCTCCCTCCTTTCATCTCTCCTGTTGTATCAGTGTACCTACAAAACTGCACGCTGTTGTAACAATCCTCCCCAAACTGATTAACAGTGCTTCTCAAACTTGTTTTTCAAATATCATTTGGAAACAGCTTTTTTTTCTATAAAGGAACAACCACCCTCCCTAAAAATAGGTTTATAAAGTGGACCCTCAGCAATGACATTTGAGAATGTGTCCTTGCTAAAGATGTCTGTTTAAACATAAGCCCATTTTTTTCTATATTTGCAATTTTTTATAGGGATATAAGATTCCAATTTATCTCTCCAGTAAACCAATCCCCAGAACTACTGTTTGGAAGTTGTGAAAGCCTTTCATAAGTTGCAGTGCCAGATTTGTATTTTGCAGACTACCTATCCTGTTCACACACAGGGTGAATCTCAGCTGGAAAGATAGGAACAAAGCAATTCTGGAGAAGGAAAGAGAGAGATCTTGTGTTAAGGGCAAGGAAGCACTAACAAGCTGTCAGAGTTAAAGGTAATGCTTCAGCCCATGATCAAATATTAATAGGAAAAGCCCTTTGGACTCTTGGTTGGAGCAGCCCTTTGACAATCCATTATTTTTTGCTCCTCCTTTCATCAGTAAGTCACATTGGGAGGCCTCAAATTCAACCAAGCACATAAATCACACTAAACAGCAGGGAAAATCACCAAAAACAATACTCAAAATTGTGTGGATTTCATAAATGTCAAGCGGCTACAGACAGGTTCTGTAATGCAGGTACCAGAGTACAGTTGCAGAGTGGTAGTCAGCTAGGTTTTCCTCAAAATAGACCTGTTAAAATTATGCTCATTATTTTCAGTGGGTCTTCTCTGAATACCTCAAGCTGCAATCCTAACCCTGTCTATTCAGAAGTAAGTCCTACTGAATTCAATGGGGTTTACTCCCAGATAAATGGGGTTAGGCTTATAGCCTGACATGCCAACTAACAGACTTTCTAAATGTGCTGACTGCATATCAGAGAATGTTACAGAATTGTGCTTTCTGATGGCTAGCCTTGTTTGGGATAATGTTTTTAAAAAGCACAGAGTGGTATATATTGCAGCAGGAACAGGGGTGTGTTATACAGTTCACCAGTGTGATCTATTATATCCGATGTCGCTGAGCCAGAACTCCCATCATCCCTGACCACTAGCCATGTTGGCTGGGGCTGATGGGAGTTGTACTTCAGCAACATTTGGAGGGCCACAGATTCTCCACCCTGGCTTTAGATGTAGTGTAGAATGCAGATTCCTGTGTCCCATCTTCCCAATAAGCAAGCTGCTCACCCCATCCAAATACGTCATGGGGATGTTCTTATGCTAATGCATTGCATGGAGGCGCACAGAAACACTGACAACCCTGTTTCTCCTTACCCGGCATTCACCCTCTATCGGTTTGATGAATGGAGAACCACACATTGTCTGGGTCTTGACAATGTGATCATCCAGCAGAAGCTGGATGTCGTCGATTGCAGACAGAATGCTGGTGTCCTGCAAAGAAGCCACACTTAGTTGAGGTAACTTATTTAAACCCCATTATCACTGTGTTATGCACAAGTGGGGCCTGTAGCAATATGTTGTTCCTGGACACACCTTGAAGCACTCCACTCCCTCTTTTCTACTCCTAGTTTGAATACCAGTTGCTGGGAATCACCAGTGAACGCTGTTGAGGTCCTGGTTTTGGGCTTCCCATTGGGGCATCTGGTTGGCCCCTTTGAGAACAGCATGGTAGACCATTGGCCTGACCCAGCAGGTTCTTCCAATGTTCTTATGACTATATAAGCAACCACACTCACAGCTTGAACATCAGAAATAGATGGAATGATTATACACGCAATCCTATTCTTCCCCATATGACTCTTGCTGCCAGGTTTACAATTTTTGTGTCATCACATGTGGGTAACCTGCTCTTTCCCCATGTACCGTATATTACAGGAATGCATGGTGCTGGGGTTGAGAATCTCCAGCCAATACAAACAGTAATAGGCATACAAATAGCAGCCTCTGTATTCAGTGCTGCTACATGGAAGTGGTTATCACAAACCAACCAACCAACCAAAACATGATCTTGGGGCATATCTTGCTCCCAAAGGCACTATAGTCAGACTGGCAATGGGCAGCAGCCTCAGGTGATTGAGGAGCCAGCTGTGAGCCAGGCCAATGGTCAGAACTAATTAGTAATGCAGGACTGAAGGACAAGCCAGGGACTAAAGAGCAAGCCAGGACTGGCGGACAAACCAAAAAGCAGGACTGAAGAGCAAGCCAGGTGCCAGGGCCAAAGAATACAGGTACATGCCAGCGGTCAGGAAGACCTTGTGGTTCAGTCAAGGCTCAGCTGGAAAAGGAAGCCCTTTTAGATTCCTTCTTGCCCATGAAGACCTGGTGGCCAGCTTGGGTGGGTGCAGTCTAAGGAAGCTGCCACCTCCAGTTCACTGGTTCACCACTGGAGCAGCAACACACAGATTCCAGCAGCTCTCGACAGCTGCCATTCAACCAGAAACAAACCCACTGATCCTCAGTAAAGTAACGTAACTGAGAAAATAACTATTGTCCCAAGCACAGTTGCTTGATCGCAGAAAATGTACTCACTGTGTCCCTGTATTTTACAAAAGTGAAACAGATATTTGCCCATTCCGATTTCATTTTCTCCATGTTTTTCTCTAGGGAGTACTCCTTGCTAGCTGCTGCTCCAATAGGCTCTAGCCTAAAAGAAAATGGGAAATAAAGCAAAGATGTGAGTTTAATATTGGTTTACTCAGTCAAAGCTGCAATTATCTAAAGCCTGGGTGGGGAACCTTTGCTCTTCTAGATGTCACTGAACTACATGGCCCGCCCCCATCAGTGACGAGTGGCCAAGTAGGCTGATTGGGAGTTGAAGTCTGGAGGGATTTTAATTGACTTAGAGACTCTCATTGTGAGAGTGTGAAGCTGGTTTGAGAAACAACAGCACAGCAGAGCTTTATAACAAAGCACAGGATGCAAATGTATTTTGGATCATGTCGTATGAAGATGGATTAAAAATCCAGCACTGGAATTACAGTGAGTCCACAGCAAATGGAGGTGTGTCTAGAGAAGACAGGCTGTTATCTGGAGAAGCATTCACCACAGAGAGCTCTCCGTGGTCCTGACCCTCAGCTCAAGAAAAAAACATGAGGGAAATAGTACTTTAAATCGGAGGTTTTCAACCTTTTTGGGGCCACGGCTCTCTTAACCAACTACATTATTTCTGCAGCACCCCTGTGGGGCTCAGGGGCCCAGTTATGTCACCACTTGCCTGCAGAGCTGGCAGGCCCTCACCCCTTTTCAAACACCCTCCCTTGTGGAGTGTTTTCTCAGCCTTCCTCTTCTCCCCTCTCCTTTGGTGTCCTCTGGGTAGCTGCAGCTGTTGCCCCTGGTCTCTGAGCTCCGCCCTCCCTTGCTCCAAAGAGAGGTGCCTCCTCACACTGCCCCACAGGGGCGTGGGAAGCACCCCCTGGCCAGCCCCAGAGGCACCATTCGCCTGGGGAGCTTGCAGCCAGGGCTCCTACAACAAACAGCCATGCAAGCCTTTGGGGGGCAAAGACCCAAGAGACCATAGGAGGCGGGAGGGAAGAAAAGAGGGACAGAGGCCAGTGTTGCCTGCCGCACCCCTGACCATCATTCAAGGCACCCCAGGGTGCCATGGCACACTGGTTGAAAACCAGTATCATCAGCAAACTTGACTACCTCACTGCTCACTCCCAAGAAAAAAGAATGGAAGATTCTGGTGCTGGGAAAAGTTTTCTCTTTCTTTGCCTGACCTACACCTTCCCACACTTGGCTCCTGCTTGAAATAGGGGGTTAATGGGCAAACTATGCAAGACATTATATGCATTTCTGCATTTCAAGTGCATGGGGTTTTTTAAAGGTGCAAATAGTAAGCAACCCTACACATGAGGCCCAGTTCAACAGGACTTACTCCCAAGCAAGAGTGCATAGGATTGTACCCTTAAGCTACAATCCCAAACACACTTACTAATGACACAGTGGGGCTCATTTCTAAGTAAACATACAACAGAACCATGCTGGTAGGCTTTGAGTGCATTTTTAGCACAGATGCACACATGTGGGAGCACAATGGGCACAAGAATTCCATGAACTTAGCTCCTCATTGTTCTGGAGCAAGACAAGATATCTCCCCACATACATTTTTTACTGAAAAGTTCTGATTCGATTCTAAAGAGTTTCCTAATATTCCACAAAAAAATAACTGGGGCAGTGAGCAAAATTGCAAGGCTTTAAACAGTTTCAGGAAATATCAACTAGAAATCAAACTCTAATGTTGTTAATGCATGCAACAAATATTAACCAGATTAAAAGATCTGGGTGTTATTTTCTTACTTATCAATGTATTTTGATAGACCATATTCCAACATGTTCATGAGTGATGTAGTTTCATCAGGTCTTATCTCATATCCAACTATTTCACTTATCTGGGAAAAAAATGGACAAAACACAGAAAAGGGGTTTGTACGAGCATGGCAATACTGGTCCATCTTATGGGCCTGTTGTAAGAATTACTGAAATGCTTACATGAAACACTACTCTCCATATCCGTAACTAAATCTAAATCATAACTGCAGTGAAAAGGACACATGCCAACAACATGTGTGTTGTATATTACAATGTCCTTTTTTGGGTATTACAGACTTCATTAGCTTAGCTAATTGTTTCCCATAAAAAATCCCAAAGCAAAAGACCCCCAACTTGGTGAGGCTTATGGAACCTTTCGTGTCATCAGCCCTGTCCTGTAGAATGCATCATGACCCCTGTTAAAGGTCTACACTACACTACACTACACTACAGTTGGCTAATGTGCGTGACATTAATGATAACAATGACACATTCCCTCTGCTCAATCATGTCCATGCCATTTCGGGCATTTGAAGGGGCCTTGGTTTTTGTTTTTTTTAAAAAAGAATAACTTCTTATGAGAGTGACATAAGAAATTCACACTAAAATGCTGATCAGTTTTCACAAGGACTTCATAATATGCAAACTGATGTGCAAATGTGCAGTACTGAAGCCAGGACTGGGAATATGAGAAACAGAGAGAAACCATAATCAACAGACTTCCCCATCGCTACCTGTTCCCAATGCCTATCCTTCATCCCTCGATTGCAGGCAATAGAGAGGACAGGAAGATGTTGCTTGAACTTGTCGATCTTAAATTTCACATTCTCCGCTAAACGCTTTGGTCCAGGTTGATCTACTAAGGTCTTTGTCAGTTTGTACATTGTCCGCCACATGGTGGCAACATCTTCACTGATTTCCTCAGCGTTCAGCTGCAGGAGAGGTCCTGCATGTGAAAAAGCAAACAAGCATTTTGTAAATCTCAAAACCCAAGTTTTCTCTGCAAATATTTACTGGCAGGTATTGAAGGCACTGTAACAAAACCAAAGCCAAAATCAATAACTCCTAGTTAAATACCAAAAGCACTGCCTTAAATAATACATGCCCATGCAAGAATATCTCAGGCTCAGAGATATTCTGCCTCAACAGGTGCTGTACACATAGCTGCAGAGAAAAGAAAATGGGAGATTACTTTCTAACAAATGAATATCTGGGTGAGGGCAATTTCATTTTAGAAGTGCCTTCAGATGATATTATTATTATTATTATTATTATTATTATTATTATTATTAAATCTTCTGCTTTCTGGGAAGGGAGCACACATTTTATTTTCTCTTGTAAAGATCAGTAAACATAATTTTTTTGAAGACACACAACTCAGTTGCAAGCAACTTATCTTCGTGCATGAAAAACCTCACCATTCATCCATTCCTCAGACTTCGTATGGAAGTTGTAAGCAGTCACCCAAAGCTGTTCAAAAGGTATTTTGTTTGTGATGATAGTCTGCAGCAGTGGAAACTGGCTTTTCTCTCGTTCCAGTAGCTCCTCTTCCTTATTAATAGCCTGTAACACACACATACACACACATTATTTTAATGATTTGGTGCAGAGCTCTTGGTGTATGTGTGTTTTCAATCCAGCATTACAAAAAGAGCTAAAACAATTTCTTTAGAGAAGGGGGAAATTCAGATCTAAGTCTCCCCACATCATTTCCTTATCAAAATTTGCTACAACATGGTCTGTGCATGCAGAAGAACACTAGAACTCAGGGATATCCAATGCAGCTGAATGTTGGAAGATTCAAGAGAGATAAAAGAAAGCACATCTTCATGCAGTGCATAAACTATGAGACTCACACCAACAGGAGGCAGTGCTGGCTACCAGCTTGGGTGATTTTAAAGGATTGGACAAATTTGTGAAGGAGAAGGCTATCAGTGGCTACTAGCCACAATAGTTATGCTTTGCCTCCTCAGCCAGAGGCAGTAATGCTTCTGCATACTAGCCACTGGGGATCACAAGTGGGGGGAGTGCTCTTGCACTCATGTATTGCAAGGGGGGCTTTTCCCACAGGCATCTGGGTGGCCGCTGTGTGACTAAGATGCTGGACTAGATGGACCATTGGCCTAATCTAGCAGGTTCTTCTTAAGTTCCCCTCCCTCTGTTGCTTCACTTGGGTTGAAGTGTGAGCTCCTCAAGACAGAGACCTGCCCTCTTGCACTTTGTTTAGTGCCACAAACTTTTTTTTTGCAATGATAAATATTACTACTGTAAATAATAAAACTATTCAAAGCTGGTTGCTGTGAACACAATTGTGTTCCAGAAAAGACCACTGGTCAACCATTCTCAGTACCCTAGCCTGCATAATTGTACTCACTATCAGACATATTCAGAATAGTAGAGCCACTGAAATCAATAGGCATGACTAGTTTAGGTCCAATTATTTTAATGGGTCTACTGTGAATAGTTGGATGCAAACCAGAGGAGTTCACTTCTGCATAGACATGCACAGGCTGGCACTTTAAAATAAATTAAGGCTGCAATCCTAACCTCACTTATCTGGCAGTAAGCCCCACTGAATTCAGTAGGACCTACTATGGAGCAGGTATGGTTAGGTTTATGCTAAGGAAGCATTTGCAAATTTAAAGCTACGAAGAGACTAACTTCATATTCAGAAAGAGCAGCATCCAAATTCTTAGACAACTCATTAAACTTTTCAACGTTGTTCTTCATTTCTTCCATGGTCATGACATCCTTCTTTCGGAAGCTTTCGACTTCTTTGTTATAATTTTCTAGAATAGCCTCGAATTCAGAGCACCTGGTTGTAAGCAAAGATAGCAAAGCATTCACTCATCTTATAGCTTGCTCCTCAATTAAAAACAAACAAACAAAAAACCCAAAAAAAATCAGTAAGTGAAGTGAAGAATGAAGTCACTTGGAGGTTTTGTTAGTCTGTTAAAGAAAAGTGGGATATAAAATGCCTAGATTGAATAAATAAACAATGGACCTTTAACTTAACTCTGCAAAGCAGAGGGTGAGCAACCTGGCTGCCGAATTCTACATCAGCTGAAGCTTCCGAACCGTCTTTAAAGGCAGCCCTATGTATAATGCATTGCAGTAATCTACTTGGCTCACTTTTCCCAATGGTAGGGCTACCAAGGCCCATCTTAATGGTTTGGGAAGGTTCAAATGGGAGACAGCAGCTTCTGAGGCCACCTACTCCTAAGTTAGTAACTTACCTTTTGATGAGACAGAGCTCCACATGATCCCGTCTGTTCATCAGCTGATTCCTTGCGGTTTCAAAGATGACCTCAATCTCATCCGGCCAATGCAGAACAGTACTGTTCAGCTTTATATCATCACCTAGGAAAATGTTATACCTTAAATTAATCTGCACATCTGTTCTGCTGTGGCTATTCTTGCACTCCTTCATATGTCATTTTGTGATGATGCTGTGCTATAAAGCTAGCTCAAATAAACTTAAGTTGAAAGCCAACAAAATCTTTGACCAAGCTCTGGTTTTTAATGCAAGTATTTGTTTTTTATTTATTGCATTTCTATCCCACCTTCCTCTTTAAGGAGTTTGAGGTGGCATATATGATTATCCCCCTCCTCAATTAATCATAACAACAGCATTGTGAGGTACTGGCCCAAGGTCACCCAGTAAACTTCCTGGCTGAAGTGGAAAATTGAACTCTGGTCTTCCAGGTCCTAGACCAACACTCTACATTACACCACACTGGCTCTCATTAAAATGGCAGATTGAAAGCACCCTATTAGAATAGGCATCCTCCTTTCTCATATTCATAGGTGTATGTATCACTTAAAAACAAATAAAGGATCAATTAAAGCTCATGCAATTAATCAACTAAGATTTGTTTAGCTGGGTGACAGTCCTAAGACCAGCCCTTAGCCTGGATTCTTTCTTTGTTGTATTTTCCTTTTCAAAAACGTACAAGGAAGATCAGCGTAGTCCATCAGGAATTCCAGTCTGTAAATAGCTTCCCTGATTTCACGGCGCAACTTAAAGACAGTGACGTCACTGGATTTTTTCAAATAGGCCGTGGTGTCAACCAGCTCCTCAGTGGTCATAGGCACTTCACTGACTTTGTCTGCAATTATGCTGTACTGGTTGCAAATGCTACAGATGGAAACAGAAGAGGGACATGTTGTTAAACATCTATCACAATGAATGAATTTTTCTATGATATAGTGGTATATAAATATTTGCATAAACAAACAAATGTGTTAGGCAAAGTGACATACAAAACTGCGTTACATCAGCCAGAATTTCTTGCAGGAGAGAGAGAGAGAGAGAGAGAGAGAGAGAGATGCATTAAAATGTGTATATTAAGTGAAATCTGTACTAAAATGCTGGTCCATTATCATAAGGACTTCTTTAAAAATATAAGAAGGATCCACAATCTGTTGTGGCAATGTGGAGAACTGAACTTAAAAGGGGGGGGGAGAAACCAAAATGAACAGACCCCCCCCCCATCATGGTCATGTCCCATTTATTTGCGCATACCTCTGGTTTACCTCCCTGTTTTCTTCCACTTGGAACTCAATCAGCCTGTCTTTCAGCTTCTGAGTCCGACAGCAAAGAGCCTCATTCAGCTTTAATGCGTCGAGGCAGAACAAGGCCAGAGGGACTGTGACGTGCAGAGACGCAATTTCTTTTTTCAGCTTCGTCAAACCATCAATCTTCTACATATGGATGACATTGCCATTGTTATATGGTGACAACAACAGTAACAACAATCACATTATCTTAGGCTATTTCAGACATGTTGAAAAAGAGAAAAGAGTAGTCTACAAATGTGTTTCTTTTCTTTCTTTCTTTTAATTAGTTTTTATTAATGACTTTCTTGTGTAACAAACAAACAAAGAAAAGTACATACGGTGTCTTCACTTTCAATTTATAGTGTCTTTTTCACAATTCATTTACATTCAGTATGAGACACTGCTATCATATGCATTATGTGGTTGGGGAAAAGGAGAGAGGAGAGAGACGGGGGAGAGAAATGAGGGGAAATTTGATCTTTCATTTTATTGCATAGTATTTGTGTAGGACACTCCCACTGCATGTGTTGATTTGTCTCTATAATGGGACATCCTCTCCAACACAAGGGCATTAAGTGTCTATTGCACTATCTATGCATCTTGTAGATACCTTTCTCAGGTCCCTTAGTACACTCATTCAGTCCATTGCAAAGAAACCCCATGGTGTTGCTGGTGCTCAAAAGCCATAAGCAAGGTTGTGCCTTTCCCCACAGGCCTGGCTTTCTGCACTCCTGATCTTGCTTGAAAGTGCTGATCCAGAAGTGCAGGTTGACCCCCTTGCAGAGTCATGCCCTTCAAATGAAAAGCTCTCCAGGATAAAGAAACTGCAATGGCTTACATTTGTAATTTAGCTTTTAGTTATGCTATAAGTCATTACCTCCACAAAATCATCCAGATCATGTCTTTTGCTTAAAAACTCAGTCACGTCATTTTCTGCATTGTTATTCAAGAGATCGCTGTACTTCTCGTACACGCTTAAGTATCTTAAACACAAGGGGGGAAAGATAAAAGAAACATAAATTCTCCAGAACAGGATCAATGGTAATGAATATATGTTTTTTAATGTACTTTTATGCCATCATGGAATTCAAAGTGGCATAAATGTGGTTCCCAGGCAGTCACACATTCAGGCACTGACCAGACCCAGATCTGATTTGCTTCAGCAAAATGGTGACCTCATGTGCCTTCAGACCAGTATGAATAACTACGGTATATTTCATGATAATTTTCTCCAAAGCCATTTCCATTGTTGAGACAAAAAATGAAAGAACGTAATGTCTGGGAAATCTACTATACATTTTGTAAAGTTGTTCAGGTTTTTCCCTGCTCAATATGCATTTGGATGCTTCTTAAGATATTGAGGCCAGATTTGGGTGCCCGAAATCAAGGAGCAGGTTTTCAACTATATGATCAAGAAAACTACCAGGGTATGCTTACTTTCGCGGACCAACAAGATTGTGATTAAATATCTCAGCAGTTTTGTTCACATATTCTGAAACTAATGATTCATCTGCTTGGACAGTACGAAGAATTAGGTCATCCCCTTTTAATTCTGGGAATAGTTTAACTTGTACCTAGAAAGAGGAAGAAGGAACCATAGTGAGCAGAAAGGGATAAACATTGTACGAAGGCATTATAGAGAAAATGCTTGTTTCTTGACTTACAGGTTGCTATTGCTGTTGGTTTTTAAAAGTGAGCAATTTTACCCTGCCTAAAATTTGGGGAATTACACTATAGATTTTTGGCTCCTATAAATCCTAGAATTCATTTGATACGCTACTGTAAATGATTAAACAATAGCACAATCATATGAAAGCATATTAGAAACTAAGTTACTGTTGTTGTTGTTGTTGTTGTTGTTGTTGTTGTTGTTGTTATATATTTAGTTATACCCAGCCGTTTCCCCTGACGGGACTCAAGGTGGCTTACAGATAAAAACAAGAATTGCTAAAAACATAGAAAAAAACCCATCATTTAAAAACAAACATTGGTAGAATTAAAAACAGTATACACATATAAAAACTGTTTAAAACATACAAATAATTACAATAAAAACAGCGCAGCACCTGGCCTTTCATTAATAGCAGTCAGTTCCCAAAAGCCTGTGGTTCACACATAATGTAGTAAACTATAGTACTGAGCTATAGTAAACATTAACCAACCATGGCTTATGAGCGTGGTTTGTTCATGAATAAAAAAACCATGGCTAAGGTGCTGGGCCAAATTCAAATGGTCAAATTAAAGCATGGCTTAGCATTACATGCACCTACGCCACTGTTTTCAATTAGGCTTCGCATAAGATTGCAGCTGAAGTCTGTAATCCTATGTACCATACCTTTACCTGGGAGAAAGTCCTACTGAACATAATATAGCTTACTTCTGAGCAAACATGGACATGATTTTGATCTTAATTTTACTTTTACATACCTTTGGAAGACCCTCAGAATTTTTCAGAACCTCCATGAAGCAGTGATACAGTAAATCCCAACAAGCTTCCACATCTGGCTCAAATATAATATCAGGCTCCTGCACTTCCAGTTTGATGACCAACATTTGTGGTATGAAGAATTGCATTTCATGATAAGTTTCTCCAAAGTCATTTCCGTCCTCAAGACAGAGAATGAAAGCATGTTACATCTAGGGAATCTTCTTCTGCTATATATTTGGAAAGTTGTCTGTCTGTCTTTCTGTCTGTCTGTCTGCCTGCCTGCCTGCCTGTCCATCTGTTCCCTATGCATGCAGAAACCTCTGAAGATATTATCACCCAATATGAAAACCCATCCTTCCAGAGAAGGATATATTTGGATACCATCAGATGCCATTCTGAATCAAGATGATGGACTGAACCTTTCCAAACTAGACGAAAGTTAACCAAATTTGGCAGGATTGTATATTATTATTCATCCAACAGCAATAGAACGAAAATACTAGGGCTGTCCAATGGAGTCTGGCGAAGCCTAAAACTTGAAGCAAATTGGGTCAATCCAAACAGAACCAGACCAGCCAATCCAGGGCTGTCAATATAGGTGATGGGGGGTGGGGAGGCGAGGTTAGAAGGAAAGGCAGGAAGCCTCTACTGAGAGCAACCTGAGGCTCTTTGCAAGAGGGCTTTCAAACAGCCCTGTACTGAAATTTGGTTTAACCAACCTGTTCCAAACAGGGGAACATGCACACAGCCCAATTGAGCAGCACTAAACTCTCAGCTCACCAGCTGGTGTGTGGAGGGTTCAGTACTCCTCTGCAGTGTGGTTGGCTGGGGGAGGAGGAGGTGTGGTATCTTCTTCCCTATCCCCTCTCCCAAACATACATTTAATTAGGGTTTTAAATGTAATTTGTTGTTTTTAATCAGGGTTTCATTTGACTGGAGGTGAGGGATTTCTGGGGATGGACTTTTACTTGAGGTCTTCTGTACTTTTATCTGTCATCTATGTTTCCAGCTGATACTTTGTTATGACACCTTGACTACCATCTGATGGAACGGCAGCATTTGCTCTTTTTTTAATCATTCTGTTATTTCATCACCTGCTGAAAATGCTTTTGTTTTCACCAAGTATTTTAGAGAATTAATTTGATTCAGTGTTGGTCACTTCTTCTCTATTCTATGGTTTTTCAGATGTATGATATTCCAGCGATTTTATTGTTCAGCAATTTGATGTTTATGAGTTGTTGGTTTATTTTAAAATCTTATAATGCAATACAGTCGTACCTTGGATCTCAAACGCCTTGACTCCCGGACAAATTGGTCCTGAACAATCGAACCCCGGAAGTGAGTGTTCTGGTTTTTAAATGATTTCTGGAAGCTAAAAGTCTGGTGCGGCTTCCACAGCTTCTGATTGGCTGCAGGAGCTTCCTGCAGCCAATCAGAAGCCGGGCTTTGTTTTCCAAATATTTTGGAAGTCAAACGGACATCAGGAATGGATTCTGTTTGGCTTCCAAGGTATGACTGTACAACTACAATAAATGCATAATATATAAGATCAAGCTGTATGAATGTCTACAAAGCACTGAAAGTCCAGGTGACACGGTCAACTCTGCATACCTTATGTATCCTAAAAAAGGAAAGGAGATCCGCTAATGAATTAATGACCATCTCCCGTAGCTGTAAAGACATGAGGACGGCTACCGAAGCAAAATATTCTTCTATCAGTTGAGAAGAGTCAAAGTCGTTCTGGGGAGCAAGATGCAGCCAGTTTTGCTTCTGTTCAATGAACAGTTCTGCACATGTTGGAATCCACCTGTAATGGGTAAGTTATCCAATCAGCATATGTCAAGATTGTTTTAAAACGATGAGTTGTAAAACAGCCTTCACCAACCTGGTGCCCTCCATATGTTTTGGACTGCAGCTGATGGGAGACATAGTCCAAAATATTTGGAGGGCATAAGCTTGGTGGATGCTTCTTTCCCCACCAAGTTTCTCCATTTGGCCCACGACTCGGGCAAGTCACGCCCACATGCCCTAACCCTGATGTCAGATGGTCAGTTAAGGACAGAGCTTGGCCCAAAGGGGCTTGGAAAATCCCCTTGCAGAGCACTGGCCAAGTGCCCAATGAGCAGCTGGTTGCTGGGCACTTGAGAAGTGATGCACGATGTGCTTTGCAAACACTGTGTGGGGTAGGAAGAACGATTGGGTCTGCCAGGCCAAAAAAAGTTCCCCACCCTTGCTTGATTGCCAGTAGCATTAATTCATGATCAAAGACAGAAATGAATGGCTTTAAAAGTGAGGTTTTAGAACATCACACAGTTATTCTGTTCACACACATCTCTGTGAACTTAAGAAAAAGTGGGCGGAACAACAGAAGTTACTCTTATCTTTTTAACAGCAGGTTGCTTTGGGTCATTTCGATGAATAAAGCAATGTCATAATCATCATTCACATAAAGCAGAAGTGGGGAACTTCTGGCTCTCCAGCTGTTGCGGGACTCCAACTCCTATCAGCCCCTAGCCAGCATGGTCAACAATCAGGGATTTTGGGAGCTGTAGTGCAACACCAGCTAGAAAGTCATAGGTTTTCCAAAAGCACTCTGACCTGTTCTCAAGAATATCATGAGCTTCTTGACAATGTTTTCGGACCAAGTCTTCAAACTCGCTGGGCAGCAGTGGCAAATCACCCTCGAGGATTTCCTGAGTACGAACAAACCTCAGGTTGCAAAACCTATGGGAGGGAAGGGGAAAAAATGCATGGCTGCGATGAACTTGACATAATGATGTAGAATAAGGATTAAATGCAATCATACCTGCCCGGTCTACGGAATATAGGAAGCTACCTTATAACAAGTCAGTTCACTGGTCTATTTAGCTCAGTACTGTCTACATTGACTGGGAGCAGCTCTCCAGCCCTACCTGGGACCTTCTCCAAGCAAGCCAGTTGCCCTGCAAATGAGCTACAGTCCCTCCTTTAGGGACACTGAAAGCTGCCTGACGCTAACTCAGACCACTGGTCCATCAAGATCAGTATTTTCTACGATGGCTGCAAGCAGCTCTCCAGAGTTTCAGGCAGGTGTGTCTCCCAGTCATACCTGGAAATGGAATTGAACCTGGGATACCTACTTCATGCAAAACAGATGCTCTGCCATTGAGCAACAGCCCTTGTACTGGAACCAGCATAGCACTGAATGAAATTTCCTACTGTATACAGCACAAGGGGTCCTCTGGGATTGCTCCTGTAAGCCACCAGAAATCTTTCTGGACTGATCTATACTCACAGCTGAAGGAAGGATAGTTGGCTCCATAGCTAATATTGTTCAGTAATATAAGGTGACTGTGAGCAAGAAGATACTGTACTCCACACAATCTCATCAATCTATGGCCAGTTAAGAGTTTGCATAGAAAGCAAATAGAAACTTATTACTTAAAAAGAAGTTAGGGGATATATATGAGCCAGGCGACTTACTCTGAGAACCAGAGGCGTTGCAAAGTAAGCATCATAGGATTCACTGTGAAGAGGTGACCTTCGTTCCAGCTTCTCACTTCTTGGTAGATTGTGTGCCATGGAACTGGTGCACGAATCACTCTTCGAGGAAAAGGCAATGGAATGTTGTATATAAAGAGTCTCTTCCTCTCCTCTGGATCCATCAGGATGTAATCAACTAGGGTAAAACCACACAAAGCATGGGAAGAAGAAGGAAACTCTGTTTGGATGCAGTTTGGAAGCAATGGTTAAGTGTATGCAGCACGTGCAGAAGGCACACTAGGCCATACAAAGAATCCTAGGAACTGTAGTTTTTAAAGGTGCTGAGAATTGTAGTTCTGATTATGCTAGAGACTCTGTGTCTAATAAATCAAATGTGATTACAGTTTGTTATTTTATACTCACACCCCAAAAGTGCCACCTAGGCAGCTTCCACAATCTACCTAAAGACAGGACCAGTCCTAGAAACCAGGTTGCAGAATTCCGGTGTTCAGCTTGCAGACCTCGTGACAATAAAAATTCAAGAATCACTGCCCATGCCAAACCACACTTTTCTCTTACCAATGTCTTTCATGAGCCAAATATGATAATCGTTCTGAATCTCTTCGGTTAATTCTTTCAGTAATGTCTCCAGCATTGGGTTGGTGAGAAAATGACTTGGGATATGCATTAAAATGCTATCCATCACTTCTTTGTTCTGTGGTGCCAGCATATCTTTCCGGATGCCTTTATGGATGTAGTAACAGTATCGCTAGAAAGTAAATACATATATATGTACAGTTTCATTGCACGGATTATAACAAGGAAAATAAGATCAGAAGCATCTGGAGGGCCAAAGGTTCTGCACACCTGATGCAAGAGTACCCAAGTAATGGAGTAACTTAATCCACTTAGGCTGGCTTCTGGCTCTCTCTGACCGAAGAGGCTGAAAAGGCTTCTTGTTTGGCATAGGACTTTCCCTGGGCAATGGTAGATATTCCTGGTTCCTGATGTCTTTCTTCTGCTTCACTCTAACTCCTGGCTTGGCTCCTGTCCCAATCTGATGACTGCCCAACATCTCAGCCCTGAGTATCTCCTGCCTACTGTTTGCTTACCATATTGCCCCCAATTTTCTGTTATAACCGGAAACCTGCAGTGTTTTAATTCAGGTTTAGTTCCTGTTCAGGTTCACATTGATTCGTTTTGCTTCAAAGAAGGAAGTACAGTGATACCTCGGGTTAAGTACTTAATTTGTTCCGGAGGTCCGTTCTTAACCTGAAACTGTTCTTAACCTGAAGCATCACTTTAGCTAATGGGGCCTCCTGCTGCCGCCATGTTGCTGGAGCACGATTTCTGTTCTTATCCTGAAGCAAAGTTCTTAACCTGAGGTACTATTTCTGGGTTAGTGGAGTCTGTAACCTGAAGCGTATGTAACCCGAGGTACCACTGTAAATAAAAAGCTGTGGATAAAAGCAGGATGAATTCTGGATCAACTAGTCATCTGGAGGGGACCTGTGTTTCCCTGTGTTTCAGGAAACAGCTCACTTACCTGCAGATCACTCTCTGTGGGTAGAGTTTTTCCTTTACTTATTTCCTCCTCATGCCTGAGCATCACAACAAGCTGCTCTTCTGGAGTTAGAGGCTGGTTGTCAGAATAACAGATAACTCCTGTTTCAGATTTCTGCTTATCCGGTGTCAGTAGCAAATCAAAACTGTGTGCTTCCTCTATTGCCATCACCCTGGAATTAAAAGCCGCCAGCTGAGTTGGCTAAGTAACCGGAAATGACATTTTGTACAACCCCAATCCCTACCATACAAATGTTCCCCAAATATTCAATATATCTCAAGCTTTCTTCTAGTCCCCTTAGCCTGGCCTCCCCCAGCCTGGTGCCCTCCAGTTGCTTTGAATTACTACTCTCATCAGCCCCAGCTAGCTTGGCCAATACTCAGGGATGATAGAAGTTGTAGTCCAAAACATCTGGAGGACACCAGAGGCTGATGACCAAAAGCATATCGTTAGGGAAACAAATTCAGCTAGAACAAATTCTAAATAGAGAGACAGAGATAGATAGAAATAATTGAATGTTATTATTTATTTATTTATTTATTTATTTAATATCAAGTTGGCATTTATTTAATATCAATACAAAGCTTTTCTACATAGACTCTATCAGCAAAATTAACTCAACAGAAACTCTCATGTTGCACAACTTTTGTGCAAAATGCAATTAAAAAGTAACATAATAAATCAGAAAAGTGAGAGGGGTGGAGAGATGTATTTAAGCTTTCCTTTCTGCTCACATTATTTTATTTAATGGAAAAAGGAACTCCGATAAAAACTGAGATTAAGATTTACAACCAGGCAAAATAAAATATTAAATGGTTAAAGGATTAAGTGTGTTTGGGAATTGGATATCCAAAGTCATAGATTAGTGACAGAGTACATGTTCTGCATGCAAAGGATACCATTGTTCTCAAGTTTATAAGTTTATTGTTCTAGCCAAAGGCAGTGACAAACTTACCTTAGACAATAGTATGAATAATATAATACAGAACAAACATCCATAATATTAAAAAAGACTTTGCCAAGTTCCTGAGCATTAAAACACAATTTCCATTGTGCACCTCTGACAGCTCCAATTCTAGTATTTTTCTTTTAAAAATCCAATTTGTCAACATAATGTAGGAGAGAGAACTTACCAGAGACACCAGCAAACTCAAATCTACCTTGATTTCAGATTAAACCATCAAATCACCACAACAATGTATAGCAATTTTATCTAACTCATTTTCCTTCTTTTTATTGCAATCAGTGCATAGAGGGCCACTTTGTGTGTTACGAAGCTATTATTGTCACTCAAAAGAAACTGAAACATTTCTGCTGGGGTGTGCCTACTTGCTTGTGTGAACAAAGGTTTCAGAAAGTGACCTCTTGCATCTCTATCTAAGGAACAGTTTAAGAGATAATGAGTTATGTCTTCCACCTATCCACAAAGGATATCAGGTTAACTGCATGGCTGGGGAAAAATTCTGTTTGAAATTCTGGACAGCCAGTATTACTACTACTACTACTACTACTACTAATAATAATAATAATAATAAACTGTCCTTCATCAAAAGATCAAAAAAAAACAAACAAATAAATAGTGTCAGGGGCTCAGGAGCAGAGGCACAGGGGAGAGAGGAAATGGAGAGCGAAGGGGAAGAATCTGAGGGCAGCGTAGGGGAGTATGAAAGTGGCCCGAGAGATTCCATGAGTCTCTCCAGCGAATCAGAAGATTCCCAGAGGGGGGCGCCGATGGCCAGGGCAAGGGGGGTCCCAGGGGGGACACACCAGAAGCAAGGGGCCAGCGGGGACTCCCAAAGCAGCAGCGGGAGAGCAGGACCAGCTCCTCCACCAGAGCGTAGTGAGGGGGAAGAGTCACATGTATCAGGGCCAGCTTCTCCTCCAGCAGGGAGAGAAGATGAGTCAGGGGTGGCCACGCCTCCATCGCAGAGTGAGGGAACGGAGGGAGAGTCAGGTGCAGCTAGCCTCCCCGAAGGGGGAAGCAGTGACAGGAGCAGTGTAACGGTCAGGAGGAAGGTGGCCGGCTGGGCGCACGCGCCAAGTTCGAATGTACAGGCGCGCGGCACAGCAGGAAACCCGGATTGGGAACCAGGTCCTAAAGCCCGCCGGAGGGAGGGGGAGGACTCAGGAGACTCAGCGTCAGAAGAGTCTAGGAGAGGCGAGACCCCAGCGGACAGGCGGGCCCAGAGGAGAAGAGAGCAGAGGAAGAGGTGGAGCAAGGCTAGAGTCTTAAACTGGTGTCTGGGGGGAGGAGATTCAGACGGAGCTTCGGCGGTCTAGAGTTTGAGACGTAGAGCTGCGCGCCGCGGCTGTGAAAGCGAAACTGAGCTTCAATAAAGACTGTTTTATATAACAACGAACTGGCGTTGGTCCTTTGTGAGCTGGGACCTAGGGCAGCTCTGACAAATAGTTAAAACAAAAACAACAAAACAATAACTTCCTCCCCTTCTACAAACACATTTAAAAGACTGAAGAATATTAATCAGCCATGATCATGGGCAGGGAGAATTTCACAGCACAAGGGCCATATTCCCTTCTGTGCAACCTTCTGGGGGCCACATGCCAGTGGTGGGTGAGACTAGAGGCAAAAGTGGATGGAACAAGAAATATAAGTTGGCAAGTATCCTTACAGACTCATGCTCCCCTCTCTATCCTCCATCCAGAAAGAGACATTGAGTTCAAGGATGCATTCCAGGAAGGCAAATAACATTCATGCAAAGCAGAGCTAGTGAGGGGGTATGGCCTGGGAAGAAAGGATGTGGCTTGGAGGAGGTATAACCTGGAGGGAGTCCCAAGGGCCATAGAGTCCAGGAAGGCTCCCAAGCCTGAGGCTCCCTATCCCTATCATACAGGTATTGGATTAAAGGGCAGTGGAAGGACACTGCAGCACATAAGACGGAAACACTGAATTACTGTGTGGCTGTGAAAAGCATGGAGAAGCCAACATTAGAGTCTCGTATGACAGCAGTTGGAAAATGGCCCCAAACAGCTCAAAGATAAAACATTATCTTGCCGCTATATGCGCGATGTGAGCCACTTTCCCCAGATGAAATTAGACCTATGCAACAACCAACCAGCAAGTAATGAAGACATAATTACTGCTTGGAACTTGCAAGTCTTAATGACAGCCTTTAATGTATCTCAGAAGTGAACACTTTGATAGACTGAATGATAATATTGTAAGCAAGTGCCCAAACATGGGTGTGTGCAGCTATCTGCTGCCGCCTGTGTGCATAAATCTGTGTGCTTGAAAATAATTTAAAAGCTAGCAAACAAAAGAACCCATAAGGAACAGTAGAGGGGAGAAGGATTTTCCCTGTTTTCAAATGTAGTCTTATGGGGCCTGAACCAACCCTGTGTAAGGTCTATGGGTAATATTAAACTACATTTTTCTCAGAGCAGACCCACTGAAATTAATGAACATGGCTACATTTGGCCCATTAATTTTAATGAGTCCACTCTGAGAAAACTTAATTGAATACCACCCTGTGCAACCTACAAATCCAGATCTTTTGCTGTGTGGGAGGCCTCTATCACAATCTCTACTCTACATTTAGCTCTGTGCTGGAAATATTCTGTCCTGTGGAGAGCCCTTCGCTCCCCATTTGTTAGATTTGTTCTGAGATGCTAGACTGGCCAGCAGGCTGGTCAAGATCTGAGCACTTTAGGAGGAACCATTATATCTTTAAAGCACATTTGAAGCACATTATCGATGTCAAAGAATTCAGGGCACTGTAGTTGGTTAAGGGTTGCTGGAAATTGTTGCTCTGAGGGGTAAACTGGAGTGCCCAGAATTCTCTGAGGGAAAGAATGTGCTTTGAATGTGCTTTGAAGTTGCAGCGTCCATGCAGTCCGGAATTATTTTCTTCCCTTGCTCCTCGGTTTTTCATTGCTGCGTGCTCTTAGCTGCCTGAGATAAAGAGCTACTTTCTGGTATGTGTTACCTGAGTGAGAGAAGGAACTGGAAGAAATATGTGAACATCACACATGAGCCAAGTTAACCCATCATGAGAACACCAAGTTTTCTGGCTTATCATGGTATACTGGGAGCAAGCACCATGCACACATACTGCTCAGTTGTTCTGATGATCCTCTTCCCCAGTGTGAATGGCAGAAACAATCGAGGAAGTCAGCCCGGCAAAGTCATTTTGCTGCCAAACAAAGAGGATCCTCCCCCAGCCTCCCCTCAGTGGTGGATTTGGGGTCTCAAATTTCAACAGTGCTCTGTGCAGTGCTAATGTTTGGCACATGCTTCCGTCCCCCGTTTTTCACCTTCCATTCTACATCAAAGTTGCGGTGCCTCCGAGGCTCTGCATCCAGTGCAACCGAACCGGTTGTGCTCCCCTAAATTCGCCTCTCCTCCCTCACTGGCATAGCTGTCAACTTTCAGATTTGAAAATAAGGATCAGCAGTGTCAAAAATAAGGGATCAGCAGCCTCACCTGTCCCAGGGACAGTCTACAGGATATCTAACAATCCAGGGTAGCAGTGGGAAGCAGCGGGAAATGGCGCTGGAATAAGGGAATTTCCCCGCAAAAAAAGGGAAGGTTGACAGCTATGCTCACTGGCAGCTGAATTTTTATTCAATACTAGTGATAAGATCATCTCTTCCCCTGTACCTGGGGAGCATCAGGGTAGCTTAAGGCAAGGAGTCGCTTGAAAGCTTATGGAACAACAACTATCACCCAAGTCCCTAAGTATCCGTCAGATAAATGCACAGCTTATAAACTATACAATACCTGTCATAGTCATCAGCAACGTTTCCTGATGAAAGCTTTTTCTTCTTCTCAGAGGGAGCAAATTCTTTTGGAGCTATATGACTTGGTCAAGGAAGAAAAAACACTAGTCAAAAAAGGAAAAGACTAGTCCAGATTTGGGGACTCGAGCTTTGCAAATTCTACCCGATCTGCACCTCCCAAACTTATGTGTTGATTTGAACTGAAGTTATCAGCTTTTGTACTTCCTTTTGTACTTACATTGCAGCAAATGCTAGAACAGTTCAAAATACATAAAATTTTAATCTGCTAATTTTAATGTGGCTTTTTAAAAATTGCTTAGTGGGGAACAGAACAGACATATATACATAAGGAAAAGGGAACCAAACTGGAAATACACAAAACAGAGCCAAAATATGCATGTGTCTGTTTATTAAACACAGGACTATCCATTTGCTTATGAAGCAGGCAGGTGAGTCTGTTTTTTATAACAAAAGAGGCACATAGGGGAGTGAAGCAAGCTCATATGCTCCCCTTCCTAATCTTGTTCTGATACCAGCCCAGTAGTGGCTGGTACACCTTGGGATTGGTAGCATGGAAGGCAAGGTGGCCACCAGAAGGTGGTGCCAGAGCTGATATCAGGAAGAGCCATTCCCTAGACCAGTTTTAAGTAACAAGGCAGGCAGGTGGGGGGGGGGGGAGGCTGAGAGTAGAGAAGTGCCCCATTCACCTTAATGGACAAGCATCCACTAAATTGAGACTGCTGTTTGTGTGCTAAAAGCAGCTAAAGATGGTCAGCAGGTTTCACGGCACACAGAAAGGTACTACTTGCTCAGCAGGGAAATATAGGAGCTTCTATTATACCTGCAATTCCCCACACTACTAGGAAATAGCAGCTGGGGGTGGCGCAATTTAGGTGAAGAAAATGGCATAGAGAAAATGGGTAAAAAGCCTCAATCACTGCAACTTTCCAGATCAAATGCAAGTAGCCCTTGCTGTCATTCACTTCTTCCTCTCACTGGACAGATAGCACAGGTGCATTTAGTGTTTTTATTTTTTAAATAATGGGGGAAATAAGCATGAGACTCCCAGCATAACAAGCTGTTTGGCTGACAGCAATCTCCAAATTGCTTTCATGTCAAAGAATGTTTGCAGACCTTGCAATTGCTAGAAGAGTCACAGAATATCAGCAGTCATTGGTAAGAGAAGGAAGATGTCCCTTTTATTTCTGTTACCCACCACACCACCCAGGCCCATCAGTACCCAGCACCCTTGGACACCTGCCTGGATGGTAACAGGGCATAAAACAGCCTGGGCTCCCTGACTCAAAAGTCTGAGCTGCAGTTTTAAATTTCCCAGAATGAATGGGGCATTTTGGGAAACTTAAATTGCTTACTTCTTGGCTACTGAAGCCAAGAAAACCGCACAGCCGAAGGCTCAGCAAGATGGGAAGGGGCATGGAAAACATAAGATGAGCCGCACTGGATCAGGCCAATGGCCCATCAAGTCCAGCATCTTGTTCTCACAGATGCTAATGGGAAGCCTGTAAGACGGATCTGAGTGCTCCAGGGTTCCCCAAACACATTGGAGCACTTTGCTAAGGGAATGCTTAGACATAGACATAGACTTCTCCCTGATGGCACCACCAATAGCTGGGTGTGCAAAGCACTGCTAGCACCAGTGCTGTAGTGGAACAGCAACACAGCTGAGTGCCCAGTGGCCATACTTTTTTTCAAAGCAGGAGTAGTGATGCCATCTACTGCGGTAGAGTTTTGCTACATATACACCATACATTAAAAGTGCATTTAAAGCACATTCCCCACCCCAAATCATCCTGGGAACAGCAGCTTAAGAGTGCTGGGAACTGTAGCTCTGTAAGGGGTAAACTACAGTTCCCAGAATTCTTTGAGGGGGGGATATGGTTTAAATACAGTATATGGTAGAGTACAAAATGAGAAAAAAGACAGGATTCTGGAGAAAATTAAAGACTGCGAGAAGAAGTTAAGATTAAAACCGAAGTCATTGGAGATTCTGAGAGAAATTAAACTTAAAAAAAAAATTAATTAATAATAATAATAATAATAATAATTGTAAGCTTGAGGGGAGAAAAAAGCCTGGGCCAACACATACAGAGCAGCCTTGCCAGACAAAAAGACAGGAAGATAAACAAGCATTTGACAAGAAACACAAGGACAAGAGACACAAACACATAGGATACGTGGAGAATGTCTTGTGGTCCCAGCTGGCTTTCTTGCCTTTAAAGGTGAAACTATCTTACGCAGATCTTTCATTTTCAAGTTCTGTGCAGTGAGGGTGTAATTATTGGCAATGGAGTTGCTGGGGCTCCGGAAATGACGCTGCTCTTTAAAGGGAGCTGCCAAAGTCCAGGATGCTCTTTGCATCAGAGAAGGGTAAAAGCTGCTATTTTGGATCATCTGAAATGGAGTGGGATGGGGAGGAAAAATAACAGTTTATATTCTGTTGTGCTAGCCGGCAATTTCTTTAACTGATATAAGGTAATGACAGTGGAGGCTGGTGCCCATTGGGACTGGGTAGAGCAGAAGTCGGGAAGGGGGTGCTATATCAAATGGCTGATTGAGCTAGAGTCAACGGTAGATGAAGCCAACTATTTCTGGTTTTGCCCCTATTATCTTCCCTGCTGAATTGTACAAGAGCACCACTGAGACAATGAGACTGACAATCAGTGCTACTCACTGGACTAGTTGTAAATAAAAAGGTAGGCAGGTGCAGGGACGGACTTAGGTAATATGGCAACCTGAGAAAGGACAAAATTTGGTGCCCCCTATTGTGGTTATTAATATTGCACACTCAGAAGCAATAGAATGAATAAAAACTGAAATAAAAATTGTCCAGTCCAAAAATATGGTTCAAAAGCTTTACTAACAGAAATTGCTTCAAAACAAACATGAAACAAATAATGTTACATCCAGATAATCATATAATGTCATGTGCTGATCCCTGCACAGGTAGAACATCTTAGAAATATGAAATAACTTCATTCAGAGCTGAAATCAAAGCTCTGTCTCTCCAACACAGTCGCCATTAACTTGAGGCTGTGTTCCTAGAGAGAACCATTTGCACATCCTTTCTTCTCTAGTGCCTCAGAACAAACACCTAACTCACCCCCCCCAAAATGGGCACATGAATATCTCATGTGATCCAACTTAAACACCTTGTGGGAGCTAGCAGAGACACATTCTCAGTTCATCAGCACCTGTCAAGCTCTCTGAGAGCTTTTGTTTTAGCTCAATGGAACTTTCCAAACCATGCTGTTTTTAGCAGTACACATACAGACATATACAGAGTTATTTTCCATTTCAATGTACAGTTAAACAATTATACTTAACACCCCCTAAATATTTCTTATTTTCACAATAATTCCTTTTGGTACAATTCCTTTTCAGGTCTTCTCAGTACATAACCATATAAATATAAGTTTATTATTGTTTTTGTTATTTTGCGCCCCCTTGGTTCAGCACCCTGTGGAGGGAACTGCCTGTGCCGCCTTAAATCCGGTGTGGCAGGTGGGGATTGGCTGAGAACATACTGAGCTTGCTGGGGCAGTGCCTCATCCGCCCTACAGGACTAGCTTCCATTGGACACTTCCAGTATCACAGACCAATGGAAGGGCAATGTTGAGAGTTGGAAGGAGTGGGCCCACTGTATGTATTTTTCCCAAGCTCCTCTGCACCCAATACCACGTGTAACAAACCCAATGCACAGCCTGCTAGCAGACTGATTGCGTACAGGTCACACATTATTAGGCCAGTTGATTCTACAAATACACATCAGTTATTATATACTATGGCCAAAGTTTGTAAGACAGGTCAGAGGGCAGCCAGCAAAATCACAATGCCCCACTGTGGAATGGCTTGTCTATGTTTGCCCAGACTTTAGCTCACAGGTCAGGCAGGCACACACAAAACCATTGCAAAGAGGTATCCAAGAGAAACTTCCCTTCCACTCTTTCCTATGACTCAGCCATGCTTATTAGAATAAGCATTCCTAGTCCCAGTAGTTCATCTGCTATCTGGGTTGATGTTACTCTGGCTCCAGTGCACTCCCACCACAACTGTTTGAATCCATGTACATACGACGTTATTCACAATGCATAACTATTCTGTTGTTTCTTGTGAAATGTAACTGTTTGATGCACAGCCTCATAAAACACATTTCATTTGGAACCAATCACTTGTAGCCATGCTTTATGAAGAACAATGAAACCATGCTTTATTTCTTCTGTAGGATCTGGAACCCTGACTTGCAACACAAAGAACCTGCCTTCCCAGAGTACCACTCATCTCCCATAAGGAGTGCCTGATGGTGCCTTAATAGATGTAACCCAGTGGGCAGTATGAGTATACATACCTGATACAGTTCAGAGGGGTCTTCTGCAGCCAAACCTGGCAAAGGCGGCAACTCTGGTATTTGTTTGGCATGGCTCATATTATAGATGGAATCATTCTGTTCCTAGGAATCATTAAAAAGGAAAAAAGTAATGTGTTAAGAAAGCCTATAGGACTAGACATATATACAAAGCCCATCTAGATACAGTGGTGGGATGGATGATAAGCAGAAGGCAGGGAAGCCAACAGTAAGTAGGTGAAGCCAGGGTTAATGATAGGCTCAGCAAGACCCAAAGACAGAGCCAACAAATTCTAGTTTTGCCCTCCACCCTCCTCCTTCCTGAGTTCTACAGGGGGCAATGCTGAGAGTACAGAGGGGGGAGCCAACAGTCAGGACTGCTCTTTTGGAAATGGAGAGGGGTGGAGAAGGAAAATAGCAGGTGTGCTAGCCGGTAATTTCCTTGACTGAAATAAGTGGAGGTTGGTGGCCATTGAATTTGGTAGAAGAGAAGTCATAGAGGTCAAATGTAGGAGGCTGGTTGAGCTACAGCCAATGATAGAGCCAACTAATTCTCCTCCCTTCTGAATTCTACAAGAGCAACACTGAGACTAAGGGCAAGGAGGCTGACAGTCAGAGCCACCTTCTGGAGTGATTGTAAGAAAAAAGGCAGGCAGGTGGAAGTTAGCTGAGGGCAGATGGAGGTTGGCAGGGCAATGCCCCATTTGCCCTAATGGACCATTCTCCACTGTCCAGATGCAGGCATAAGCCTTTTTTGCACTGCTGCCTAGGAGTTGTGTATGACACATCAGTATCAAAATACCTGTGAAATCCTGAATTATGTATATATCATAGTTGAATGGTGGACATAATTAAACACAAAAGACAAGCTGCTTATGGTGCTCATATTTTTCAATTTGAACAGTACTAATTGGTATTCTAAAAAAGCTCTGTGTACGATTGTCTTCTTCTTCACACACACTCAGGTAAAATTCTTACCAAGGTTATAAACAACCATCCCGGCTCTATCACTTCAGAGTGCAGAAGTGGGTTCTTATGTTTGAATGTTTATTCACACATTTTTAAAAAGGAAGCTCTTTGCATGGGGGGGGGGATGACTCTTGAGGGATCAGACTAAAGGTCCATCTTCCTGGAAGCTCACAGGCAGGGCATGAATGCAACTGCCTTCCTTAGGTGCTTTTTTGTAGCAACTGACATTTCAAGATACGCTGCCTCTGATGAAGCTTCCTTAGAATATAGAGGTTCCGTTTAATTATTACAGCCACTGACAGTTCTCCATAAACTTGTCTAATCCCATTTTAAATCCATTTAATCAGCAGCCATCCACACATCCTGGGGCTGTTAATTATCCACAAATTAATTATGTGCTCTGTGAAGAAGTATTTTCTTCTTTCCTGTGTTGATTCTACTGCTCATCAAATTTACCAAGTCACCACCACAAGTTCAATATGAAGGGAGCCCTGTTTAGGGAAGCTTTTAATATCTGGAGGACTATTGTATTTTAATGTTTTGTTGGAAGCTGCCCAGAGTGGCTGGGGAAACCAGCCAGATGGGTGGGGTATAAATAATAAAGTATTATTATTATTATTATTATTATTATTATTATTATTATTATTATTGGACTACAGTTCCCATCAGTCCAATGGCCATGCTGGCTGCAGCTGGTCAAAGTTTCAAGCATCTGGAGGTTGGGAAAGGCTACAACAAGAAACCATTGTGATTTATATATTCCATATTTCATCCATCATGGAACTCAAGGCAGGTTACATTTAAGAAATTTATTAATTCAGTTTCTAAACCACTCTACACCAGTGTGCTACCAGTTCAGTTTGCAGCACCAACATCACAATGATAAAAACACTAAAAAGCAACCCAAAAATATAAAACCAGCTTAAAGAGAAACCATATGAATGGATGGTCTGAAATCCAAGAAGGCAGGACTTCCGGGTTAGCGCCTCCGGTAATGGCTGAATTCCTCTGATCGGGAGTAATTTGCTTCGTGGAAATTAGGGTCTGGACGCCACGGCGAAGGTGGGGACCAACAAAAAATCACAGGCGGGAGAAGCCAGTGAATGTGGGATTCGGCTGGCACCTTTTGCGCCTCCCCTACTCGCGGGGAAACCCGATTTCGGGGATCCGGAGCGACGTGTGGTGAGTGGCGCGGTGCTTCGAATTGACTGCTTCTTTCACGGAGTGAAGCCACATTGCTGTTGCCAGAGAGCGCTGACTTTTTCCTGTGGACAATTTGATCTTAAAACAACTACCCGTGAGTAGAACGGAAAATTGGATTTTTAAACGTCTTAATTTGGCACCAAAACGAGGGAGGTTTCAAACAGGAAGTCCGCCTTCCCCTTTTGTAAATAGACTGAAGCAAAGAGGCTGCAAGCTAAAGTCTTGGAAAGCTTTTCATAAAGGATTAAACTTCCATCGGCTAAAATCATCGAACCCCCCTTGGAAGCAGGAGAAGAGGGGGAAAATTTTAGACCGCGTAAGCCTGCAGGAGAGAGTGAAGAAAGTCAAATTACCACCGCTCTGAACCTGGACACGGGCTGCTAGTAAGACTGAAGTTTTGGATATGCTCATTGACTGTGAATAGATCGTTTGTTGACAGTAAGTTAAAGAAGAGAAATACATTGTTTCCATTGTCTCCTGCGTTTAAAAAGGAGTAAAAGTAATTGAAAATTGAAACTAACTTTCGATACAAATAGAAATTGTTTCCCCCTAGAGGAAGCCTTTGAAATTGTTACATGAGCTGAGCTGGGGGAATTTCCAGCTGCAAGATAAGACTGTGAGAATCTGGGATTGACCTTGGACCGTTAAGAATGTTGACAGAAGAAGCCTTAGTGGTTGAATTATGTAAGATTATTGACTCACTGGAACAGCTCCATAAGAAGACAGATGTGATGATTATAAAAATTGATAACTTGGAACAAAAAGTGCCTAATTTGGGACAAAAAGTGAATATTAATACAGAAACTATTCAGGAATCGATACAGGGATCTACTTTGACATGCCAAATTGAGGAGAAGGCAGGGGAGAAAGTTGTTGTAGCACAAGTGGAGAGGGAGAGAGCCCCAGCCTCACAGTTGCAATTTGATGACTATAAGTTGATGCTTTTTATGACTGAATTTAGAGAAAGTCAGACTTTGAGGATTGGAGCCCCGCTTGGACTGGAGAAGGAAAGTTGGATAGATCCCTTCACGCAGGGATTTATTGACCTTTGGGACCTGGACTTGGGTCAGGAGGAGATTGGAGTTGTGGGGACCGCCAGACTTGGAGGAACTTTGAAATACGACTGGAAATATCTTTTGAATTTTAGTTTTAACTATGGAGATTTGGCTGACTTGTCGAGAAGGAATAAAAACATTGCTAGGTGGGAATTTCCCCGAGATCTACTTTTCAGCATCAAAGGAAGGAAAATAAGAACAAGATCAGGAGAAGACAAAGTAAAGTGCATGTATAAATATGAAGAAGACCTGCAGAAGGGACCTGGAAAAGAGTTAAGAGCCTCGGACAGAAGATCACCAGGTTGATGGACTATATGGAATTGACGGAAATGACTGGCAGAATCCGAGACCAGGGAGAAGAGACGGTGGAAGAATATTGGGGGAAGTTTCAAATCTATATATGGAAATAATGTAAAATTAATGAGTGTTAGAAAAATGTTGGAAGGGAATTATATGGCTTTAGTAGAAATGTTTTAAGGAATTAAGCATAAATAAATATTATAGTATTAATGGAAAATAAGGTTAAAATATGTTAAGATAATCATATGACAAAAAATAGAGAAAGATGGAAAGGATTTGCTGAAATAATTAATAGAAATGGAATACAAAAAGGGAGGTGAGAGGAGGTCGATGAAACAAGGGAATGAAAGAGAGGATATTGAGATGGTATGATGTGTGTTTTTTGAATTGTTTTTGCTTTCATTTTGTTTAATGTGTTAGGGTTGTGTTGTGTATTGTTTATATATTGTATTGTATTGTTTTTTCTTTTTCTTTTTCTTCTTTTTTCTTTTCTTTTCTCCTTTTTGTAAGGTTTAAAAGTAATGAATATTATTTTTTTTAAAAAAATGAAATCCAAGAAGGCAGCAGCATCAGGTCCATTCAGACCACTCCCTGGGTCCATGCCCTGATGTGCTAGTTTCCAGTGGGGAGGACTATTATTACTACTGTTATTAAGGATGTACATATGATCATCTGAGATCCCACTGGAAATCTAAAACAGTGCAATCCATATGCACATGGAAAACTGTCTTATATTTTGCCCAGTACTGTCTACCCTTAGGAAGAACTTCTTGACAGTATACAACCTGCCCAGAAGTGGAGTACACTGCCTAGCAAGGGGTGGACTCTCCTTCATTAGGTAGAGTCTGGATGGCTACCTCCATTAGCAATGGTTGGGCTTAGATGGCCACTGAGGTTCCTTCCACCTCTGTGATTCTAGGATTGACAGCACCATTCCAGGGTCTCAAGCATAGAAAGGTCTTTTACCAGCCTCTGGTACCCAACTCTGTTCCTCTTGCTTCAGTCCCATGCTTTCATTTAAAAGCTAGACAAGCCAAAGTGTTTAAGCAGAAGCTAATCAATATGCAGAGACAGATGCTACTAAAAACTAATCCTTTTGAATCTGTTTCTTCCAGACATGTACACTGGATAAGCCAATTCCCTAAACTAATACTTTCCAGCTTATTACACCTGACAGCAGCATACTTCGCAAAAGGAGGGAACTCTCATCAATATTTAATCCCACAAAGCATCTGAATTCCGAATTCAGTAGCAAGAATAATTAAGTACTCCTAACAAGAAAAGGAGGGCCTTCACACAAGATTTTCAAATCGCTTTCAGCTTACTGTCTTCATCCCAAGGTCCAAACACAGTCAAATCACATACACTTACCCTTGTAATCTTGGCAGCTTCTCCTGGATTCATTATGAACGTGTATTTGGCTCCAGCTGCTTTTGGATTGCTTCAAAAGTACTTGTGAGATGTGTATCTTTCCTACAATAAATTATTAGCTAACGCTTTTCTCTAAGCATCTAGAAACACAGAGATTAGGGAATCGTTTCAGGATTCATATTCAATTCAAAATCCTATGGGGCTGTTATTCTAAGTATATTTTCCCAACATCCTTTCAAGCCATCAGCTGGAATTAAGGAGTCTTCCATCTTTGTTCTATCTAAGCTTGCCAAATCTATGCCTTCTATCCTAGTAATGATTTATCCTGCTGCTGATTTTTCTTGGCAGAAGTTCCAGAGTCCTTTAGTCCTCCCCTGCTCAATTTTTTTACCACTTGTCACTTTTTAACACCACCAGAACTCTGAATGTCCACCTGATCTGTACTTCTCACTCTATGCCATTTTGTCATCTCTGCTCTTGGCTTATTTTTTTTAAATAATAATAAAAACTTGCTTGCTTTCTCTCCAAGCTCCTATTCTTCTTCCAACTTCTTGCCACTTCTCCTTCTTGCTGAGTGTTTTAATTCTATCAAATCTGATCCCAACTCCCCCCCCCCCGCACCTTTTGTGGAATAGTTGGAAACAGGGCAAGTTCACGCTTTTAGAGAAGGGAGCTGGACGTTCATGCAATCCCAGAGTGATTATGAGAAAGCAAAATGGACCCTGGCCTGTTATGCCCTTCCCAACACCCTTACTGAGTGCACATTAAGGGATTAGGGAGTGGGGAGTGGGTATACTTCTACCTGTTGCTGCCCTAGTTACCTGCCTCTGTGCCTGGTGGCTGCTTGAACCTCAAAAAGAACTTCTATAACACTCTCACTTCTCAGTCTGGGTAGCCAAGGTGACAGCATTATTGTCACTAGGCAACGTAGAATGACTCCTCTCTCCCTTCCCTTCTCTTCCAGCTCTCCCCCCCCCCCATCTACCCAGTTGGCTGGAACAGCAGCTTTTTCTAGTCCTGATCTCTTTCAGCTGCTGTTTGTGAAAGAGTTACAACTGAAAGTCCCATTGATGTGGTAAGACGAATTATCAACTCAATGTAGAGCTGAGAGGAGAGTTGAATCAATGGGATGGCCGGGAATCTTAACACTTCAGGATGGGGAAATATTCAGTTGTGCAAATTCTGCTAATGCAGAAGATTGCTACTTGGCTGATAAGTAGGACAGCCTGATGCAACCATGTGTCACCAGTTCTGATAGTTCTGCATTGGCTAGCACTGTGCTACCAAGCCCAATTCAAGGTATCAGCAGTCCTAGCCTAAATGGCTTTTGACCCAAGTACCTGAAAGAAGTGACTCCACCAGTTATCAGTCATCTTGGGTCCTACAATTACCATAATTGGCAGGGGAGGTTGTCAGTGCCACCACCTCTGTCTGCTGCCCAGTTGGCTTTGATGGATGACAGGGCTTTCTTGGCTGATTCCCTCCTTGGTGAAGTATGCCTGTTTTCCTCATTGCTGGTTTTCAGGAAGAATTTTAAAAAACATTCCTGTTCGCCTAGACATTTGATGGCTGAGAGATACTGCCCATGACAACCATGGAAGTCATAACTGGGGGTGGGGGTGGGTATGTGATCAGCTTTTAGCTGCTTTGTCCTCTATTTGAAGGACAGTCTTATTTGAAGGTGCCCTCTCTTTGAAGGTCAAAACTGAGTCGAAATCTGGTTTAAATATTTAAAAGCCCTATCTAAGTACAGTGGTACCTCGGGTTAAGAACTTAATTCGTTCTGGAGGTCTGTTCTTAACCTGAAACTGTTCTTCACCTGAAGCACCACTTTAGCTAATGGGGCTCCTGCTGCTGCTGTGCCGCTGGAGCACAATTTCTGTTCTCATCCTGAAGCAAAGTTCTTAACTTGAGGTACTATTTCTGGGTTGGCAGAGTCTGTAACCTGAAGCGTCTGTAACCTGGAGCGTATGTAACCCGAGGTACCACTATATATGACTTTCCTCCTCTGTAGTTTTTAAGATAGGGTCAGCCAGCTCACGGTCCACAGAACGTATGGAAACATAAGAACCATCTGGCTGGATCTACCACTGTAGAGCCTGGGGTCCCTTGATGTTGCCCATGGTCCAAAGCTAGCATCCCGACAAGAGACTGAGCAGCCACACCTGGGCAGACTCACCTGGGCACAGCCTTCTCCATTAGAGTGAAATGTGTTGTATTTCTATTTAAATTTTCATGATTATTAAATACATATAAATTAGAATATGCTTTTTTTTTTTTTTTTTTTGCAAATCTATTCCATTTTTGTTGATGCACTTCCTCTTTGGGCGTGACATAAACGGCCAACCTAATGTGCATATTCTATCACAATTTACTGTATGTGTATATAAAGGGTATGCATATATACATATGTGCATATGCACATATATACACAGGCACTTCCAAAGCCTACTGAATCCTTTTTCATTTTATCCCAATTGAAGTAAGATTTTGCCATTTTGATTTTTGTTCTTTGTACCTTTGCAAACCGCTTACAGCCGATTGTAGGGGCATGCCAAATGTTCAAATATACAGATATACTTGTGGAAGATATATCTATATGCACACCTGCACGTGCACACTGGTCTCTTACGAATCGGGTTGCTTGCCAGTGATTCCTGTTTTAGACGGGGACTTAACGATGGAATCCGCCTTTGGTAAATACAGTAATTTCCTTAAAACGCGTGAGGCGTTTCACCGGCTTCCGTTGGCTTTCAAAAAGTACCGTATATTAACCGTGCCCTGCCTTGAGGCCTTACAAACTGCCGTTAAAAATAAATTTACCGTTTCTACGCGCGCGTGCACGTTTATAAAAAAAAAAGGTTACGCATATCCCTCCCTCTATATATACATTCTTTTCCCCCTCACAGAAAAGCACCTTGCTAGAATACCGACTGGGGGTGTGTGGGTATATTTTATCGGTTGCCTCGAGGCGGCGGGAAGGAAGCGCCCGTGGACAAGGGCGAGAGAAGGGGAGCTTGGCGCTCGCTCGGCCCGGCAGTGTGAGGAGCCAGGCTGAGGCGGGCACGAGGACCGCCCGCTCCCCTTTGCCGGGCGCTGCTGCTGCTGCTTTGTAGGCCCTGACGGGAGAGGCGGGCCCGGCCTCCTCAGGGCGCGGCGCGGCGGTTCATCCGTGCGAGGAGCGACGCCGGCGGGAGAGAGAATGAGGCGGGAGGGCCGCTGCGGCGCTCGAGCCGGGCTGAGGTAGGAGGGCCGGGAAGGGAAGTCGTAGGGCCGCTTGCTGGCCTCCGGAGGCCTCAACCTCGGTGGAGGAAAGAAAGCGAGGCCTTCCCCTAACTCCCACCCCATCGGGTCAGTTCTAGTATGGGGTGGCAGACAAGAAAGGGGCTCTCGGGACTTGGAGCAGAGATTCAACAGGGGCAGCTCTCCCGAATATCGCACCCACCCAACTCCGTGCTCTGCGTTTGTGGGAAAGCGAGCAGGCGGAGATTCAACAGGGCAGCGTGGTTTCTCTCTCTCTCTCTCGCTCTCCCCCCCCCCCCCAATATTTCACCCTGACCATCGGATGGGAACGGGATGCTCATCATATGCTGCAACTTGCCCTTTCTCGTCCGCCCCTGTTGAGCCCCGATTTTGTTGCCCTTTTAAACATTTTAGGTCGCTTAACTTTTCAGGTGTCGGCTCTTAACCTTCCTCAGCTTAAATCTCTGGGCGCCTTTGTCACCACATTTTTAGGTTCCTAGTCTTCAACCTTTCCAGACCCAGGACACCCCCCACCCCACCCCCTTTAACCCGAACGTGCATTTGGCCACGGGGACCCATTTGGTAATCTTTTGCCATATGTTAGCATGGTGGAAGTGCTCCTGCTTGCGACCCACCTTGGATCAGGCCGTGATCCACTCGTGGGTCCCGACCCACCTGTTGAAGACTAGGGATTTAGGTGAATGTGTCACCAGAGCTTTGTGTAGTGTGCAGCCTGCCCCCCCCCCAACTGCACAGGATACTTTAACCTGTGATGGCTTATGATCAGAAAAGTATGGCTGCGTTTGTTTATTTTTTATTATTTTTTTTTAGTTTACTATACTTTATTACTATCCAGCAAAACAAATACAGCCTTAACTTGTGGATCAGCGAAGGGAGAGGCTTACAGCAGAGTGAATGGACACAACAGATGGACCAGATTTCAGCAAAGTGTAATTTGCTGGGGCAACTCAGCCAGTAACTTTTGATATGAGAAGTTTGCCATGCTAGGACTTAACCTTTAAAGCCCTCAACAGGGCTTGGCATGCAAATACCTGAAGGAGTGCCTCTTTCCAGATTCCTTTCCTCAAACTTAAGGTGTTGTTAAGCGTCTCCTGATGTCGTGGTGGTGCATTTTTGAAAGAGTGGAAGGAGCAACTGGTGATAGTAGTTTGGGGACAGAGGGAGAGATACTGGAATTATTGCAAGCAGAAAAGAGGGGTGCAAGTAGAATGGATGAACCAGGCCCAGTGTTAGAAACAGATATAAAAACTATTTGCCATATGGCCCTGTAAACCTAGGTTACAGGTGCACTAACAGAATGTTTAGGCGCTTTTAAAAAAACAGGATTACAACGCTGAAAATGAATTGTTTGTATTGTCGGCTCCAGCTAAAATCTGACTCACGCCATAGCAAGCGGGGGGGGTACTGTTTTTGTTTGTTACTATTTTTTTTTGTGTTTTTATGTTGTAAATTGTCCTGTGATCAGGACAGTAAAGGACAGTATAGAAATTTAATAAATAGTAATAGGTATTGTTTGATTTGTGTACATGCAGGGCAGAATTTGAGTGTGATGTGTTCTTTGAGTCAGTGTTGTAATGTGTGAGGCTGTGTACATGCCATACATTTAAAGCACATGTCTCCCACAATAATCTCCCCCAATAATCCTGGAAGGTGTAGTTTGTTAAGGGTGCTGAGAATTGTAGTTCTGTGATGGGTAAACTGCAGTTCCTGGGGGAAGTCATATGCTTTAAATGTGCCTTACATGTATCATGTGTATTCAGGCTGAGTCAGGATGTGCTTTGGCAAGAAAGAGGCTGAAGAGAGATAGTTTAAGTTGTTTTGAAAACTATGCTACTATAGTTTCACTTTGGGGGATGTTATTTTTTAAAAATTGCATTGTTCCATTTGTTTGTTATATATGCATATTGTGTTTTGTAAACTGCTTAGAGACTGCCTTAGTGTTAAGTTGCATTTAAATACAGTGGTACCTCGGTTTACGAACTTAATCCGTTCCAGAAGTCCATTCTTAAACCAAAGCCATTCTTAACCCGAGGCACGCTTTTCCTAATGAGGCCTCCCGCCGCTGGTGCCCTTCCATCATTCGGCTTCCCTTCTTAGACCGAGGTAAAGTTCACTAACCGGAACACTACTTCCGGTTTTGCAGAGTTCGTATACCGAATAGTTCATAAACAGGGCTGTTCTTAAACCGAGGTACCAGATAGATAGATAGATAGATAGATAGATAGATAGATAGTTAGTTTATTATGGCCATAGGCCCATATTCAATACATCTTGCCGATCAGAAGGTTGGCGGTTTGAATCCCCACAACGGGGTGAGCTCCCATTGCTCGGTTCCAGCTCCTGCCAACCTAGCAGTTCGAAAGCACGTCAAAGTGCAAGTAGATAAATAGGCACCGCTCCGGCAGGAAGGTAAATGGCGTTTCTGTGCACTGGTTTCGCCAGAAGCGGCTTAGTCATGCTGGCCACATGACCCGGAAGCTGTCTGCAGACAAAACACAAGCTCCCTCAGCCAGTAAAGCGAGATGAGCGCTGCAACCCCAGAGTTGTCCGCGACTGGACTTAACAGTCAGGGGTCCCTTTACCTTTACCTTTATTTATTTGAAACGCCAAACAATTCAGCAACAACAAATAGTCAACAATACCCGGTGTACTTCAGTTTCCACTTTGAGCTCAAAATATATGAGCACATAAGTTTAACCCAAGATGTTCCACAACCTTTGTAATGTTTCCATTGACCTGCCTATCAGAAAATGTTTCCGAGTGCTAGCAAATATTAGGCACTTGGTATGAAAATAGTATAATTAGAAAAATAATAATTAATTTCCTCTCTTTCTTTCTTAAGATTTGGTGCTTAAAAATGCACTGATTTCTTATTAGCACAATTCAATATTTGACCAAAAAAGGCATCATGTCTAAAGAGATGAAAGAACTCCAGAAAGGGTGGCACTCAGTCATGGAAACTGTTCATAGCAACCCACATGTGAGTTATGAATTTTGTCATTCTATTATGATACTTTTTCTTGTCTTTGGGGATTGTCTCAATTACAATTGCACTGCAGATTTTTAAAAAGTGATTTTGAGCCAGTTGGTATAGTGGCTAGAGTGTTGGATAAGTACACGGATTGGGAACCTCTGGCCTGTGGGCCAAACTTGGCTCACCAAGTCTTAACATTTGGCCCGTGAAACTATTTTGGGAAAGCCACGCCGACCCCGCCCAAGGATTCCAGTAGTACAGATATCATAATGGGGTTGGGTTGGGCAACAGCACCGTGAGAACTAAGCATGCTTAGTATGCGTGGGATGCTGATAATTTGTTGAAGAAAAGGAAGCCAAAAACTCTGTGGAGGCAAAGTGGAATGGAATATTGTTGTGGAGGACATCCTGGTATACATGGTACAGAAGACAACAGAAAGGGCTCTCCACCAGCTTTTACTCTGATAATATTATTTTTGCCTGTGTTCTGTAGCTCAGAAGCCTCCACTAGCCTTTGCTCTTAAGAAACATTGCGACTTCAATTCTCCTATATAAACAAGGTTTCACCTTCACAAAATCGGTCAAGAACCTTGTTCTAAATGGATTTGCCACATAATACCTTCTTTTTAATGGGTTCCCCACCTCTTTGTGCTTGATGCAAGATGCAGGTTCTGGGGGTGACCAGTGTCATACTTAATAGGATAGCCCTGATGCATTATTAAAACCTGCTGCTGTAGAGTGAGAACACTGACCTCTGAATTACTCCTCTTTCCTGTTTTCACCTTCAGAAGAAACCTGCAAATTAAATCTCCAGTTCTAGTTTTAGCTCCTGTGTTTGCACAACCCTCACCAGCTTTTTACAAAAAACAAAACACAGAACAATAGCCACCTTTCTGCACTGACACACATCAAAGGAGAATGTCTTCAATTGCATGCAGGATAGAACTTGTCAAGCTTTCAGCTGTTAAATAAGGCATGTAGGAAAAGCATTTTACACCAGCCTACCTTAATTTGTTGGCTTCCACATGTTTTGAACTACAATTCCCATCAGCCCCATCTAGCATTACTGAGCTAGCTGGGAATTTGGGGAGGGCACCAGATTGGGCAAGGCTGTTCTAGACAGACTACCGCATTTTCCTGTGTATAAGATGCCCCCATGTATAAGACGCCCCCTATTTTGGGGAAATCCAAATTAAGAAAACATCCCTTAGCACTACCCATGTATAAGACAAGCCCCAATTTTAAACCTAATTTTTTGGTTAAAAAACCCCTAGTCTTATACACAGAAAAATATGGTAATATTCATAGCATGAGAAGATTTGTCTAATAATATTGCTAAGTAAGTGATTTCTTCTTGAAGTTACTTCACTTCCCAGAATTGTTTGTTTGTTAATTTGCTTAGGATATTTAAATCTTTATTCTTTTTTCACTTTATGTTGCAGGTTGTTGCTTTTATGAACTCTCGAGTTGGCCAGTACTTAGATGACCATCCTTTCGTTGCCCTGTCAATGTTGGTCTTCATTGCAGCGTCTGCAATTCCAGTTGCATTCTTTCTGGTTTTTGTTGTTGCCACAACTGTAGTTGCCTGCATTGGAGTGATTGTCATGGAAGGTATTCTGTTTTGTTGTTGTTTTTATGCTGTACGCTGGTGGAATTCCACCCAGGGACTAGTTATGGCTCAGTGTTAGACCACATGCTTTGCATGCAGAAAGTGTGTTTCAGTCTTCAGGTAGGGCTGAAAATGTCCCCGTCTGAAACTCTGGGTGGCTACTGCCAGCTAGAGAAGGCAATGGCAGATTATTATTATTATTATTATTATTATTATTATTATTATTTATACCCTGCCCATCTGGCTGGATTTTCCCAGCCACTCTGGGCGGCTCCCAACTGAATATTAAAAACACAATACAGCATTAAACATTAAAAACTTTCCTAAACATATAATTGTATACTTGGAAGGGACCCCAAGTCATCTAGTCCAACCCTCTGTAACACAGGAATCACACAGCTAAAGAATCCCTGGCAGATAGCTATCTAACTTCTTGTTTAAAAATCTCCCATGAAGGAGAGTTCACCACCTTTCAGAGGATTCTGATCCACTGTCAAACATACTTCAACATGTCTGCATATTTGTGTTTTGGAAAATCCCTTCCCACATGAAATGTATATATCTTGAAAGTACTGACTTGAACACTGTGCCATGCTTCTTACTGAAGCATAGAATCTTATCTCTGGGGAAGATCATTATATTGCCAAGATGCTTCTGGAACCTTGGCTTATTCTTATCCTCAGAGGTAAGTGTTTCTATATGAATTTCCTCCTCTGTAGTATTTAAGATAGGGTCAGCCAGCTCACGGTCCACAGCACGCATGGAAACATAAAAACCGTCAGGCTGGATCAGGCCTTGTAGCCATCTGGTCCACCACTCTGTTCTCACCTTGAGCAACTGGGCACCCATGGGAAGCCTGCAAGCTGAACCTGAATGCAACAGCACACTCCCCACCTGCAGTTCACAGAATCTGGTATACAGAGGCATACTGTCTCCAGCAGTGGGGGTAGAACATAGCCATTGTGGCTTGTAGCATTTTCTGTGTCAGGTTAGGTGAACAAGGTGCCAAAAACAGGTTCTTCTGTACTGGTACACACGGTACTGGCAAACCTCCCTCCCATAAGGATATGTGAGGACAGCAACATACCTGTGCTACATAAGAAGTGGAGCTACATGTACTGGCTTTTTAAATTACCCCCCCCCTTCAGAGATAATAAATTACCTCCTTCACCTCCTTCCCAAATGAAAGGTACACCTGGTAGTTAAGAAATAGGACCTCTGATGCTGCTTTAGACCTGGCAAGAGGCCCCTCTCCAGCAGTCAAGAAAAGAGAAGTCATCCCAGTTTACCAGATGAGCAGTTGGGCATTATGTTATGGGCTACTCTTGTAGAACATGTAGAACTAACTAATTAGTCCACCCAATAATAATAATAATAATAATAATAATAATAAATTTTATTTATATCCCGCCCTCCCCAGCCGAAGCCGGGCTCAGGGCGGCTAACAACAATAAAACAGTACAAAAGTACAGCATAAACAACACTCTAAAATCATTCATTATAAAATTAATTAATTCAAGCCACTAGCAACCATTGGGCCAGAGCTCCGCGAAGATTGCCGAGGGAGGGAGTCAGGCTGTGCCCTGGCCAAAGGCCTGGTGGAACAGCTCTGTCTTGCAGGCCCTGCGGAAAGATGTCAAGTCTCGCAGGGCCCTGGTCTCTTGTGACAGAGTGTTCCACCAGATCGGAGCCACAGCCGAAAAAGCCCTGGCTCTAGCTGAGGCCAGCCTAACTTCTCTGTGGCCTGGGACCTTCAAGATGTTTTTATTTGAAGACCGTAAGTTTCTCTGTGGGGCATACCAGGAGAGGCGGTCCCGTAGGTACGAGGGTCCTAGGCCGTATAGGGCTTTAAAGGTTAAAACCAGCACCTTAAACCTGATCCTGTACTCCACCGGGAGCCAGTGCAGCTGGTATAGCACTGGGTGAATGTGATCTCGCAGCGAAGACCTGGTAAGGAGTCTCACTGCAGCATTCTGCACCCGCTGGAGTTTCTGGGTCAGTCTCAAGGGCAGCCCCACGTAGAGCGAGTTACAATAATCCAGTCTGGAGGTGACCGTCGTGTGGATCACAGTGGCTAGGTCAGGGCGAGAGAGGTAAGGAGCCAACTGCTTAGCTTGGCGGAGATGGAAAAATGCCGCCTTTGTTATAGCTGCAATCTGCGCCTCCATGGAAAGGGAGGTGTCGAAGATTACACCCAAACTCTTAACGGACGGTGCTGGCACTAATTGCGCCCCCGCAAGAGATGGGAGTTGCCCCCCCAATCCCATATCGCCCCGTCCCAGCCACAGGACCTCTGTCTTCGAAGGATTTAGCTTCAACCGGCTCCCACGTAACCATCCAGCCACAGCTTCCAAACATCTGGTCAGTGTGTCTGGGGCCGAGTCAGGATGGCCATCCATCAACAGATAGAGTTGGGTGTCATCGGCATACTGATGGCAACCCAGCCCAAAACTCCGAACAAGCTGGGCGAGGGGGCGCATAAAGATGTTGAAAAGCATCGGGGAGAGTATCGCACCCTGAGGTACTCCACACACCAAGGAGTGGCGCGATGACAATTCCCCCCCAAGCGCCCCCCTCTGTCCCCGACCAGAGAGAAACGAGCGCAGCCATTGAAGGACTGTGCCCTTATAAAGCCATAAACATAGATATAAATATATGTGATGGACATGTGTGGAGGTATCAGTGTTCTGGGATCAAACTTTCAATGAAATGGATAAAATTACTCAACAATCTTCTTAATAAAGACCCCAGAGCTTGCTCTACAAAATTTAGTTTCACATGATGATATGGACTTGAGAGATAACCCCCTGATAGGATACTTAACTGGTAACTGCACATATGACTACTGCCATTTTTTAGAAGGATCTTAAAGGAGTTAATTTAACAGCTTGGTGCAAAAGGATTTGGCAGATAGCCCTAATAGAGAAACGTACATGTAAACTGAGAATCAGCTAAAGGAAATAAACATAGAAACTCGTTTGTGAAGGACTGATGAAGCTTTATCACTTATATAGATATTTTACAATAAAAGGAAAATCCCTCTGTATTTGTTTTCTCTTTTTCTGATTTTTGTTTTCTCTTTTTCTGAATTTAAATACTGTAACTCTGCATTATGGGAAAATTGTATGCACATAGAAGCCTACTGGAATTTTTGTTTATGATTTTGTTCAGTTAGTTGCGGTCTTGATTTTGTAATAGTCTTAAATTTTTGATTAGTCATGTTTGTTATTCAACTTTAAAAAGAAAAAGAGAGAGAGAGAGAGAACAAACTGCTTTTTGTTCTTTGCAGGTTTTGTAATCTCGTTGGGAGGACTCACCCTGCTGTGTGTGCTTGGCGGATTGGGCATGCTATCTCTGGCTGTGTCTGGAGTGCTCAGTGTTTGTTACATGTCTCTTACTACTCTGCTCAGCTACTGGCCCACTCCAGAGTAAGTGTCCACAGACCATATCACGAGGAATTGTGTTTCTGAGATACTGTACTGCAATTATAATTTTGTTAGTGCGGGAGGCATTTATTTTAGAAGTCATTCAGACAGACTTTCCTGTGGGCGGTTGCCTCACCTTGCCTCATGACTGGGCCGGCCCTGTCCTTAGGGCACTTAAGTTAAACTCATTATGTGTGGAGGAGGTGTAAATGACCCTCATCTTACCTTTTTTGTGTGTCATTTGCGCATCCTGCCCATGTATAAGTAATGCTATTACCAGATCTGCATGTGTGTGAATCTGTACCTGGCATGCATGTTCACGAAAGCAACCCTTGGGGGATCTTTCCTGGAGAAAACTGTGCTCCATAGATGCCATTTCAGTAGACACAATTACCTTAGGAATGCCACTGTTGCCTTGTTTATTTGGGGAAATTGTCAAGGAACAACAAATGCCAATCTATGTGAATATAATGTTCATTTTCATAAAATGACGGACAGCAATCAAACAGGCTTTGCAGCTTGAAGCCCTGGTTCAGAAAGACAGAATAGCAAGCTGGTTCATTGTTATAAATTACACAGGCTACCCAAACTAACATTGCCTGGACCATAAGTTGAAATAGTTTCTATTAATGATATGGAGATAGCTGGAAAAAAAACCCTGCGTGGCATGTAAGTGAGCAGTAGGGAGCTAGACAGAAAGCAGTGGATACCTCAATGCACGAGGGGGGGAAACTCAAATACAAGGAGCGAGGTTTGAGCAAGCACAATTAATTATTGCTTATTAATGCTAATTAAAGGCATCTGGTTGCATTCAATATGGTAGAAATACTGGGGAATGGTTAGCTTGCGCACATCATCATTCCTCACATCCACTGTTGCGAGGAATCTCCCTGTAGACCAGTTACTATAGTCATGCTATTTGGTGGGGACCTCTGGAGCTTCCCCTGCTATAAGTTACTTCAGCTACCACCTCTTCCTCTGATTCCTTGTAACAGCACCATGCTCAGAGCAGAGCCAAACTAAACACTTAATTCCCAGGCATGTACAGAGTTCCAGTTGAACAATGATGCTCAGAAAAAGTACCTGCTCTTAAGCAATCTCAGGCAACAGTGCTTTGACACACCTCTAAAAGACCTAGAGTAGTCACTGCTGGTTTGAATAGACAGTACTGCACTCAATGAAGCAATGGTCTGACATAATCTTTCTCCATATAGTCATTCCCATCTTGCTCTAATCATACATACACACCAGCTGTCCCTGTTTTCCAGAAATGCCCCCGGTACAGACCCCTGATAAATCATTATCTGTATTTTCCCTCTTGGGGTGCCTTTTCAAAGACATTAGTCTGCAGGCTTCAGCCCCTTCATCCTAGGTCTCTAGAAGTGCAGTCTCTTAAGTGTGTGTAACTAATGCGCACGCACGTAACAGCATGAGCATGAACATAAAGCGCACTGCAGGCTGTTCCATGCTGCTAAAGCTCAGCTGGAAACTTGGATGGAATTGAAAAGAGGTTTAGACATATTCATGGAGGATAGGGCTATCAGGATGCACTGTAGCATTCAGAGGCAGTATGTCCCTCAGTGCCTTCTGCTGGGAACAAGAGCAGAGAGAGTGATGGGTCTCCTACTGCTCAAACAGAACAGTATTTAGCCTTCTGTTCTTCCACATAACTAAGTATGTAGTCAAAAGTGAGTCAGAATGATTGTAAGGAGATAGTAACTTCTGTAAGGGCCTAGTCAGAGGTTCTGAAGGCTTGGTAAGAGAGCCTTTAGACAAGGCTGCATGCTGTATCTTTTTAAAAATGGGATTGCAATCTTGCACTCAGTACACAGCTAACAAAGAAGCACTATGTAAGGGGTTACGTTATAGTGCCACCATCAGCCTGCTTTTGTTACTGCTAAGCTGTTTAGGATCACATTTGCTCTTGCAGCAGAGAGGAGAACAGAATAGTAGTAATAGTAATAAATAAATAATACTCCGCCCACCCCAGCCACTCTGGGCGGCTCCCAACAGAATATTAAAAACATGATGAAACATCAAACATTAAAAATTTCCCTAAACAGGGCTGCCTTCAGATGTCTTCTAAAAGTCAGATAGTTTATTTCCTTACATCTGATGGGAAGGGTGTTCCACAGGGCAGGCGCCACTACCGAGAAGGCAGTCTGCCTGGTTCCCTGTAACCTCACTTCTCGCAGTGAGGGAACTGCCAGAAGGCCCTCGGCACTGGACCTCAGTGTCTGGGCTGAACAATGTGGGTGGAAATGCTCCTTCAGGTCTACTGGGCCAAGGCCGTACACTGCTTTAATTGCACAGTAAAAAACTACATATGTATGTCACCAGTTGCAATCCTCAGTGCAGCTGCCATGTCAAGATCTGAACCTTTGGTTTGACCAACGTTAAGCACCAGAACTCCTGAGCTGAATTACATGTCAGATGTACCCCAGTGCTCCTTATTAATCTGTTTCTACTTTGTGCTTTGCCTTTAGCCTACTAAGGACATACATTCTGCTGTCATGGTCATTGCTGCAGAGCCATCTCTCTTGACAAGGATGCTGCTCCTTATGAAGCCTAAGGCAATCATGCCACACAAATAGGGAATCATACCTAAAGTTGAAACTACTTTTCAAAATGATACTGCTGAAACGGCATTGTCATCCCTCTTGCGAAGCCAAAATAGGTGACATTGTGCTCTATTGAAAAGCGTTTTGAAGATCAGTGGGAGAGACAATAATTGAGAATAAGGAGAGACAATAATGAGAATTGTTCTGGAAATTCTGAGTAATAGGCATGCTAACCTGTGGTACTTGGATTTGTGTGAGCCATGAAATCAGAAATCTGAAGTGTTGTTTTTTCCCCTCTTCTCTCTCCTTCAGCAGTCTGTCAAAGAAAGAAATAGCTAACGGAAGCAGGTTTCTGCCCAGCAACCCTCCTGCCTTAGACCAAGATGATGCTAATAAGAAGACTGAATAAATTTGACTGGTGCTTCCAAACACTTCCAAGAGCAGCACTTTTTAAAAAAAATGCATATTTTTGAAGGAATTGTTACATTTTCATGACTACTTGCCTGTCAGAATGCTCAAGTCTTGGTTTCTGGGATAGTAGTGATAAGAACAGTGAATAAATTGGATTGGTGCTTGGAATAGCATCCTTCAGTAGCACTTAAAAATACAGAGTTTTGAAAGAACTGTTACATTCTTGAAATGTTTACCTGTTAGAATGGTTTATTGTTTCTGGAACCTGGAGACCAGTTTTTCTTCCAGTTGTCATTATAATGACTGAACCATCATTAAATGTGTTGTCATGTGCTGGACAACTCAGCCACTATAGAACAGGGTCCCATTCTCTTCTTCCATGTTTATCTCCCATGTAGGTCAGTGGATATTTTGTGTGAGAGGGAGTACTGCTGGTCTTACAGCTTGTTCAACTTGGAGCATGAAATTCTTCTAACTAACAGGAAGTAAAATTCAACAGTGCTGGTAATAGTACTTTTTTGAATGTGGAACAAGACATTCAAGCCTTTAAAAAAATCTTACAACACTCATTGTGATAATTGAGCTAGTACCTTGTCAAAGATACAGGTGGAAAACAAGTAGTTAAAGGGCATATCTCTCTATGAGTGTGGGTTTTGTTTTTTAATAGCTTGAGCACTTTTGTTGTGTTTTAAATTATTCAGAAGTGATATGCTTCTAGTTTGGTCTTTCTCATGTTTTCCAGAGGTTTGGGGCTTAGCAGAATACCAGACAGTTACGCATTGTGCCTTATTTTATGTGAGTGTTTCAAAATTAATGTATTTCAGACCAGGTGTTTTCATGCTCAAACATTTTTTTTTAATAATAGCAACACTTTTGCTGTCTTGCCTAACTGGTAATGCCATTGTAAGACATACTTTGCCACTAAACAGCTACTTGTTTATCCAACTTGTCTCTGTTTGCCTTTGTATTTTTGGATCCATTTGCACCACCAGTGAATGTGAGTGTGTACATATATGAGAAAGAGACCCTTAATAACCAGCTAAAACACATATTTAATCTGCGTGTTTGGTCCAAACCCAATCCTCTTCTACCAAGGACCCAATGGCACTCGCCACTGCCACAGCTTATTTGCAATTATGGTCGCGACAAAAACCACCCAGTCCATAGGGCAACAGAAGTAGCGGCATCATGTTTCTAGACAGTGGGAGTTGCACAGACTCTGGATGTCTTTTGAGACACAGGTGGGGACAATGAGAGTTTGAAACCTGCCAGTAGGTAGCCAGACACGGCTTGAACTAATAATGAACCTTCATCAAAAGAGAATCCAATGCCTTGGTGCTGCTGCTGAGAATGCACTGTCTCATTTAGCTACTGATCATGTTTCAGATGGGGGTGGCAGTGCAGAAGAGAGCATCCATGGATTCGTTTATACTGAATATATGGGTGGAGTCATATTTAAAGGTAAAGGTATCCCTGCCTGTATGGGCCAGTCTTGCCAGACTCTAGGGTTGTGCGCCCATCTCAAGAGGCCGGGGGCCAGCGCTGTCCGGAGACACTTCCGGGTCACGTGGCCAGCGTGACATCGCTGCTCTGGCGAGCCAGAGCCGCACACGGAAACGCTGTTTACCTTCCCGCTAGTAAGCGGTCCCTATTTATCTACTTGCACCCGGGGGTGCTTTCGAACTGCTAGGTTGGCAGGCGCTGGGACCGAACAACGGGAGCGCACCCCGCCGCGGGGATTCGAACCGCCGACCTTTCGATCGGCAAGCCCTAGGTGCTGAGGCTTTTACCCACAGGGCCACCCGCGTCCCTGGAGTCATATTTAGAGGTCTTTAATTGTAGAGTTGGAAGGGACCCTGAGGGTCAAATGGTCCAACCCTTTGCAATGCAGGGATCACAGCTAAAGGACCCCTGACATTTTTGAGAAGGTGTCCCTAAGGTGTCAGGTGGCTTGTATGCCAGTGCAGTTCTCCCTTAGGGCAGAAGTGTCCAGTGACATTCAGAGCAGTTGGGTGGGTCAGCCGTCCACTAAATAATGAGATCTGTGGGTACCAGCTCACAAAGCTCTGGCACTGTGCAGCTGGGATAGCTCAAGTTTGTAGAGCATGAGATTCTTAATCTCAGGCTCGTGGGTTCAAGCCCCATCTTGGGCAAAAGATTCCTGCATTCAGAGGACTGGACTAGATGGCCCTCGTGGTCCCTTCCAACTCTTGTGATTCTATCTCTTTCATAGACTTTACACACTGTAGCTTCTGAAATCCTACTGAAATGGAGTCTTTAGAACACCTTTGATGGATGGCTCCCTGGAATTTCGAACTCTGGAGCGTACTAAATTGATACATAATATTTAAGGCCCCTCTATTTCCTTTGCATTGATCTAAACACATTTGCTGAAGGATAGTGAAAGAGTTTGCCACTAATTGGCTGCTCTGGCTGCCTTCCCTGGTTGAAAAGGTGAGCTAGAGTCCTCTGTTAAAAAGCAGCAGCGTTACATAAAGCATAGGATGCTTGCTCCTAGCTGCCTCATTAGGAACCGCAGGAGGAATGCTGATCCCACTGGAACTGCTTCTGTCCCCAAAAGAGGCCTTGGGAGGTTCCACGGCTTAGTGACAAGAGCATAGCCTTTATCTTTTGCATGTAGAGGCTCACCAATCCAATTTAAAAAGTCCAGGTGGACTGCAAAAAGCCTCTTAACTGGGACATGGCAAAGCCGCCAATTCAAACAGTACCAATGGCCCAGTGGCCTGATCTAGCATCGGACAGCTTTTGTGTGTTTATATGTGCTTCAAATTACCCCTGGATTGGAAATGAATGACATTGGAGAACAACCCCCCGTCCTTACATTCAAATGTAGAAAGCAGAATTGCGCTCCCTTGCTTGGGATGAATTCTCCATCTTGGTTGCTAAAAAGGTAAAGGACCCCTGACAGTTAAGTCCAGTCACGAACAACTCTGGGGTTGTGGTGCTCATCTCGCTTAACTGGCCGAGGGAGCCGATGTTTGTCCGCAGACAGTTTTACCAGGTCATGTGGCCAGCATGACTAAGCCGCTTCTGGTGAAACCAGAACAGCGCACGGAAACGCCATTTACCTTCCCGCTGGAGCGGTACCTATTTATCTACTTGCACTTTGATGTGCTTTTGAACTGCTAGATTGGCAGGAGCTGGGACCAAGCAACGGGAGCTCACCCCGTCGTGGGGATTCGAACCGCCGACCTTCCGATCGGCAAGCCCAAGGCTCAGTGGTTTAGACCACAGTGAGTTCCAGATAATCAACCCAGCCTTCCACAGGGGTGGGCGGATTATCCCTAGCCAGAGTCTCTTCCAGGGTTTATCTTGTCTTTTGCCTTCTATTTGTTTAATAATCTGCATCCTTTTCCTTTCCCGAAGGCAAAACCAAAGTGGTCAGCACCATGGTGGCTCGTACCCTTTGGGACTGTTAGGGCAGGTGGCAAGGAAGCCAACACTCGGCACCGCAGGAGCCAGTGAGAGGCAGGGCCAACTCATTCTAGTTATGCCCCCATCCTCATCCCTGCTCAGTTCTACAAGGGCAACACTAAGACTAAGGAGGGGGTGCTGACAGCGAGGGCCACCCACTAGACCAGCTGTCAGTAGACAAGCAGGTGGGGGCTGCCCGAGGGCAGACTGAGGTCGATAGGGCACTGCCCCATTTGCCCTTATGGACCAGCCTCCACTGGGTTGGCAGGCTAAAATCAATTTGTAAACAATCATGCAAGTAACTTAAATTACGAAGCCAGAGCCATGTGTGCGTGCACACACACAGCATGCATAAAAAATCCAATTTCATAGCAGCAACAAACAGAGCAGATAAATTGCTTCATTAAAAATATGTTGAGACCACTTTTCAAGGTAAAAAAAGCCCTCTTGGGGCAGCTGTAACCTAAAAAAGCAGCAACTTATAAAACACAATTACAGTAGCATGACATGCTGTGGGCAGATTTCCTGCGTTGCAGCGGGTTGGACTAGATGACCCTCAGGTTCCCTCTCAAGTACACTGTACAAATGAGGCCAGAGATAAGACTTCCAACATCCCGCTTTAGAGCAGCTGGCTGGTTTTCAGCGGCTGTACTTTGAAGCCCTGAGTCAGGAGTGGAGAGCCTTTGGCCTTCCACATGTAGCTGAATTGCATCCTTGGTCCTGGTTGCTGAGCTGTTGGGAGCAGCAGCTCAGCCATATCTGGAGGACCAAATGTTCCCCATCCCTGCATTAAACAGAGAGAGAGAAGGAAAGAAAGAAAAGTCTGCCTGAGGAAACAGACTCGGGTACGTGTAATGGAAATATTGATAAAGCCTAATTGCTTTCCTCCTTTGTCAAGGAACTAAATTAACCAGGACTTGAGTGGCTTTGTAATTTTGCAAGCGAAAGACGAGGGAGAATCTGTTTTCCCTCTTCCCTTTTCCATCCATATGTTAATTCTAATGGTAGAAATTCCGCGGAGAGGGTTATTCTCTGAACGACAAAATAAACCCACTCTTAAAGATTCGAAGGGCAAAGAAGGGTCTGTGCTTTTGAAACAGCCTCTTCTTATTTTAAAAAGCACCTCAGGAGGTTTGCAGGCAAGGAAATGTCTTAAGATGAAAGGAGTCAGTGGGGGCTAGTGCTTTCTCCCCCCCCCCCCCGGCATTATCTGACTGTTTTGTTTTTCCTTCAACTGGTATCAAGATAATTATCAAGCATTTTGTTTAATATGCAAAGCAGTATTTGTTGCTTTCTGGACTCAGGAGTGAATGCATTTAACAAGAAAGCCTCTGCAAATACACAATGCAACAGAGTATTAGGGAATGGGCTTTGAAATGCTGAGATGTTGAGCTTCAACAGTTGCTATTTCTTCTAGATTGTGTCAACTGAGTTTGCGTGTGTGTTGCTTGCTACATTGTGAACCGCCATTGAGACTGCTGTTTTTAAATAACAGAATGGGATATTTTGTTTTTATGTCTTGGGGGTTTTTTTTATAGATAAGCTGCCTGGGAGGGTTTCATACTTTTTTTTTTTTTTGCCCTAAAAGTCTTTAAAATAAATTACAAACAGACTTTCTCGTTGGCAAGAAATGGGAAACATTTCTAATTACGAAACCAGCAGTCGGCATCTCAAAAGTTTGATACTGCAGTCATCACAAGAGCGAAGAGATTAGTTGGTGACTAGCGCTAATCAGCTATCTATCAATTGTTCCATTAGCTACTTGATGAAATTCAAGGACATTTTGGCCTGACCAAAGCTCAACATAGATGGGCACTTAGAGACGACTGAAGATAGTGCTTGTCTTTGGGGTGACAGAGCTTGCACTTGAATAAATAAAAACTGCCAACGCCCATCCAACCCTATACAAGGAAGCCCCATGGAGTCCAACAGAACTCTCCCCCAATTAATGTCCTTAAAGGTAGAGGGGGCCCTGACCATTAGGGGCTGCAGCCTAGTTGTGTTCGAAGTGTGGCAGGGAAGACTCCATATTTAATATGGTGTCAAAGCCATGGTTCTTTAACATCAACTTCGTTGGACTAGTCATGTTGTGTGGATGCCCGGTTATCGTCTTCCAAAGCAACTACTCTATTCCCAACTTAAAAATGGAAAGCGTAATGCTGGTACTCAACAAAAGAGGTTCAAAGACTCTCTCAACGCAAATCTTTAAAAATGTAGTGTGAACACCAACAATTGGGAAACACTGGCTTGCGAGCGCTCCAGTTGGAGACCAGCCTTTACCAAAGGTGTCATGGGCTTTGAAGACACTTGAACTCAGGACGAAATGTGCTAAGAGGAAGGCAAACCCTCACCGTGATCAACTCCCATTTGGAAACCTATGTCCCCACTGTGGAAGGGAGTGTGGATCCAGAATTGGCCTCCACAGCCACTTACGGATTCACTGTTAAAACCGTGTTCATGGAAAACAATCTTACTCGGCTAGGAGTGATTGCCAAAGAAGAAGTAATATGGTTGCACACACCCCAACCTCCAAATGGTGCAAGATTCCAGCAGTTCAGGGTTTGTGTTTCCTTTGGAATGAGAGGCAGCGGAGACTGTGGTGTCTTCATGATATATGGTTTATTTAAACAGATGTACAACCTGAGCCTACGAAGGGCTCTTGCTTCTCCCACAGCCACAGCCTTGGATGTGAGCAGAAATCAGGCATGTCTGTCCATCACAGGCTTCAGCCTGCTTCTTCCCCGAGCTTCTAGCTTGCACACACACAGCTCTGACCTTTGTCTTTCTAGCTACCAGTGAGTTGAGGGAGGGGTCACCCCTGTGTCTTCTGCCACCAAGCCTCATCCTTTGTTACCTTAATGACCCATTACCTCACCAGGAAGAGTGATTTTTCTCTCTCAAACCAGCCAACTAGAAAATGTAAGTCATGTTTGCTTCATGCTTAAATGGAGATTTCAAATGGCATTGCACATGTGCAGATAATCGTGCATGCACAGTTGAGAGCTTCATGAATAGGTGTTCCGGAGGCTAGAGTAATAGAATTGTAGGGCCAGAAGGGATCTCCAAGGGTATTTCTAGTCCAACCTCCTGCAATGCAGAAATCACAGCTAAAGAATCCCTGGCAGATGGCCATCCAGCCTCTCTTTAAAAACCACCACGCTCCAAGGCAGTCTGCTCCACTGTCAAACAGCTCTCACGGTCAGAAGGTTCTTCCTAACATTTCATCGGAATCTCCTTCATTGTTATTTGAAGTCATTGGTTCAGGTCCTCCGCTCTGGAGCAGCAGAAAACAAGTTGCTCCAGCTTCCATGTGACAACCCTTCAGATATTTGAAGATGGCTATTTTATCACCTCTCAGTCTTCTCTTCTCCAGGAGAAAACATGCTCATCTCTCTCAACCGTTCCTCATCAGGCTTGGTTTCCAAACCTAGTTGCGAGGGTGGGAAACCAAGACAAAGCCATACAGGTTGGTCAAAGACATTTCCCCACCTCTCTGATGCCAACGTCACTATGTAAATATAGCTTGAAATGCCATAGGAGAGGGAATTAACCTGCAAATTTCTCCTACTTCCAGGATCCCCCTTTTCATCTGCATGCTGCAAAGGTGACGATATTCTAGACTCTGTTTCTTTCTACTCTGGTGTCAGTTTTGTCCTGAGGGTGGAGCAGAGAGCAAGCAAAGTCTGCTTTCGCCACCGCTCCCTGCCTTTGCAGTCGCTTTACAACGCATCCACTCAGCAAGGGAAACTGCTGCTTCCAGCTGCACAAAAGGAATCGCTTGGAGAATTGTTGGTTTTACAGGCTCTCCTGGGGATCCAGCCTCCCTCCTGTCATTCTTCCGTATGAAACAGCAATGAAAGCATGGCATCTTCCGACCGCTGATGGGATCCCGTTTCCCTTCCCTGAAGGATGGATTTCCACGTGAATCACACCGTGAGCATGAATGACAGCGCTCCAAATATCTCCAAGACAGGACAAAACTTTTCCCACAACGGTAAGTCAAGAGGAGGGAGCCGTAGTATTTTGAGACAAGAGGAAGGGATTCTTTTCGATGGGACCTTTATATGAATTCTCAGCTGAATCTCTTTCCATGTCAGACGCACCAACATCTGTGTGCATTAGATTTATTGCAAAAGGAATTGGGGCAGGTGATAGCTGCACATTAAACATAATGTGTGTCTATGTGCAGGAACTAGTGTATGTATTTATATAGGCAACCACAGCTCTGGAACTGTGTGGCATAGGAACATGTAGAGTTAGGTGTGCAAAGCTCTTTTAATTTGGAGGCTTCTGCATGCATTTATACCACTGTTATGGTCTGACATGTCCACGAGACATATCTTTCTCCTGCTGTAACAAACATAAACGGTGCTGTTTTCTTCCAAACGCTTTGGTAAATAAGAGGCAAGGAGGATGTGCTATGTGTCTATTCCGAAGCCTTTTCCATGGAAAAAGCACATATAGACCCTTCTGAGTCCTTCTGATGCTTCTCTCCAGTCACATTTTGCAAGATTAGCGTAACTGCACATGGGTGCAGTGGGCTCGGTGCAAACCAGACATATCCAAAGAAAAGCTCAATAGAGGAGGCAGGTGATATTAGCAGGGGTGGGGAACCTGCAGCCCTCCAGATGTTGCCAGGATATCACTCCCATCCTCCCTGTCTGTGCTGGCTGGGGCTGATGGACATCACTCAGAAAAACATCTGGAGGGCTTATGGGACATTGGATACTTTTTCATTCTATTGACCAAAAATAAGAAATTCCCTGCAATAAGGTGCTTATCAACTTTTGAAAACATTGTTTTGCTGGGAGCTTGTTGTAAACCAGGGATGGAGAACCTGTAGTCCTTCACATGTCATTGGACTCCAGCTCCCGTCAGCCCCAAACAGTATGGCTGAGGACAGAAGTTGGAGTCCAGGACATCCACCCCTCCATCCCTGCAATAGTCCTTAATTCATAGAGGGGACAAGGCAGAATGAAGCTAGAGGATAACACTTTGTGCATCTGACCAAGTGGACCCCATTCCACAAAAAATGTATGTCATAAGCTGTTTGATACCACAAGAGCATCTCCCTTTGGATCAACCACCTTGAGCCCTGAGATCAGCAGGGGAGGCCCTATTGGTGGGGCTGCCACTGTGGGTGGGGTATGTGTGCCCAGGTGTCCCTTGACATTCCATTTGTGGAATGCCCTCCCAGGTGAGGTGCACCTGTCTCTCTCATTAACAGCTTTCAGGTGTAATTTTGAAACATCCCTGTTCACTCAGACATTCTATGGTCTGAAAGATGCTATTCTGGACAACCTTGACATTGTTTTGTAGGAATAGGTTGATTATCAATAATAATCCACAGGGTGGGCATAGTGAACTTCATGAAGAATTTGTAGGAATTGCCAAAGGTTCCCAGGGTGGACATGGTCTTATAATCCTCTTCAACAACTGAAATGTCCTCTGTGCACCAGATAAGCTCAATATAAACTTAATATAAGATTGTGATGTAAGCTGACACCCGTTGCTTGAATCACTATCTATTAAATACTATTAAAGTTAAGTACTTGGGTATTACTGTGACAAATATGAACAGTACATTGTTCCAAAATAATTATGTCAAAACATGGGTTGAAATTTAAAAAGATATGTCAAGATGGGACAAGTTAAAATTGTCATTGCTGGACAAAATTTCAGTAATAAAATGAATGTTTTGCCTTAAAAAAAGAGGAATAGGTTGATTATCATTATTTTTAAAAAGAAGGTTTTCACTGTCTCTAGAAGCATGCAGCTGTATTGTTTTATTATTGACATGCTTGCCGTTCTGGGCTCCGTTGGGAAGAAGGGTGGGATATAAAATTAATAAATAATGCTACAATGTAAGAAGAGACTGCTGGATCAAGCCAATGGTCCATCTTGAACAGCATCCTGTTGTCCCTGTGGCCAACCAGGGACTTGTGGGCAACCGGCAAACAGGACCTGAGTGCACCAGCCCTCTCCTTGCATGTGCTTCCCCAGCAACTGGTAGTCAGCCTCTAACAGAGAAGGGTTAGCCTCCATTGATAGCCTTATCCTTTGTGGACAGCCATGTGAGCATCATTTGAAGTTATTCTGTCTTTCCTCTCCTTCCCCGCTCCCCTGTTGGAAGGCGACCTCAGCCCTGCAAGGCTACTCTACCTTCATCATGCCCACCTTGTTTGGCATCATCTGCTTGCTGGGCATCATCGGCAACAGCATGGTGATCTGCGCCGTCTTCAAGAAACCCAGCCCCACCAGCAGCGTCCCGGACATCTTCATCATCAACCTATCCATGGTGGACTTGCTCTTCCTCTTGGGCATGCCGTTCCTCATCCACCAGCTGCTGGGCAACGGCGCTTGGCACTTTGGAGAAACCATGTGCACCATCATCACCGCCTTGGACGCCAACAGCCAGTTCACCAGCACCTACATCCTCACCGCCATGTCCATCGACCGCTACCTGGCCACGGTCTACCCCTTCACTTCCACACGCTTCCGGAAGCCCCCCATAGCCATCTCGGCTATCTGCATCCTTTGGGCTCTTTCCTTCCTCAGCATCACTCCTGTGTGGATGTACGCAAGGCTCATTCCCTTGGGCGGAGGTTTGCTGGGCTGTGGGATCTGCCTGCCGGACCCTCAGCGGGACGTCTACTGGTACACCCTCTACCAGTTCTTCCTGGCTTTCGCCATCCCTTTCGCCCTCATCACCGTGGCCTACAGAAGGATCCTGCTGAGGATGGCAAGCTCCTCGCAAGCCCTGACCGGGCAGAGGTGCACCAGGCTCCGCGCCAAGAAGGTGACACGGGTAGCCATCGCCATCTGCCTGGCCTTCTTTGTCTGCTGGGCCCCTTTCCATGTCCTGCAGTTGGTGCAGCTGGCCGTGCCCCAGCCCACCCTCGCTTTCTACTATGCCTACAATGTGGCCATCAGCCTGGGCTACGCCAACAGCTGCCTGAACCCTTTCATCTATATCTTGCTCGGGCAGAACTTCCGCAGGCGCCTTGTCATCTCCGTCCGGCCTGCGGATGCCGGGGAGGAGGTGACCCAGAACCGGGTCAAAAGCGCACGAGGACAGCCCAGCGAATCTGGGCAGCCTCTGCTGCATTTGGTCTCTGTTTCAGCCAGGTAGGGATGAGAATATTGCAGCCTTGTTCCCATTCTTAGACCAGTTAGCCGCAGGGACTGTTGACAGTCCGCTGATAGGAAGAAGAGAGGAACATTCACCTTATGCATCTAGCTCAGTAGGGTCTGCAGCAGGAGGAGCCAACATGGCGCACTCCAAATGTTGTTGGACTGCAACTCTCATCAGCCACAGAAAGGGGCTGTCAAGGATCAGGGATTTCATTCACTTATTTGGTTGGTTTGTTTCATTGCATTTGTATACCTGAAGGAGCGTGTCCACCTCCATTGTTCAGCCCAGACACTGAGGTCCAGCTCCAAGAGCCTTCTGGCGGTTCCCTCACTGCAAGAAGTGAGGTTCCAGGGAACCAGGCAGAGGGCCTTCTCAATAGTGGAACACCCTCCCATCAGATGTCAAGGGAAGAAACAACTATCTGACTTCTAGAAGACATCTGCTTGATGTTTTATGGTGGTTTTATAATTTGTTGGAAGCTGACCAGAGTGGTTGGGGCAGTCCAGTCAGATGGGTTGCATTTTTTAAATTATTATTATTATTATTATTATTATTATTATTATTATTATTATTATCCTCTTTTACTCCAAGGAACTCGAGGTGGTGTACATGGTTCTCCCCATTCCGAATTTAATCCTCACAACAACCCTGTGAGGTTGATTATACCGAGAGGCACTGACTGGCTCACCGTCGCCCAGTGAGCTTTATGGCTGAGTAGGGATTTGAACCCTGGTCTCCCAAGTTTGCCAACATCTGGAAGGGACTACATTTCCTAGGCCTGGTCGCCACAGACTAGAAGTAGCTCTTCGGCATTTCAGGCAGGGGACGTTCCCAGCCCTTTCTAGCGATATCAGAGATTGAATCTGGTAAGATGCAGTTCTTCCCCTGAACAGCGGCTTCCTACAGTGGTGGAATTCAAACCCACATCCTCAAAGAGATGGTTTTGTTCTCCTGTGCCCTCCCAAAGCTTTTGGCTTGAGTGCCATGACCTACATCCTTTGTAGGTTGACCTTAGTTCCATATGGTCATCTGGAATTACATGGCCAGGGTTTGAACAAAGTATGATGAGCAGGAAGACAAAACAAAATGAACAACCAAAGAAACCTGGATGGGAAGAAGACACTTTAATGATAGATGCCTATCATCTATGGTTCTGCAAGGCGAGAAAGGGATTAGAAAGCTATTGGACAACATAGATTTGCTTCTGTTTTATTTATTTATTTATTGTAGGATTTCTTAGCCACCATAAGGTGCCAGGGTGGGTTACAATAACACCACCATACAACATACACACCAAATCTATACTTTTGATCTGTGTGGAATTGGGATCAGAGCCGGCGCTACCATAAGGTAAAGTGAGGTAGCTGCCTCAGACACCAGATTCTGAGGAGTGAAGGGAGAGGAGTGTGGGAGGAACAATCTCTGTGCGTCTTATAGTGTGCTCCAGCCGCACAAACCCCTAACCTAGCTTTCTGCCCTCTGATGTGGAGGTGGCATCTGACTTAGGTTCCATCTGTGGCACACATCCCAACCCACTTAAAAAAAAAAAAGATTTTCAGATTTAGTCAAATTTGGGGGGGGGGGAGAGAAAGTTTACAAGCTGGAGTGTCACAAACTTTCAACAGCCTTGTGTGGGGCGTGATAGAATCTATTCACAGAGAAGAAGGTCTTAGCATTTCCAGGTTGGGCTGGCAGAGAACCCTGGCTTGTAGCCAATCCTAGTAAAGGTAAATGGTAAAGGGATCCCTGACCATTAGGTCCAGTCGCGGACGACTCTGGGGTTGTGGCGCTCATCTCACTTTACAGGCCGAGGGAGCCGACGTTTGTCCGCAGACAGTTTTTCCGTGTCATGTGGCCAGCATGACTAAACCGCTTCTGGCGAAACCAGAGCAGCGCATGGAAATGCCATTTACCTTCCCGCTGGAGCGGTACCTATTTATCTACTTGTACTCTGACATGCTTTCAAACTGCTAGGTTGGCAGGAGCTAGGACCAAGCAACAGGAGCTCACCCCGTCGCAGGGATTCGAACCTTCTGACAAGCCCTAGGCTCTGTGGTTTAGAACACAGTGCCACCCGCGTCCAGCCAATCCTAGTAGACCTGTTCAAATTAATGGGCATGCCAAGCCTAACTTAGGTTCATCCCAGTGGTTTCACTCTAATTTCAGCCCCCTACTTGAAACCCTGGAGAGCTGCTGACCATAGGCACCAACTCTAAGAGACCCAGACCACTTTGCCCACCAAATTGACAGTTCCAAGCTGCCCCAGCCTCCTCCTCCACTGTGTGAAAGAACAGGTAAGATGCCCAATAGCCCAACCACCTCCCCTTCTCCTGGGGCGCCTCCCCTCCCCTCCGATGGCCTTGGCCCTGCTCAGCACCTTTAACAAACTACAGTTCCCAGAATTCTTTGGGGGGAAGCCATGACTGTTTAAAGTGGTATATGCTGCTTTAGATCTATATTCTGTACTGTACAGAATCTATATACTGTACAGTATTTAGAGAACCCTGTTATATATTCTTTAACGCTAAGTGTATGAGTTTACCTGTATTGGTGTTTTGACCAATTGAATGATGCAACTTGAACCTGCTACGCAACAATTTAATTTTGTTTGGTTTCGCTTCAGGCTTGGCGTGATGTGCTGGAGGTATTTCAGCTCATTTGAACCGTGTCCTTGAAAAGTCTTGAATAAAGAGTATTCAGTGTGGATTGTGTGAGCAGCTTAAATTTCCAAGAATATAGGAACTTGCCATGTCTTTGGTTCTGAGCCAATGCATACATATTAATTTAAACCTTTTCTAGACAGATTGGGTTTATTTTAATCCACTGCCTTCATAAAAGCATTCATTTAATTCCCACAGCACTCTCTGTGAAGGTTCTTTTTTATTTTTTCAAGTGTTTTAAACTTTGGTTCTTTATTAAAAGATTGAAGGGAGCGGGGGAAGAAACACAAAACATCCTTGGTTCAGCGGATGGCAGGCTGCTGCAGAAATGTTTCTGGGATGAAATGCAGCAGCCTTTTTGATATCAGGGTTATTGTGAGAAGATCAGGGAAACCAAAAGCATTTCTCATCTCTCCCTCCCTAGAAGGAATAGAAAAGTAAACAAATTGCAATGCATATTCTCTCTCCATGTGTAAGCATCACAAGATATAATAAATAATAATAATAATAATAATAATAATAATAATAATAATAGACATCCCTAGTTTCATCGGAGAAATGTTGGCGGGTAAGAACGCTTTATACCCTTGCCGATCTGGCTAGGTCTCCCCAGCCACTCTGGGAGGCTTCCAACAAAAGATTAAAAATACATTCAAACATCAGTCATTAAAAACTTCCCTAAGCAGGGCTGCCTTCAGATGTCTTCTAAACGTCAGGTAGTTATTTATTTCCTTGACATCTGATGGGAGGGCGTTCCACAGGGCAGGTGCCACTACCGAAAAGGCCCTCTGCCTGGTTCCCTGTAATCTCACTTCTCACCTCGGCGCTGGACCTCAGTGTCTGGGCTAAACGATGGGGGTGGAGACGCTCCTTCAGGTATACTGGGCCGAGGCCGTTTAGGGCTTTAAAGGTCAGCACCAACACTTTGAATTGTGCTCAGAAACGTACTGGAAGCCAACCTAGGTCTTTCAGGACTGGTGTTATGTGGTCTCAGCAGCCTCTCCCAGTCACCAATCTAGCTGCCGCATTCTGGATTAGTTGTAGTTTCCGGGTCACCTTCAAAGGTAGCTCCATGTAGAGTGCATTACAGTAGTCCAAGAGGGAGATAAGTTTATAAGTTGTAGTAGGAATGGCAAACCTTTTTCAGACTGATGACCACATTCGTTTTTGGTCAAACTTCCAAAGGTCATATGCCTGTGGTGGGCAGGGTCAGAGGAAAAAGTGGACAGAGCGATGAAGGTAAGGGGAAGGCGATGGGAAGAGAGGCATTGTGCTGGCCGCCAGGCAATGGCTTCTTCCACCTCCAGTAGCCTTTCCCAGACCATGACAGGGAGAAGAGCAGTCAGAAGCAGCTGGGAAGAGAGAAGAGTTCAGGGAAATTTTTTAAAAAATAATTTTATAAGTTGTGCATCTTTGCTTCTCAATTTGCACTGTGTTGTTTTATGCACTGTGACTTGCTGCTATTTTTATCGATCATATTTTAGAAATTATTTATTGTAATTGTTAAAAGTGAATTTCTGTTTATTATTTGCTGATATTTATTTTTTCAGTGTACTATTATATTCTCGTGGATTATTGAGCAGTACTTTATTTGACAGAAGCTGTTTATTTTAAAGTTACGTGTTTTTTTATTATGACATTTTTGTATTGCATCCGATTGTTGTAAGGTGTGTGTGATCTCTGTTGTTTCTTCAGCTTGTAAAAGCCTTGGGTATAGTGATATGAAAAAGGCGGTATACAAACTAAAAGTGAAGTGAAATGAAATGAAATGAAGAGAAAATGAAATAAATGAGGAGATGGAGAACACCGAGTTCCACCTTGAACAAATACAGTGGTACCTCTGGTTAAGAACTTAATTCGTTCCGGAGGTCCGTTCTTAACCTGAAACTGTTCTTAACCTGAAGACCACTTTAGCTAATGGGGCCTCCTACTGCCGCCACATGATTTCTGTTCTCATCCTGAAGCAAAGTTCTTAATCTGAAGCACTATTTCTGGGTTAGCAGAGTCTGTAACCTGAAGCGTATGTAACCTGAAGTGTATGTAACCCGAGGTACCACTGTAGATGGAAGGTGAGACATAAATGTGATCAATAAATAAATCTTTGTCAGTCCCCCGGCCAATTTACCGTCACGGGATCCCTCATCCCAGTCTTAGGCAGTTATACTGATCAGCTTTTCTTCCTACACACCAGACTGGAACCACTTAAGCATCTGATCTCCAGTCATGATGGCTGTTAAGTCTAAAGATCTTTGGGGAAAGACCTGGAAGAGCTCATCCTTTCTGGACCCTGTTAAAATAGGTGAACCCAGATCTTCCATTTCCTGCAGAATTGTGAAAATCTCTTTGCAGACCTGACTGGAATAACAATCATTTAAAAAAACAAATTCCTTTCACTTCCATATATATACAACGCAGCTGCTAAAAAACAAAACAAAAGCGCAAAAGGGCACTTTGAACATTTTCATTCTTGCAGCCTGCAATTAATTTTAGAGACACTTTCATCGAAAACTCCCAAAGCCAACGCTTTTCTTCAAATGCCACTGTGGTGAATTGAGCGATTATATTTATCCGTGACATAATGGCCCTAACAATGCATGTGCAT